GATTATACTTATAGCGTCAATGCATCTCGATGTAGATTAAAAATGGAACTCTATTTTACTTTCAGCGTCGATAATAATATCCAATGATACCAAACAACATTTCTTATAGAGAAGTACAAATGTACCTGGGAATACTATATATAATACGTATTATTTATAAATAAATGTAATAAATACCGATTATAGTGCATATTATTTGTATTTAAATACGTAAATACTGGCTTGTATAATGATTTAGAACAGTAGAATAACGAAAGTTAAGTTTTGCGGAAAAATCTCGAAACTACTCACTAAGTTTTAATTTCTATAACTTTTGAATTAGGACCTTCGAGAAATAAATATCAACTTGCCCAGATGGGAACAGAACCCACAACGTTCTGAACTCTCGTCCCAATTGGTGGAGGATGTGCAGTTGATAGATATAAATCCACCATACGGCAGGATTCAAACCGATGGTGGCCGAGAGAGGACAGTATCCTTGAAGAACTTGGCACAAAGCGGTAATTCTTCCAATCAAATTTCTTCCATTCACTTAAATCCATGTAATGACTTTCAACCATGTGGCCACCAATCTATGACTCTTCCATTCACCCATCTCTAACTGATGATTCTTCAAATCATTTAGCGCTAAGCTGTGACTCTTCTTCGGGTCCATCCACGAGATTTCATCCCAAGAAGTCCATCCTATTGAACTGCAGTTACAAAATTAGATAAATGAAGAATTAATAATATATGAACATAAAGATAGAAATAGTTTTTTGAGATAATACCTGAATAATATTTCTATAAATTTAGATATAAAAATGCTCAGTTATTGACATAAAGTTACTCAGTTATTGACATTTGTAACTGTAAAAACTTTTATTTTTGTTTTAATTAAAGGATAGCTTATTTTCTTTATAAATAAATAAATATAAGTAAATGTCTTAAATAATATCTAGTCTGTAAACATTTTATTTACTCTTTTATTCACCTGTAAACTTTCTTCTATAAGAAACTAATAATTAAATCAATTCTGATTGAAAGGTTTCTTTCTCATTATTTTCTTATGCTTTATTTTCAAGTGGCTCTTCTTTTGTTTCGCTTCCAGTGGCAAATATAAGCTCTTCGGTTTCAGCTGATTTCCGCAGTTATGCCATCTTCCTTATTTTGCTTCGGTCGCTAGAGTATTTAAGAGACTTAGTAGGTCAACCAGCTCCTGTAATTAGATTAGCTGTTGTGCCTTTGGGTAACTGAATCATATATTTTTCTCTCATCCTTTCTTCGAGCAGCTGACCAGTTTACTTTAATTTGCGCTTTAATAGTGAACATATTTGCTTCATCATCAGTATAACTAACTCTCTTTAATCAGCAACATTTTTTATTAAAGTTCATGATTTATATTTAGGCCTTTGGGATGTTTGATCTTGTCGTGGAGTCATCTCCTCAAGCTTAATTATCATACCTTTTTAAAGAACTGAAAATTTAAAAACTTAAACTTTTTTTTTTTAATTTTACAATTGTTTTCAGTTAAAATTACCATATATAAATATCTTGGATAAAACAGTAAAAAAAAAACAACGCAGAGATAAACATGGGAAAATAATTTTTTTGTGTTTAAGTATAAATCTGAATATAGAAAAAAATATGACGTAAAAATTATAGGTTGGAAGTATAATTTAATCATTAAGATCATGTTGACATTTTGAAAAAAATTAAGAAAATTATAACAAAGGCAAATACCTACTTATGGATTAGTCTTAATAATGTTGGAAATGAATAAAAATAAAGTACATATTTTGTTCTAAAGATTCCTTAATTTAAAACATCAGATAAATCTAAAAATTGCACACACTTCTAACGGACAATACAAAATATTTTGCACTCAAAATACGCGAAAGTGATATGATGATCATCGTGTTGGTATCGTGAGTCAGTTGCATTTATACGAATTATTGCTTTATGCCATTATAGCTGAAAGATTAAATTATTTTTATAAACACAAATTTTTTTAATTAATCTATTTTGAAAAAATCTATTTTCGTTATCTTTTCATAGGTTCATTTACCACTGTGCGTTGGCTAACTCATTAAAAAAAATTCGACTGAAATTCCAGAAAATTTTGTTGCATCTTTATAATTTCAACAGTCGACTACTTAGCCATTTCTAAAGTTTTTTTTAGAAATATTCTAGTTTTCTTTATCTAGATATCGTAAACGATTTTTCGTAGGGTTTGTTTCTACATCGAGATATTAATAAAACAAAATCATTTATTTATTTTTTACTAAGAATCCGTTATTAAATTTTCCTGAACTGGAATTTAAAATCATCTGAAATTCAGATTCGGCGTTAAAGAATGTCGTCCCAACAGTAATAGGTAGAGATTAAGTTCAATAAGTCTCCACGAACGACTAAATAGACTTGCTATAGAGTACTGGTCAAAGTATAAGCCAGCATCAAAAATAAATAAAACGAAAGTTACTTTTTTAGAGAAAGATCAACAGCTTAAAAATAAAAAAAACTTGCCTCCCAATCAGAGAGAACCACTTTCTCTAATACCATCTTAGTTTCCTGTAAAATCACATTAAATAAGACGAGGTTATACCAGAAGAAATAAGATCATTGGCTCTTGAAACGATAACTGAACATGATCCCAACCTTCCTTGGAATTATGTGTACACCGATGGTTCTACCGAAGAAGCAACACACAATGAAGGGGCAAGCGTATAGTCACAACTGGTTACCATTTCAGAACTGTTGGTAAATGGGCCCCAAATTTTGATAGCGAAATTAAAGCAATTTTATTGGCTATGACATGGCAAGCCTTGTCAAACTTAGTTGTCAAAAAACATCGTACTTTTTGAGGATTCACAGGCGGCCATCATTACTGTATAACTGCCCAGTGATTCCTTTGTTCAAGGAACAGATGGATTCTTTCAATGAACACCACTAGCGGATCCAGGATTTAATTTTGGAGGGGGGGCTTCAGCCCGAAACCTTTTTTTTTCATAAAAATAACGATAATTACTATGGAAAAACAGAAAGAAACTAACTACCTATATGAAATGGTGTTTAAGTTATTCCTTAAGTACTTTTAAATGTAATTACACGAACAATAATACTTTAGGAGGTATTTTTTTAAAAAATTTTCCCATAAAACATGGTTATATTTTTCCATTTTGGGGGGGGGCTTCAGCCCGAAAGCCCCCCCCCCCGTAGATCCGCCCGTGATGAACACCAACTCACTGTGGCCTGGGCTGATAACGAAATGGCTTATAATCTCACCAAGGAAGGCTAGACATTGAACACGCCTGAAAATCGAATACCATTTCATAGAGCCACAAAAAAAAATAAGGCAAATGAGGCTCTACCACTGAAATCCATAAAGAGCAGTATTGCGGACAAGTAATGGAGAAAATTGCTTAATGGAGAAGATTGAATACCCATAAACCTGCCGAGAAAGGAAGCTGTGGAAAAGTTCCGGATGATAACAGACCACAACTACCTTAAGAAGCACCTACATAGAACAGGAGTGCCAGACTCTCCACACTGCAATCCATGTAATTCGGGAGCACATATGGATGCAGCGCATTTAAGTATATGTTCGCGCTTATTGAACTTATGATATGAAGATATCATTAACAACCAACGTCCTTCTTACGCCTACAACCTTCTCCAATTCAAGTCCTCAGTCTATTCCCTTTCAACAAGATCTCGACCTTCTGACCTCTACATCCCTTCGCACAGATCTGCCTCATTTCAGAATTCCTTTATAGCTCGAGCTGTAAATTTCTGGAATTCTCTACCTAACAAAATTCGGCATTCCCCCTCCATATCCACATTCAAATCCCTCCTATTCCAATTCCTATCCCAAAAACAGTCAGATACTTGCTAAACTTTCGATATTATACATTTCTAGTCATCCTCAAAGGATAGTGCTATTCTATACTATGAACTTCACTAGGGATATTACAATATTTTCCGGCTCTTAATGCCACTGACCGCATCTATTGTTTGCTTTTTTTATTATTATTTTTTTATTGGTATATAATTAAATCTGTACCTCTAGCATTTGACAATGATGAGTCTACATATTAATCATTATTTAAAGACACTGATATTTTATATTGTCAGCTTTGTTTTTTCTTTGTTAGCAGAAACACACCTCATTTTAAAGAAGAACTCAATGTATTTTTTATTATTTTATTTTTTAAAAGAGTATAATTATATTTTTTCCTACTGTACATAGCCTCAAGTGTTTTGTCATAGTTTTAAGTGTTTTGTATACAGATTTGTTTTTTGTATATAGCTTGTTTAACTAATATTTTCTTTAATTTCTCTTTTTTATTATTGTTTTATTTTGGCCAGATGTAGTATTTTAATTATGTTCTATTTTGTTATTCTAAAGGGACTTTGTCCCAGAATAAAGTTATTTTCTATCTTCTATCTTCTATCTATCTTCAAGATACCACGCCGTCGAAATCGGAATGGTACTGGACTGCAAGGTCTCTGATGGCGGAAACCGATAAGGGGAGACATTTTAAAAAAAATAGTCATTGTCCGGGGCACTTGCGGATTCAGAATTTAATTTAGGGGGGGAGGGGGCTTCAGCCCAAAAACTTTTTTTTATATAAATCTAAGGATAATTACTTTGAGAAAAAAAAAAGAAACTATGTGAAATGGTGTATTAGTGCAAGTCCTATGTAAGTCCTATTTATTGTAATTACATGATTAATAATATTTTAAGAGATAATTTTTTAATATTTCATCTCAAGACATGGTTATATTTTAGCAATTTGGGGTAGAGGCTTCAGTCCAAAAGAGCCTACCCTCCTCCTCCCCCTCTCCCTGTAGATCCGCCTGTGGTCCGGGGGCGCCAAATTTCTTAGTCCACCACTGATTGTAATTAGGAATCGTTGAGATTATTTCTACTTAATCCCAAATTCAAGTGCGATTATTTGATTGAAAGACCTCTCTGGGAATCGATTTATAGGATCTCGATTACTTAGTCTGCGGATATCGTTCGACCAGTGGTAGTGGGGGAAAACTCATCGTTTGTGTAGGCATTTAAACATATGGGTTGGAGGGTTGAACGTTGTAGATATTAATTTCTATTTAGAAAATTAATGTGCAAGTGAATACTTAATTCAAAAACGTTAATAAGTTCTATATAGTTTGGAGTTGTAGATTAGACATGTCCATTCTAATCGATTATAAAATATTAAGAAATTACTGTTATTGACATAAAGTCTCAGGTATTTGTACTTTATTTTTTGTGTTAAGGTGATTTCGTACTATATAATATATTGTATTATGTGCAATAAATTATGGTGTACTTAAGTTTTTGCTAATAAATATGCAATATTTTATAGTAGGGTTATTTCCTGATGATTGCATTCCTACCTATTTTTGCTGTCACAAGCACTTAGATTGCCAAAATGGTTTCAGGTGCATTTAATCTGATTCCATAAATTTATAAAAAACAAATAAATTTGGTATCATGGTTTATCAGGTCAGGGCGTTTTATAATTCTGAATGATCTATTTGATGGCAAAGATTTTATTTATCCTATGTTACAGTAAAATTGTTGTTTCAATGTTTAGTTAACTGTTTTGAATGACCTTGGTACTTATTTTAGTTTTGCTCTTGTTTAAAAGCTATATTAATGTTAATATTATTATTTTTTGACATTTATTAGAAGTAATACATTTATATCTTTGCATTACCATTCTTTCAGTTTATTTTGGGTTTTTTATTTTTCTATTTAAAGTTATGAATGGATAAAGATTCATATAGATTTGTAGTTCATTAATTTATAAATGAATGATAGGTTAATCAGCTTTAATTTATACATGTGAAGGATAAAAATTAATCTCTTCTGTTTAAGTTTTGTATGAAAATTAATGAAGCATATTAAAAAAAATTCTTATAAGATTACCTGCTGTTTGGTTTTGATAGTTTAGGCTTATAAATTGTATCTATTGTTATGTACCTATGTTAATGGGTCAGGTTATTAGACACTAAACATTTTCAAATGGATCATCATAAGGTTTATTATTTATACTATTTCTATACCACGTAATTTTCTGTTCTAAGATTTTTTTTTTGCTTTCGTCTTTTTAGACTCGTAATTTTATTTCAAACTTTGTTTATAGTTTATAAGTTGATAGCTTACTCCATTAGCTTTAACAATGAATGGATGAAAAGAAGTTGAAAACTTGATGTAATATATATTTTTGTGTTAAATGATCGTAGCTTTATTTCGTTTCAATATTACTACTTGAATAATTTTATCTCGTATAAGTTTTAATTGTTGCTGGGATAGAACTTGAGTTTTATAATGATTTTTTTTTTGTTCTATTATTAATCTTATTAATTTTCTTGTTTGTTTATCACTTTAGTATTTCTGCTTCTGTAAAAAAAAATCTTATCTTGATTGATTTTGTGTCTTTAAAGAATAAGTATTTGAGCCAATTTAATTCTAAAATAAATTCATTCTCAGACTGATTAATTTTTTATATTTCTTGGTCCTCATAATTAATGTACATTTTTTAATCAATTATAGGCCAATATGATGGATGGACCAGTTGGCTGATTGAAAAATAAATCATTTCCCAAAATAATCTTTTGTGTTTACATCGTCTTCATCAAGGTATTTATTATTATGTATTGTTTATTTTTTTTCTTTATTATTTAGTAGTCAGTACTGATGGACATTTATTCACTTTGCATTATACACGTGTATAATTTGGATGTGTTGGGATAGTGAGTAATTACAGTTATCAAAACAAAAACCTGGGTAAATTTTTGTTAATTTTCATTACAAAATTAATTACATAATGATAGAATAAAAGTTTAATATTATCAATTATTAATAAATATTTATTTTTTATTACAAACCATTTTTTTCACCTATAATCTACTTGTGTTTTACACTAGAAATTTATCATCAAAGTTGCTAAATATAATTAGCTTTATACTTGATCTAAACTGTTTGTTTTTCATATTTATTTTTTAAATATACCTATAAAAAACTAAAAATATTCTTTTCTTATATAGTTAAACTGTAAAGTCTATTAAGATTTTTCGTAAACTTTACATTATATTTTTCATATTTTTTTTTAAACTTTTTTATAAGATTCTTATATAACTAGAAATGTATTTATTTAAATGCCTTTGAATGTTTTAAGTAATAGGTAAATCTTTATGGTATACTTTTATATTCATGTTCTTATCGTAATCTTTCGTCTCTATGCTTGCATGCAGAATGCTGTCAATTTCCTGCCCTTAATGGGCTCAACAGCTTGTATTTATTGAATGAAATGTTTATTTAATCTACTCTGGAAATTTATTGTAATTTTCTAATAATAAATTTATTAGGAACATAATTTTATAATCTTACCATGCAAAACATATGAACTTAGATGTTCAGGGATTGTTTTAATATAATTAAATGTTATTATCAACACATACTAATAATAAATAAACTAGTCAATAACTTAGAATAATTATAAAAATTCTTACTAAAAATATTCTTTTCATATAGGTGCTTATATATCTAAATTATAATAAAGAAACATTTCAACAAATTTTGATTTAATTTTCTGAAGTTTGATTCAATCTATCTATAGATCAACTATTGATCTATTTCTTTAATGACTTGGATACAAAATCACTGCCAACCCTTCTCTTCCCCTCCTTTATAAATCGATTGTATTTGTAATTAAATTAATATCAATTGTAATGCTGTTTAATGAACTAAATATAATGTTTAATTGTACACTATCAAGTGTTAAAAATTTACTTTAAAAAAATTCCTGAATCTTAGGAAGCCCTTCTTAAAGTGAATGTTGAATTCAATTTTGAAACCTTAAATTAGATGAGAACTATTGAAACAAATATAACTAATTTTTTACCATTCAAATAATGCACTTAAGCTCAAAACTGTAGAATAAATTTCAGGAAGGGATATAAGGGTTATAGGGTCTAGAGCATTACAAAAAAATATACAATTATAGAGACATAATTTTTTGAAATGGGTGGAAATTTATGTAAAATGAGTCGTGTTTCTGCATGTAATCTCTCCCCGAGTATAAGTTGTGCATATTAATGGAGGTATTGAGAGATATGGACAGTGGAAATCCATAAAACTGCCATCTTAGTTACTATTTGCACCACAAACAATAATAAAAGATTTACTTTCCATTCAATAAAAGATTTTAGACATTCTTGATAGGTCCTGTAAAAATTTGAAAAATCTTTACTATTTTTTTTCAAAATTAAGTTTTTTATAATAATATAGAGTTGAGTTAATTCATATTGTTGGTTAATATTTTTTAAAAAAATTATGAGCAGATAATTTTTTAATTCAAACAGTTTTATAATATTTCTATATCATGATGGGTACCTGACCACATCTGAAGTGTTTCTTTACATTGGCCATAGGAAATTTGTTCTTTTTTTCTGTTCCAGCTATCATCTGAAGGTAAGGCATATAGTGACTTTATATAGAAGCAGTGAGAGGTAAAGATTTTTTTATAAAGAAACATTTTACGACATTCTGAATGTTGTTTTCTGGTCCTTTTAAAGTCTAACTTTTATAATTATATGTAACTGGTGTTGAATATTATCTTTTTCCAAAACCAAAATAATTTGAGAAACTAGACTTGGGTTTTTAATGAGCTCTAGTATTTGAATGGGATGAAATTTTTAAAATCTATTTTATTTGCAATGGGGAGTTGGTAGAATGAGTAATGTCATCGATTGCATACCTTTTTGGCTGTAGTGATCTAAGTCCTTTATGGTCCAGAAAAAACTGTATTTAACTTGACCTGGGCAAAGAAATATTATTCATTAGAATTAATATTTGAAAATAAATTGTTGAATGCCCTAAAAAAAAATTGTTTAAATAATTAGTTATATTATTTTACTTAAGTCTTATTCAGTAATTAATTGTTAATGAAATAAGTTATTTTATTTCATCATCCCTTTCTCAAAAACTTTTTAAATTTTTACTGTAGTTATGATTTTTTTTTATTGGGATTGGGATCCAATTGGCAGTTATATCACGATGACAAGTATTTGAGGAATTTAGTTGTGTCGCATGTTGATGAAATATTTTTGCATTTTCTAACTCAATATTGCCTCTTGGTTTTTTTTTTTCATTTAATCATAGGCACCTTTGATTGACCATTCATTGTGTTTGTTCTTTATTCTACTTGGTTGTGAAAATATATTTGTTTTTATGCAATTGTGTCTTTGAATGTCAGGTCTTTTTGGCATTTTGAACTAGAATTTGAATTTCTCACCAAATGGATGTATACTTATTTATTTATTTAAAATGTTTCATACTATGTCAAGGAATTTTTACCTACTTTTCTTTGTCATTAAGTAATACTGTATAGGATGTATAATAATTGTTTTGTTTTGTTTATTATTATTATTTCAGTAAGAACAATTTCATAATATTTCATAGGGACAATGACTAACATTATTGGTTCTACAGTGTTTCTGTAAATATATTACAAACATTATTATATACATATAATTATTATTTATTTTATTTTAACATTTCATATTATTAATATTGAAACATTTTAGTTATTTTCTTTTTATAAATTTGTCATTTTAACTTAGATTTTCTATTTATGAAATATGTTATATTTTTAAATAAAAAATTTAATAAAATAAATCATTTAGATTTACAAATAATTTTTTGGTTGGTAGAAAACTGCAAAATTGTTTGCTCAACAAGATGAAATATTTTAGAACGAAAAAGAAACGGAAAAAATGATGCGATGGTGGAACAATGAGGCCTATATGAAAAAAAAAGCTGAAGCGGAGCCTCAAGAAGAAATTGGTGGTGATGATGATCAGCAATCAGAAAAAGTAACCTATTTTGATGAGGGAATATATGACAAGGTAGTAAGGACATGGGTATTCAGAGTAAGGGCGGAAGTGGCCCGTGGAGAAGTAGTATGTGTAACAGGAAATTGTGATATCCTTGGGAATTGGAAGCACAACAAAGTTCTCGTCTTAACTCAGGAGAAGGATGATGAAAGTGATGAAGAAGGGTAAGTTCATATTATATTTATACAAACTAAGAAATTATTATTAAATAATAAACATTATTTGTCCTCATAATTCCTCTTCTTCAATGGTGCGACAGACGCATAAAGCGATTCTTGGCCTGCTCAATTTTTTGCCCCTATCTGCAGCATGTACTGTGTGCTCATAACTGTCTGTGAGGACACCATCCTGCCAGTATCATGTGGGTTCTTTGCCGTCTGGCGTTTTCCTGTATGCTTTTAGAGGACACCTGTAGTCTTTCTCCCTGATGGCGTGTCCAATCCATTTCAGTCTCTGCAACCTGGCGGAGTTGAAGATACTTTAATCTTGTTATTCACCATGCAACTCCGAATTTCGGCGCAGACGTCAAGTTTCATTATCTTTGACAGGTCCCAGAATGCTTCTCAGGATCTTCCTCTCAAAACAATCAAGCCTTTTTGCGACTACCTTGTTAAGTCTCCACGTTTCACACGCATAAGTTGCAATTGTTCTTATAAGACATTTGTATAGTCTTATTTTCTTTATTCGCCTTAATAATCTGCTTCTAATCATTTTGGCTATGGACAAGTGCAGGATTCAGCTGCTCATTGAAGTATCTCTCTCATCTTTCCATTACTTCATCAGCCACTGTTAGGAGTGCACCATTTTCATCCCTTACTATTGTTTCATTTGACTTAAATGTTGTTTTAAAGTCCTTGACTTCGCAGAAAAATTTCCTTGTTTCTCCATTCAGTCGGGATGATTCTATATTCTTAATTTTTTGATCCATGGCCATCCTCTTCTTTATCTTACAAATCCTTTTCGCATATGGCCGAGCATCCCTTTATTCTTTTCTTGTTTGCCAAGTATCATAGCTAAAAAAACTTAGTTGTTTTGATATAACGCATTTTCAATGCTTCTTCACATTCCACATAATACCATTCATTGCGAAACTTTGTCTGATTACTACTGCATTGTTCATCTGCTGTTTTTCTATTATTTACTGTAGTATCTTTCTATGGTCTTAGTAATAATTAATAACGCCCTCCTTCGCTGTCCGGTATCTCCCATATCCTTTCTGCTATCCTCTAGGAACATTTTCCCTTATGTCTGGTGTATTTAGCTTTTCCATGACCCATTTCTTTTTTCTACTACCTGTTTTACTGAGATGCTGTTAGTAATAACTTAGTTTTACTTTTACTACTACCAGGAAATGATCGGAATCTACATCCGGATCTTATAACACCTCACGTCATTCCCTCAGTTGAAATGTTCCTACATCAAGACGTCTATTTGAATGTATGCTCCATTTGGTACTCTCCAAGTATGCTTGTTCTTGTGAGGAAAGATTCTGCTCATTACAACTAATGCATTACCTGTGGCAAAATCAATCATTCGCTTGCCATTATCATCTGTGGTTTGATGGAGACTTTCGTGACCAATATTTGGGCAGAGAACCATTTGTTTACCAACTTGGGCATTAAAGCCACCCATTACAATTTTTATATTGTATTTGGGCCATTGGTTCATTATTCCTTCCAAGGTATTGTAGAAGATATCTTGGTTCTCTTCACATTTTTCCTCGGTTGGTGCATGGACATTGACTATGGTGATGTTTCTTGACTTAGTCCTTTTCCTTAATTTGTGCATTTTATCACTAATAGGCTAGAAGTTGATTGTTGAACTAAGCATTTTTTGAGAAATCATAAACCCCGTTCCAAATGCTTACGTGTCTACATTTCCACTGTAGAAGATGTCAATGTTTTCCTTTAATACGACCCGTTCCAGTCCAGTGGACCTATGGCAGCGTGACTATATCCATTCTGTACTTATCTGGTTGATCCAACAGTTCCTTCAATGCACCAGGTCGGTATATTGTCTGTACATTCCATGTTTCAAAAAGAAGTGGTCTTTTCCGAGTTCCAGATCGATGCTGTATTTGTCCTCATAATATTGCATATAATAGAAATTATATTTAAAAATTTTTTAATGTTTTTATTTAAAGCTGTCCGTTACAAGTTTTTTGGTAGTATATAACCGGAGGAGGTTATATTATGGATTGAAAAACCTTATGCTACTAAATTTAATGGAATATGAATGTATTAACACCTGTATGAAAATAAATGATTTATTATATTAAAGAACAGACAAGGATAGAAGAAATTTTATTTTGTACATAACAAAATATAATTATTAGTTACTTTAAAACAAAAAACAGATTCCATAACTTGGAACCGTAGTCTGCTGAGCCCGGTCATAGAACAAATATTTTCACGTTTCATTTTTGTATAATATTAATGTAAAGATTCAGGTAGCTTCAGCCCCCTCTCCTCCTGAAGATCGGCCTGTGACAACCAAAAGAGTTGTGAGAACATGGTAAAGTGCCTCAGGGCCTCGCATCGGTGCTGTTACCTGGAGATGGTTAATTATGTCTGACATGCTAATACAAAAAAAAAAATAAAAATAATAATATAATGTTAATATCTAAGTAAAACAAAACCAATAAATATATTTATATTGATCACTGTGGATCAGTTTTGATAAACACAGGTTATTTGTCAGAAGATTCCAAAACAAATCCGTAATTACCTGAAATATCAATAAAAACTAGTCACTGTTTCACCAATACTGAATGAACCACCAATACTCTAGGTTCAAATATGAGTTCTCTGATTGAAAGAAACACTATTATTTCTGTACAAAGCTCAAAAAAGATATTTATTCTAAATTTCTAATAATTATCATAAACCTGATTTTTTTTTATAATGTAAAACCATTTTAATATTTAAAATTAGTCTAACTGATGTCTCGACACTAGCTACAGTACAGAATAACTCATTTCAATAGTCGAAGAAAATATTGATAACAAATCACTTGCAGAAAAATCAACTGTATATAGGACTATTGGAACCTTCAAACTTGTGAATTAACTGAAACTTTAAAAAAAAAAATATCAATGGTTTTCTTCTATAATTTAGTTAGGTAGTTGAGAAAGTAATAAATCTGTTAAACTTTCCCCTTTTAATCGTAAATATTTTTGCCTTAAGAAAACCTAATTGGGACATAAAATTTAGCAAAAACCTATCGGAATATTGTTTAAAAAAAAATGATAAAAGGGGAATTTATTACTAATTACATATAATATTAAAAATTTAATCGAAATGATTATTAGCAATGATTCATCGTTTTATTTAGAAATTTTGAACTATTTCGCTTTTAATTTAGTTTTTAGTTTTCATATCACTTAGTTGACGTATACTATTTGTTTTGTCAGGAATGAATCTGTTTGGTATGCTAAAGTTGATATACCTCTCAAAAGAGACATAAATTACCGTTATGTCATATGTTTGATTGTGGAACCAGATGGAAGTAAAATAACCGACAGGCACTTCATTGTTCGAAGATGGGAGACCAATCGTGAACCTCGAGCTTTATTAAAAAAAGGTATTTTTATTTTGTGTAACTCAATTTTATCTTGATGTGTTTTGAATTTTAAATTGTATACACTATTTTTAGTGTTATGTTAGGTTGTATTAATGATTTCAGGTTTAATTAAGCAATTGTTAATCATAATGTATTTATTGGGACTGAAAGTCAAACAGGCATAGTAACTGTGTTATAGTGAAAATTTATATATAAATGACCAATTAAATTGAAAAAATTATTTTTCAATATTTTTATTGAAATTTACAACTGTATTATTAATATAAGTTAAAATGACTTGTGAAGAAACTATCCATAGGCGGAACCTCAATGAATATGAACAATACTTAAAACTAGCATCTTTTATTTATTTTATTTGTATTATTGGCATGAGAAGGTCCCTTTTCCCTTGTTTTGCTAATATAAAACTTAATCTTTATTTTTTTGTCGCACGTATACTGCAACCATAAATTAGGGCCATCCCCACTATTCCACTTTTCCATTCTATCTCTACTTCCCTACTCTTTCTCAATTAATTTAAAGTGAAATATGAATTTTTAAAAAACACTTCAAATTATTACACTATTTTCTTATGACTTTGAGGAAAAATTCAATATAAAAATTGTTTGCTTGTAAATTAAGTTTTTTCTATTAAGAAAACTATACAATTAAATTATTCTTCAAATGACAATCCCCAGAATTAAAAACCGATTAATCAAAAACCAAAGTAAAGATCAAATAACATTCTGCTTTTGTATTTTTCAAGCTTCTTTTTAAGAAAATACGTCAAAATATCAAATTTTAAGGGTGTTACATTATTTTTTTCTTTGTCAATTACAAAGGTTCATCATTGCAAATAATAGAACAATATATTATTATAGAATAATAGATTATACTCTATAAAAATGCCAAATCCTGTATTGAATTTAATTCTGTAGAGTGGACTTGGGAACAGTTGGTTCTTTTTAAAGCCAACTTCTATTTTGATGGTGATGTAAATAAAAATTAGTTTTAACATATATCATCTTAGATATAATTTAGTAAAAAAAATATATATTTTATTACCCTTGTAATATTAATCTGTGAAAGTACATATAATTGTTAAAATGAGATTGGACTAACAATTTTTATTTTCTTTATTCCATTTGTCTTTCAATATTTGTCCCCTTGGATAGGTTTCAATTCATAGTGAAATAAGTTTTCAGAAAAACTTTCAAATTGTTTACTGTCAAGCCTTGTACTTCCTTTCCTCTCTGGGTATGTCTTTTTTCTGTTTTATTTTATTAGACTCAGGTTATTGGATTGCATCCTTCACTTTCTGTTCTAGACCTTCATCATTGGCAGAACTTCAGCACCTACCCTCATTTTCAAGTTTCAATCAATATACTGGGATTTGGTTTTTCATCAACTCTTCACGATGTCATAGATATGAAGGCACTCTCATATACAATTATGCCAAATATTTATATGACTTTAGGTTCAGAAGGTTTTGTTTTGGCTTTATCACGTTCTTCGATCCATGTTAGCAGTTGCTGTGGAAAGAAGCTGCCATAAGACATCAGTTATCTGAACGTCAATTTTGAGGCTTAATGAATTTTTTGGTAAATTTCCCTTATTCTATTTACTATTGATCCAAACAAATTCTTTTATGACTTTGAAGCCTATTTAAATGAATACTTGTTTGTAATTTTTCCTTCTAAGGATTATTTCTCTAGTAATCCATTTTCATTGATTTATTATAATATTCTGTGGTTATATATTAAGTTTAATTTTATAAATTGATGTTGGCCATTCAGTTCACAAATAAAATATTTTTTAGTATGTAATATAAGAACGATAAATCAGTTCTCACCTCCAGTGCAGAATTTTCTAGAACTAGTAATAAATTTATTAGTCTGTTAGCTGCGAATTTCTGCTTTTCTGTTCATACCTTTTAATGCATTTATTCTGGTTTTCTCTAAATAATTAACTATTGCATTGATACTTAATTATTAATTATTTTAGTTGGTCCATGCAAATAATTTGTATTTGACTTCAATCAGCAAAATCGCTTAATGTAATATATTACAGCAGGAAGTTTATCGGCTATTCTACATATCATGGGTGATAAATATTCAGGACGTAGTCATGATAAAGTTTTTATTGGTGCCGATGTTTCAACCCAAACATGTGGGTCATCATCAGGGCATGCTCGAAACACGCCCTGATGATGACCCACATGTTTGTGTTGAAACGTCAACACCATTAAGAATAATGATGAGTACATTCTGAATATTTATCACCCGTAATATATTATGGTAGAGAGGAATCATTTTTTTTTTATTCTTATTTGATCACAGTTATTATTATTCAAAATAATAAACCAAAACAGGTTAACAAATTACCTGTGTAATTTAGCTAACAATGCTCCTATTTGAATGACTTTTTCTCCCATTCTTTAAGAAATTTAAAAATCTTTCAAATCATCATGGATCACCATAATCACCATAAATTTAATATTTTTTTAATTATGCACAAAGTTTTCTTTTCTTCATAACTTTTTTTTCTGGATGTTATTCTTATTTTTCGGCACTGAAAGAGGAGATAATCTTCAAACCGATGGCTGAATCATTGTATATGATAAAGCATTAATGAAAATAGGACATACCGATAAAAAACATTTTGAGGCTTAAGAACGGAGGGCCCGATAGTTCCGAAGGAATTATCCAGGTCTTGCTGGACGCATCAAAATCTTCAAAGCCGAATTTGTTATGATCTACAGACTTACCACCGTTCCAGTATTAAAGCTTAGCAAAATTTTTGTATCAACTTTATTTATTTTAGAAAGAAAAATAAAATCGGAGAGTACGATTCGCTAACCCCCGTGAAATTCTGAATTCAACGGTACTCCATTCATGGTATTTGAGCATGACAGGAGGTTATATTTAGTGTAAAACCTATTTCGAGCCTTACTGTAATAATATATGTGGGGATTATAAAAATATATGTTTGTGTAAATATTTACTTTTTTTATTTTACTATCTTGTCCATATTAAATTTATAATTTAAGAAAGAAAAATATGAGGAAGGTAAATGATTCCGTGACTGGTAAAGATTCCAATTTAACGTTTCAAAAGGACGAAGTAAACACAAGTGCAGACATGCCATTCGTGGAATACAATTTGCCTGAAGTAATTTAATTAAAAAAACTGCCTTCCTTTTCTCGACTTAATTCTCACTCTTTCTTAAGTCCTTCAGTATTTCTTCCGGCTTTGAAGTGCATCGTAGCCTATCATGAATTCGGTATCAATAATATCCTATTTGACATTCATAAAATCAAATTTTCCTCAAACATTAACTCAGTTAGAATCTCAAAATTTGTCATTTGATAAACAAATTGAAATTATAGAGACTAGAGAAAATCTTTTAAAAATCAATGGTGAAATAGGAAAAATTATATCTCAAAAATTCTACTCCGTAATGAAAAAAAAAATGTAGGTTACGCTCTTATTAAAAATATAACGACTGCATTAACTGTATAAATGTAAATGCTGACAAAGAACCATCAGTGGTTGTTTGCTGGTTATAAAATTCATTAAATACATCAGTTCAGGTTGAACACTCTTTTTCTTAATTATTAGACGCATTAAGTGATACGAGAAACTATTTTTCAGAAACAAATTTTGAAATGTATAACATTGTAAATTTCAACTCAATTAAAAAATAAAGTTGTCATTAATGTCAAGTTGTAATTATGTATGTGCATATATTAATATTAATACAATTAAAATTAAATATCTGAAATCAATTGGTCTGCTCTATATAATATATTCTTATCCTTCCTTACCTTTAATGTTTTTAAGTTCCTCTACATTACTTCATTTCTTGTATGTGCCAGTCAATTAACCAATTTAAGGGAAATTTAATAATATCTTTAATTATTAGTTGGTTAATTATTGAGACGTTTTTGGATTTGTTTTGTGAATTATCTTTAAATTTGCTATGATTTATGTTAGTCCTTATTTTTTTTTAATTTCTCTTTTTTCAAGATTTAGGCTACTCGTAATTTATTGTTGTATTACATTATGTATTGTTGTCGTTAGTTGATTGTAATATGGGTTTTAATTTTTTTACTTTCACATACCTATACAACCTATACCTAATACAAAGATGAGAATTCTTTAAAAATAAAATCTCTTATACTAGGTTTTTTTAAGGTTTTGATAGATTGATTATAGATTTTTGTTAATTTATTGATATTCATTTTTATTATTCAGTTCACCAGCCGGCTGACGAAGAAATAGAAACAATGGGTTTTTATGATAACAAAGAGAGAATTGATCGTGGTTGGTTGACAACTGAAACTGCTGTCCAGTTGAAGTTATTTAATAGCAATCTCAATATCTGGAAATCAAAATTAAAAGGAAAACCGGTAAGTTTAAATATGTACTTTTAGTCCCAATGTTATATTGAAGATTAAATCTATTTTCATGAGATTTCAGTTGTTTTTTTTGTAAGAAATGCTAATGTATGTGACTTATTATTAGATGTCTATTATTTATTTTCCCTTAGATGAATATCAAGATAACCTTAATAAATTTATCAAGAGCTAATAGCATATCGCAAGAAGTAAACCAAGCTGATGAATGTCTTAGTCTGGAGACCATGGATCTTTCTGATAAAATAGATAATTGGCCTGTAATTGAAATCGCTGTACGTATTTTATATTTAAAAATAGTTCTATTATTTATTTAAAATTGATAAACTTAATTTTTTATCTGTTTTGTAACATTTTATTTATTTTTATTATGGTCATAAAATGAAATGATGGCACTGCTAAGCTATAAAATTAATTCATATTAAATTTCACCCAGATGCCATTTATTGTTATCATTTTGAGTTGATATAATTTGTCTAATTCATTGTATAAATTACAAACACAGTTTTCATTATCTTTAATATTATGACCCTCCTTATATGATCTGTGATTGATGAAAAAAGAACTTGATGTATATTTTTTTAATTGTTTTACTAATATGCAATTTATTATTATTTTTTCTCAAGGTTCTAAATCAAAGGGAAAGACAGTTTAAATTACAAGAGCAATTTGGACGACCTTTTAAAGATGATGAATTTATGGTCTTTCAAATACTAGTCCTTCATTTAGAAACAAATGTAAGTTTTTATATTTTAGTGTGCTTTTTCACAGTGAAAATTAAGGTTTTATTTTTACTATTATTGAGTCACTCCATAGCAAATCAACAAATAAAAAAAAATTGATAGTACTTGGTAAAAAATTATTTTGCAACCCGATATCTCATATTTTGATTGAACTTAGTTGTTCTATTCTTTGGTATAAGTAACCATACCATTTTTTTTTTTTTTTTTTTCAACCTGTATATAATGGTTTAGATTTTACAGCTCCTCAAATTTTCAGATAAATGTAATTATTTTCAAAAGGGGAAAGCATAATAATGATATTAATTGGGGAAAGACAATTAATTGTATTTCTATCTTATAATGTTTTTGCTATGTTGCTGTTAATATGTATGTTTTATTTATATATTTTGATTTAATAATTTTTAGCAGTTATATTTTTGAATAGTTACTTCAGAAAAATTAATTCTATGTAAAAGAAATAAATAAGTTATTTTATGTATTTTTCAGGGTATTTTGTTAGATTTTTATATTCCTACTGAAAATAGACGAGAGGATGAACCTCCTTATCATGCAGGATTTTCATATATTCTTCCTAGTGCAATGAAGTACAGCGAAGGGCAGATTGTTGTACCGATAACTAGTGTAAGGCACCGTCCAATTGGAGAAATAACTTGTAAGTTTATATTTGTTTACCAGTGTTACAATTTTATTTTTTAAGCAATTGAATTGATTTATTTAGTATAAAATTTAACTCAGAACCAAGACCTTCTTAGGATAAACAAGATAACAAATATTTGAAAACTGTAACAGCCTTAGATATAATCAAGTTACATATAAAGCCAAAAAAAAAAGTTTTAAAATATATTTTTAAGAGCATTGGTTGCAGTTTATATTCAAAAATCCTCAACTTCTATAATTTAAAATATTTATTTTATTTTTCTTTATTAATTTTATATTTTCTTCTTCTGTTTCATTAATAATAATTCTGTGAAGATTAATTTAATTAGCAGTATGGTAGAAAAAAAAAATATTTTATTTTGAATCTTCTATTTATATTTATTGGGTTGTTAAATGGGTTATTCTGTCAGATTTTGTTTCTGAAGAGGGATCTATTTTTACTACTATTTTGTTCTCACCATTCTGGGGACTTATTCCGAGATTGGTGATGATGACTTTAAAGCAATGGGGAAGTTCCCGAGCTCAGGTCAGTCTGATAGACATAAGAAATCCATTTATCCATTCCTAAACTTATTGATTGTATAACCGATAGCTCAATGGCTCCATCAGCTTTGGGGGTCAATGGATCTGGCTCAGTGTTGATATTACTCTATTTACTTTACCTGTTTATATTCAGTTTCATTTCTAACCATACTTATTTATGTTTAGAAACTTGAATATTCAGTAGATAAATATTTCCTTATATATTTTTATTTTTCATGTTTTGTGACCTTTCCGTAGTGATAACTTTCCGCTAAAATTCAACAGAATATTCCTAAACTCAGCCTAAATGGTTGTCCATCAGTGCTAGATCCAATCCACTGAATCATGAATGAAATCATTCAATCACTCGATTGATGGATTCCATCAATAAAATAAGCATTGAATGTTGGAACTTACCCAATTTTCTGGAATGTAAAGAATAGAATAACTAAAGAGAGAGAAAATTTAAGATCACAAAACTAAAGATTTATGAACATGTTGTATATATATTTTAATGAATTATCCTAATTATGAATGTTACTATATTTCATATTAAATATATCACCACCTTAACGATGCTTATTTTGTTAATATTAATATTTGCAGCTTTTTACTCCAAAAATCATGAATTTATTGAATAATTTTGTTAATTATTATTTTTACAGTGGAATATTTAGTTGTTAAACCAACTGTACATTACACTTGTGACCTGAGCTATTCTCTTCATAAACAATGGAAAGAAACGTGGCATGGTTTAGATGTTGGTCACCGTGGAGCTGGTGGATCTTTCAGAGGTGACATCAAGCAGTAAGTTAAATTGCTACAAAACATATAATTCATCTTATCTGATATTCAGGCATAAAATTATGCGAGTCCAAATGTTAATCCAAAATACAGGGCAACAGTGAAGTTAATATTCATGTTTTGATTGCCACAATTATATAACAATATTAAAAATAGTAAAATACTAAACAAAATTACTTGTTTAGAAAGTAGTTATTAGTTTTAAAAATGTTTAGAAAGTATATGATAGTGGATTTGTTTAAGTATTTATTCTCATCAAAAGTAATTTTAAAGACGAAATATTTATGCCATCCCATAATAGCCTACTGAATATGTTGAGTAAATTTTTATTCTTTATTTAGATGTGCCGAAGTAAGAGAAAACACGATTGCTTCATTAAAGAGTGCTGCCTCTCATGGAGCTGACTTTGTTGAATTTGACGTTCAACTTTCTAGAGATCTTGTTCCCGTTTTATATCATGATTTCTATGTAGCCATTGCCTTAAGAAGAAAGACTCAGATTACAGCAGAGGAAATGATACAGCTCCCTGTCAAAGACCTCTCCTTGGAACAGCTCCAAAGGCTTAAGGTTAGTTCAGAACATATTTAACATTTTGGGTGGGGAATATCTATGTTATAATCGTAAATATATTGTTTTGTATTATTCTGTGTACAGTGATTTATCTCAGATATTATTCAATGAAAGATACATCTCGTTGAGATTAGTTGATAGTCAAATACTTGCAGGATGGCATTAACTCAGGTTAATAATATTAAATCAAATTTAGATCACCATAGATGAAGCTCTCTTTGATCATATTTAACTACCAAGATGGCTGACCCACTGCTCCCTAAATGGCGCTTTTACCTATATGCTTTCGTTTGTCATGTCAATACGGTATATTATGTAGTCTCTTTAAGGGAATAAAGTCATATTTTTAAAAAACTCATTGCTCAGGAAACTTAAGTGCAATTGTTGAATAATTTTAAATCTGACAAACAGTATTTAAAATTATGAAATATAAATTGTTAAAATAAATTTAACTTAAGTCTTGTAAAATTTTATTTTATTTATCTTCTTGATATTTGTACCAGTACAAATAGGACCAATGCCCAAAATTTAGAGAGTTGAGTTAACAGAATAAAAGGTACATTAATTTTTATAACGACCAATGTCCACCCATTATTAGTTAATCTAAATGACAAATGTAGGATCATATTAATTAATATATAACCTACTCTGATTTTTTTTCATACCGTTCATTAAAAAATCAAAGTTTCCGACATTTGCTCTACAATATACATTTGTTTTCTTATTGTTCTCAATCGCATCAAAATAGAAATGTTTTAATACAAAAATTAATTTCAACATTCAATTTTAATTTTTACCTTCAAATTTTAACAATAATAATAATACATTATTCTGGGATAAGTCCCTTTTAGTCTGTGGGTCAGCAGTTCCGTAGAAAATACACTTAATTGGCAGAAAAGCGGTACTTGCGTATGTGCCTACAGGCCTCTGCTGCATCATTCAATCCTCATAAACGGCATAGTTATAGTGCTATATTAATATCTTTTTAATACGTTTTTGATACATTATATCGATTGTATTAACCAGTAAATATTAATGCAAGAATCTAACTGTAACAAAAAAATTAAACATTTTATTATTTTTTTTTTTTTTACTTTCACTGAGCCCTATATATGTAATATATAGTAAGGGAAAGTATTGCAATTGTGAAAATTTTCGAATCTGAGTTTTCAACGGAAATACACGTTTTGAGATACCCTGAGTCCAAATAACCAAGTCCTGAAAAATGGTCTGTGTTTATGTGAACACTCTAGCTCAAAAACGAAAAGTCATAAGAAACTGATATTACGTATTTAAGATAAGTATATGCCTTAGATGTCACAGCAACTTTTTTATTAAAATCGGCTAACCGGAAGTGCCACTTTATATCAACGGTGAAACACATTTTTACAATTTTCTCAAAAACGGCTTTAACGATTTTGATTAAACTCGGTGTATCATTATATAATGAAGTGGTCTTTAATATCATTTAGGTCTTATCCCTGTTGATGTCACTTTATAGGGCTTAAATGCCCAATCTTCATATGAGTCTTCCTTTAAAGTACCTTTGATATGGCTTATTTTAAATAATTATTAAAAGTTACTAAAAAAAACGAAATATAATTTTTGAAAGAATTTGATAGTAGAATAAAGGAGAAAACAATAAAAATGCTTATCCAGGTTAAAAATGAATCTCCAGAAATACTAATTAGAAGGTATACTAATTAGAAGTGGAGAATTAAAAATATAAATGATAATTTCTATTATGAGGAAGATGGAGGTTTATTATGGTGAAGACCATTTTATTTTCTATTGCTACCTAACCACATTGGGACTATATTCACTTTGAAGCAGGTTATAGTAGAGAGGTGCATCAAGAAAGGGAACTAGCTCTACGTCTGTTTAGTGAATTTGGAAAAGATCTTTGAAGGAATCAGAAAGGAAAACAAGCTTTTCGATAAGGCAAGTAGATATTAGCACAATCCAAAGTGTGAGACATTAAACATATAGAGCATTATTTCTCTTTTAGCAGCTCCTTGAAATATTCTGTTCACTTGTCTACTATATATTTGTTTAGTCATATAATGGATACTGATCCATGTTTTCTTTTCCATGATTTTGGCATTCGCATAATGTATTTTTCAAATTTTTGGGTTCAGTTTCACTCTTCTCCTCATTTTGAGACCAAATACTAACAATTAGTTTCTGTTATTAAGAACAACTTAATAGCTTCGCCCTTTCCGTCTTTCTTTGTGCAGAAAGAATAATGCATTTAATATTAAAATTTCTTATTTTTTTTTTATGATATGGCCCAACTTCCGAACAAAATAAAGGAAATAAAAAAATTAAATTAATTTTTTATTAGTGATATATGAGTTTTACTAAATAACTCGGCAACTATTCATTACATGTAGATGTAGCTCAGATTAGGTATATATTAAAGTTTACAAAACAGGTATTAATAGGTCTCATTTCCGGAAATTATATACAATTTAAATTACCTCTATGAATCTGTAAATATAGAAAACAAAGTGTTAAATTACAAATGTTAAACAAAAAATTCAAAATATTCAGTGAAGTATTTTTGAATTAAGTTTTATTATTATAATTATATCATTTCTACAATATAGACCTTCTTAAATTAACCCCGTATAGAATAAAGAATGTAGTTATTCTAAAATATTGTTTATTTTTTTACAATTTAATTATTGCATTAATATTTATTGGTTAATATAATCTACCAAAACTGTTATTATAGCACTATAATTTTTCAATGAAAAAATTGACTTTACTGATGTTTTTTATTGTCTAAGCCAATTTTTTAAAATATTTTTTATGTTTTATTATTCTCTGACTATCGAGCTTTGATAAAAGGCCAACAATGACAAAATTAAGCCAAATGCTGATTCTCAGTGACCAAAAAACTAACTTAAATCAAAGTCCTTAGTTCCCCATTCTGGGGCAGTGCGTTCACTTTCTTTTTTTTTTTTTTGGAAACATTGGATTTTTTTAAATAAATAGTTACAAGGAAAACGATATACAATTCATAGAAATGTTGTGGTGATGCACGGCAGGAGGGTCTGTCCCACCGTTTATTTTGAATAATATAGTGATAAAGTGGGCTTTGGTGCCTCTGAGAATAATCACAAAAAAATAAAATAAACCTAATAAATAAAAAATTATATTTTCCATCGATTAAACACTATCCCAGTCTTCACGGGTTCTTCATCTAATAAAGCATTTTCGGATACATTGAAGCCTCCTTCTGTCTTGGTGGGACATTATGTTAGACAACGTTATTTTCAGTTGTTTTAAATAGTCCTTCGTTTTCTGATTACTACAATCTTCAAGTCACACATGTGATCTATCCAGCAGAGTTGAAGCTTTTCTTCCATTCTTCTTCTCGGACTGATTATCTATTATCTGTAGAGAATGGAAAAAATAAATAAATAAAAAAACGCTAAACATCAGATTGATGAGTTATTAGACAGCTAATTTACAAGTTACACAACTATGTTTATCAAGATTATTTTTTTTTCTGAGTAGCTATTACAAAAGTTAAATATAATATACAGGACTTGAGTGAACCGCCTACTGCGAGCAAAGTCCTGCACTTTCGTGGTAATGATGAGCCTCCCGATGATACGGTAAGAGGCATGTGTATTGATAGTTTCCCCAGGATAACTTAAATATAAAAAGTCACTGCATTTTTTAAAGCTTGTCTATACCAGCATTTTAAAATGTTACTTGCATTAATCAGTGAAGTTTTAATGTCAATTAATTGACCTTGAGTTTTTTTTACAAACATTTGTTTTTTCTTATGGCGACCTACTTTTATTATAATAATTCAATTATTAGAAGATTTGATTTAAGAAAACTACCACTTAAAAACTCTTGAACATTTTTCACTTATATGACTTTACATGAACTGATAAAGGAAAGTTGTTGTTTTTCTCTTCTTATAGTTGAAAGAACAAAATTATTAAACAATTGACTATGGTTTACAATCTGTATAGTAGATAATTATCCCTCCCTTGGAAAAAACAAAATGAAATGTTCAAAAATATACTTTCTACCCTACAGAAAGTAACATTAGTAGTATGTTGCACAAGTTTTAAATCACATTATAAAATTATATTCCTCATTCTCGTTACACTATTGCAGATAGTTTTTGTAGTTTCACATTACACTTTCAATCTTCTCTTTCTCAATACATTTACTTTTACATATTTTATATCTTATTCATTTTTATCTACAGGCATGTAAAGAATTATATAAGCCTTTGCTTTAGGCCTCTTTTTAAAAGTTAAGTCATTGTAAAAATGGTCCCATTGCTTAAGAAATTTGAATGGCTATGGAATGCTAAAAAGGGAGATCAAGCTACCTGAAGATATTACCATCAGAATAACTATTGAATTTCGAGTATTGTCGGTTGTTCACTGTCCCGGTTCCACATCAAATTATTCAAGTTTTGGCTAAAAAAAAATTTGGATCTTTATGTTTTATCCCATAAAAATTAAAAATGTTGATGACCACAATCATTACATTAATACAAATATGGCCATAAAAACTGGACTGTCTCTAAACCTATTGTTATACTGCAGGGACCTCTCGTGTGTTTACCTAGTGGTGTTTTCATTAAAACATCCTGAAATATGGAAGCATAAAATGCTTTGTGAGAAATTTTGACAACTTTATCTTATCTTAGAACTGTCACGATACGTTTGGAACAATCATATACAGGACAAGGATAGTAGTATGCTTGCAAGCAGAATATATAAGTGACGGAGACTAGTTCTCCATGTTTCAATTGCAATCTTTGGAAAAAGAAGAAAGAAAAGTAAAGATAGGTGGTTTGTTTGGATTATACTACTTTTATAACTGAGATTAATAAAAAAAAAAAAAAAACCTCGGACTCTCCCTTTCAAATTTAAACCAAAAATTTGTATTTGTTGTTTAATGGTGGCCATCCACAATTGTACTAGGCACTTCACTTTTTTAGGTATAGATATGTGTGGCCGAATTTAAGAATAAAAAATATTAACATTTCTCTTTTTTTCAGTTTATAAAAATAAAAAAATATTGTTAACTTCAAAATTATGAAAAAGGCATTAAGGACAATTTCAATAAGCTCTCTTACTGACCTTTGTTCATGTTTGCACATAAAGTTTAAAAAAAAAAAAATTCATTTCGATAAACTAGTGTTACGACCCTATATTGATCCTAGATGAAATCATATAAAATAAAAAAAAAATTTAAATCATTAAACACATTACATATTAAAGTTTAAAATTTATTTATATGATTTTCTATGTTTTGGATTTTTTCGTTCTATAGTCCTTATTATAAACATTCTCAAAGTTTAACAGTTGAGAGAGGTTTAATATCACAAAACGTATCCCAAATAGCTCTCAACAATTTCAAACAGAATAGCCTTTATGAAACTATTTTAAATGCTTGTTTATTATTTTGGATATTATACTTGCTACATACTGGTTTATAGTATTACATGATACATTTTTCTCCAAATAGGGTGCTAATAACTATTACTTTAAGTTATCTCTACACTCATAGTAGTCACTCATAACTGAATGCTTCTAATATCTTCTATAGTATATTTTATTTTTGGTCTTAAATGTGTAATTATTTTAAATGATAAACCTGTTGTGAATTTCTTCTATTAATTTGTGGATTTTTTTCTGGTTTATTATGTATTATTGTTTGTAAATTATAAATTCTTCTTGTCTATTACTTAATAAAAACAAATTATCATCAATGATCCATTTTTGTTGGTATATCTATAATGAATACATACACCTTTGTGATTTAAATTATTGCATAGTATAACTTTCTATTTATATGTTTGGTTCATGATATTTTTTTTCTATATTAACATATGAGTTTATTGGACTCTATTGCATCAACTTGGAGAATGTGAAAAATATCAGAAGATTTTTAAGATTGGTGTGCTGCACATTTTTTAAATTGGTGCATGACTTAAAAAATATTTTAGTCTGAAAGTGGATTGTTTTCCTATTCAGCATGATATAGTGCATTCATATCATTGTTTCGAGCACATTTTGATATTCAAGTATTTATAGTATATTTCTTTTATATAAGTATTGTACCTATTGCAAATATATTTTTCTTGGCTGGCATATTTGCTTTGCATTTACGATTATTTAGTTTACTTTTAAGTCTTTTTATATTTAGTGAAATCTTTTATAAATATACGGGGATTCTTGAGAAAGTTCATATAAAAATGTAAAACAAAATTATTTTAATTTATTGTCGCTACATAATATTACTTGGAGACATAATACACTTACATCATCTCCGTTTCCAATGCTGAAACGTTTGAATTCCAATGTTTTGATGGCTTCTAAGGCCAAAGCTGTTTTGTTTTAAAATTACTTCTGAATCCGAATTGATGCTCAGATATTATTTTTTCATATGTCAGTATGTCAAGAAGTCTTTTATCCAACTCAATTGCCTGATAGCACAATTGGGTTATTGGTATTTCTGATAGGTGATTATAAAAAAATAAATTAAGAAAAAACATGTTTCTTCATATAAAAAGTGATCTATTCATTAATAATCAAAAAGCTGCATATTTAAATAGGGAATATTTTATCCTTTAGATTAGAACAAAGGCATGGGAAGCTTAGCCACACTCCACTCTAAATTTAAATCATGATGGAGGATTTAAAATCCTCCTGCGACCAAATTTAGTTGAATCTGATCATCATGATGTTTTAGACGTCTTGAGAATGGTGTGGTCAAGTTTACATTGAGGTTATCTCCTGGAGGACCCAATGCTTGATGGACAGTGCCTCCAGAATAAAAAAAATAATGAAGCAATGACAATTACAAATATTCAACCTTAATTTCCTTGACTTTTCATCCTTGGTTCCTTGGTTTGTTTCCATTACCTAGAATAAAGCCTTAAAACTTTTAAGAAAGTTCTCTTTTAATTTTAACATTTTCTTGGAACTAAAGTTCTGGATTTATTATAAAAACAAAGTTTTAGAAAGTGAAAAATCAATTGTAAGTGAGCTCAACTGCACTTAGATAAGCTCAGCTCAGCTCCGATGCGCTTTAGGTTGCCGGTCAGCCTAGAAGTTAACTCTTAATTTCAAGCTAGGCATGGGATAGATTTCGCTGCTTTCAGCATGAAAAATCTCCATGGCCAAAAAGTTAGAAAATGAAGCCCATTTAAACTAGCATGTGACAACCCAAGGGACACATAGAGTGACTAGCGCTAGTGTATTGTGTCTCAGGAGGTCTATTGAACAGAAAATGTTAAATTTTCTGATCAACTGTAATTTTTCTTTTTTTTTTTTTTTCTAACTTTATGTATGAGCTAGCAGACAAACCTTGTATATATAAACTGATTAATATCACTTTTATTTTTCCACATTATTCTTTGTAGCATTATTTAATATATATTTTTTATGTGCATGTAGATTTATTTTTTTAACATTACTTTGATTTTTTTTATATATATATATATATATATATATATATGACACCCTGTATGTATATGTATATATATATATATATATATATATATATATATATATATATATATATATATATTTAAGAGATGTGTATATGTTATACTTTATTTTATTTTCTCTTCTCCTAATCTTGACGCATAATCACTTAAATATCTTAGGGAACATATGTATATCATTATTTGTTTTTTTATATTTTTTTTGTTTTAGTTTTGCGATTTCTTTCCCTACATATTAACAGTTATTATTGTTATTTTTAATTTTTATATTCCATCACTACAATGCTTTACCTATAAAATAGATTTTACTTTCCTTTCTAATTTCATTCAGTGATTATTATGCAATTATTTTAGTTCCAATATTGTAGTACTGAACCCCTATTACCCAACTGTCCTCGTTAATTTATCCTAAGAGCTTAATTAATACTTAATGTATTACATGTATTTTGTTATTATTCATTGTAATAAGTCTTTTGACCAGATTTATAGTTAATATATATGAACAATACTGTTATTCTAAAGGGACCTAGTCCCAGAATAAAGATGATTTTTCTATTTCTATTTCTATATATATATATATATATATATATATATATATATATATATATATATATATATATATATATATATATATATATATATATATATACAGGGTGTCACAGTTCTTAATGGCCAATCTCTGGTGTGTTTCCAGTCAATTATTTCATCAATAAAGTTGATTTGATAAATGTGCCTATTCTGAACAGAAAAGGTGTGTTTTTCTTAAGCTAGTCATGAATTTTGTTAAATAAGAAGAAGTTGCTAAAAAATGTTCAAGATAATTAAATTCTACATACTAAAGGACACCATAGTAAAGTAGACAAAATTTTCTTTTAGAAAACTGTGATTAAATTTACGAAGGCCAATGATAAAAGGGATTTCAGAAGCTCTAGTAACGCAGAGCCTACCATTATGCCGAATTATTTCATGAATTGGGATTACAGAGGTATGCTGCTTAATGTTGTAAAAAAGGTCGGTGAGAATGCTATAAGGCTTGAGCCGAAAAGGCTCTATCTTTCCCGACTCGGCCAAGAACCATACTTGTTTTTTACCATACTCATATGTTTATTAATGGATTTTTTAAATTGTTTTACAATTTTTATAATAGAGTAAATTGTTATACATGATGTTTGGTAGTAGTATTACATCTTTGACGGTTCCTTAAATTATAGTTTTAACTGAAACAAAATCTATTGTTTAGGTTGATCGTTCTTTTCTGATCATCCCAGTAAATAAAAACAAAAATTGGTCTTAACTCCTTTATCGTTCGGAATCGACCCATGCATCAAATGAACTTTCTTGTTGGAAATTTTGTCTAGAATCACACCCTCGAGTTTAGTCATTTAGAACTGAGATACCCTGTGTGTATATATATATATATATACATATGTATTTATGTTGCACTGAAATAATTTTGTAATAACTAAGATATATATATATATATATACATACATATATATATATATATATATATATATATATATATATATATATATATATACATATGTATTTATGTTGCACTGAAATAATTTTGTAATAACTAAGATTACTATAGTTTTAAGTTGAATTTTAAGATGCTGTTTAATTATAACATCGAATTTATTTAAAATTGTGTATAATAATAAACTGGTGTTCAATATTTGCATTCATCTAAAGCTATATCTTAATTTTAACTAAAATGATTTAGCTGAAAAATAGTTGCTTTATTTATTTTAAGGTTGTTTTATATCCAAGATACAAGGAAATTTTTCGGATCTAGAATGTATTCTCAATTTTCTCCTGTCATAATGTTTTTATGTGGGTTCATGTTTTTTCCAGGCTATATTCACCGTGTAGACTTTAATGTTAGAAATAGTTCAGTTAAACTATTGATGGTATCAATAGTGAAACTACTGACAGTCCTAGTAGACATTTTAGAAAATTTAAGCCCATCTAATAAATCATAAGAGCATCATGAATGAATGCCTTTTTTATTTCAGTAAACTAAGTAAAACAATCGCAATGGTCTTTTGATTCTGTTGCATTAAGTATGCAGAAAATGGCCGTGTTGTATTAGGAAGAATTAATGTAACATGAAATAGATAGTGGCTTAATTTGTTTTCACATTTTTCTTGCCTCACCCTATCAGTCATCTAATATTAATAATAAATATTTATTAACAATCAGTAATAAATAATTATTATTAATTAGACCTTTAACCACTAATGGCAGCAGAACGAGGGTGAGGTGACTGTCACGGAAATAGTGAGATAAGAGATGCCTCTCATTAACCATTTTTTTTTTTTTTTTTTTTTAATTTTTAACAGTCTCTGCTTATATAAAGCTAACTGAATATTTATCAAATGTTTACATAATTTAATTTAAAATAAAAGATGATCCAGTGCTTTACTGAACTAGGTTCAAAAATATTAGTTACTTTGTTACTTCTATACTTATCTTTTTTTGCTCTTTATAGCTCTACCATGTTGGTGAGTTCAATAACCAATCAAAATACTCAGATGAACATCTTGAAGAACATCAGCCTTTTCCAACTCTTCAGCAGGCATTAGAAATTTTGGATCCTAGTGTGGGATTTAATGTCGAAATTAAATGGACAATGCAGCTTAAGGTAAAATCTTTATTTTTGTATATGTATAATTGATTATTTGTTAATCTTCGAGATGACAACATGCAGAAAACAATTATGATCTATTCACCTCAATCCATTGCTTAATATCGATGAACTATTACCACCAACCTCATACGACATTATTATGGCATATGGTTTATGTTAAATGTGGTTAGATACTAATAAGATATGGACCAGTAGTGTAGGCACTATCAACCCATTTTTTTTTAACCTTAAAAAAATTGATAATTTGAAACTTATTTATTTATTGATGTTACGACGTTACAGACATCCTAAAAGTCCTGATGGTCGAGAATTAAGCTCTTGTTACACTCACTATAACATTTTATTATTTTTTTTTTCATTAAATAAAATGTACCACTACAACCTATAAAGTCTTTGATTCAGTACTTTGTATCTCGTATTCAGTAATAAATTGGTAGGGTTGCCCAACATTTTTATTAGTAACAAATACCATAACCAAGAGCCAATAATATAATAAACATTGAGACGTATCAGAACTTGTTTTATTTTTTATTTACAACTTTACTAAATAAATATAACCAGTATATATGAATAAATTAGGAATAATGACATGAACATACTTGACGAGATACTACCTAATCGTAGCTCTATCTAAATAGTTCTAAATGAGAAGATTCTGAGACCATCTATTCAAACATATAGGAGGATTATGAGGAATTGAGATGGAAGCATAGGAATCTGACCAAATTAGCGGTGGAATGGATGAGCGGGCAAACGGGTGTGCACAGCACTCTGCGTTGCCTGGCAACCTGATAGTCAAAGTTCGTGATAGCAAAATAATTATGAGTTCAAATCGTGGTGGAACTTTTAACTGGCCATTATTCCCCCAACCTTTACTTCAGCCCAGGAAAAACCCCGTGTAGCCTAAAGGCAAGGAAGGGTAGACAAAAAAAAGTAAATAAATAAAAGATCAAATTAGCGATTAAGGCAATTTTTTAAAAAATATTTTGCCCCTTTGTAAATTTTAAGAATATACTTCCATAATGAAGATAGTTAATAATTTTGTATTATACAAGAAAGTGTATGTACTGAAGGTGTAATTTTGTTACCTTAATCAGACCTTTCATGTATAAAATACTACTTTTAACACTGAAAGAGAACTTGGATTTAATCAAAATTAATCAGGAAAAAATTAAAAACTTCCTGGCTGTTCACTTGTCTATTCAAAAAATCCAACATGCCACAGTTTGGCATGCCTCCTTTAAATTGTTTCTCTCTTTGCTAATTTTTTATTTTCTCAGGGTATAAGAAATTCGTTTCCCAAGTTTACTATAATGCTACCAAGTTATTTAAAAATAAACTATCTATTTGTTAGTTATTAATTCCTATTTTAGAATTATATTAATAATGTTATTCTTACCATTTTCAGGATGGCACTTATGAACTTTATCATCCTTTTGATTTAAACCTATACTTGGACACAGTATTAGAGGTAGTTTTAAAACATGCCCGAACAAGAAATATTATATTTTCGTGTTTTCATCCGGATATCTGTTCAATGTAAGTATTCAAGTTATTTTATAAACTATCGATGATTTTTTGTTATAATATTTCTTCTTTTTAATTGTGTAGGATCCGTTTAAAACAGAATAGATACCCAGTTATGTTTTTGACTCAAGGTATCACTGATAAATATCCAGCTTACCATGATCCCAGGTGTCAAAACGTCCCTATGGCTGTACATTACGCTGTCAATATGGATATATTGGTACATTCTTAATTTATTTTATAAATATTTAATTATAAAGTCTTGCACTTTTTTCTTCCTCTTAATGTTTGTTTTATCTAAACTAATATTTTGAAATTGTTGAAAAAGCAAATGAAGTTTTAAAATATTTTCATAACAGATTCATAAGTATGCCTGTGTCTATAGCAGAGATGAGTATATTTATATTCAAAAATATAAATACGAATACCATTTATATTTATGATACTTTTGAATATAAATATGAATATATTTATATTCATAAAATGAAACATGAATACAGATGATACGTATTCACCACTTTAAAAGTGAATACGGCTGTATTTACAGTTTTACAATTGAATACTATGGCTGTATTCACGTTTATTAAAATTAATACGCTTAAATTTACAGAAGCGAATGGAAATATTTTCGCAGAACTTTATGAATGAATACTCTCATTTATTAAATAAATTTTAATTTATTTGTTACTTCAGGTATTTTCGAAAATAAAACAAAAAAAAGTATAAATTAAAATAAAGTTCTGGTGTGTGTGTGTGCGTGCGTGTGTGTCGACTTTTCCAATTTCCTTAATTGACTTTAGTTTACATACTTAGGAACCTCCTAAGATCTTGATATATACATAATTATAATTATATGTTTAATTAAATTAAACGTTTATGTATACATCATTTCGAGTTAGCAAATATCAACTTTTTAACATTATTCCAACATTATTTAGGAGATTTATTTAATAAATCCCTTACTATAAAGAATTTTATTCTAATTTTTGTATACTTTTTTTGTTTTATTTTGGAAAATATCTAAAGTAACAAAGGAATTAATATTTATTTAATAAATCAGAGTATTCATTCATAAGGTTGTGAGAAAATATTTCCATTCACTTCTGCAAATTTATGGTTATTCATTTTAATAAACGTGAATACAGCCATAGTATTCACTTGTACAACTGTAAATACAGCCATATTCACTTTTAAAGTGGTGAGTACGACCGTATTGATATTTACAACTGTGAATACGTTTCATCTGTATTCATGTTTCTTTTTATGAATATAAATATATTTATATTTATTTCCAATAGCGGTCATAAATATAAATGGTATTTGTATTTATATTTTTTAACATAAATATGCTCATCTCTGGTCTATAGCAACCCAATAGTTGGGCAGCATCATTTTATGAAAATCAATTGTTTCTCTCTGTCTCTTAATCCAAGAATACTAGATTCACATTAACTGATAGATAACATTGAAGTTAACGTTTCCTTTAAGTTAAAGTTAATTCATTTAATCAACCTTCATAATGTTTTTATTAATGAAAGATTATTTTCCACAAAGTGATGTAGATAGCTCCTGCTTCAGTGTGATTTTGAAAAAAAAAAAAATTTAACAAATGACCTGTTATTGTGATCGTCCCTTATTTCTTAACACCTTTCATTCTTTCCAACTTTTTTCCCCCTCCTTTTAGGGTTTATAATTATTTCACCAAAATTGTGAGGAATCAAAGAAACTTCGAAAAAATAAGTTTATGGGGTGAATTTATCGTCTATTCAAGTTATGACAATTCTAATTAATTAAATTAAATTATCTACATAAATCATTATAGATTTAAGACAGATGATTTTTGGTGTTTAAAAAAAATTGTCTTTACCAATATACTGTACTAAGTTTAAAAATGAAAAATTTTTAGGCCATCATTTTTAATAAAATATGAGTATACCAAATACTATTACTTAAGGATGATACTCATTTAATTTTTTCCACAGAATTTATTTATATTTAAAAATAAAAATAGATAGTGGAGAAATTGTTGACTGTTAATTCTTATAAAAGAAGTTGGTTAAGGATTGCAACATTTGAAGTTCACAGAAATAAATTAAATTTATTTTCTTTGGTTTAATATTTCGGTGTCATGGTCACTATTTTCTTAGTATTAATATGTTATTTTTGCTTAGCCCTGATGAAAGCCTGATATTTTGCCTCAAAGGAAATATATATAATTTATTTTTTTGTTCTTAAAATTACTGTATTCCCCTCCCCCTCAACTTCTCTAATAATATAGATAATTAAAAAGAAATTCAAAAAACTAAAGTTTAAGCTTCAGACCACACGATCAAAGTGAAAACATGAACATGGCAGGATCTCGGACTAATGGAGTCATCTCTCTGTTAATTCTGTGGTCAGGATGATGAAACAGCTTATCATATCTTATTACTTGTTAGTGTTAAAAGTTCGCCGGGTTTTAGATTCTGTCTATTTGTTAATGATAGATTGCTGGACCCAAAGATCAACAACCTTGTCAATCAGACAAGCCTTTTTCAATTTGAAGAGACTGCTGGAATAATGCTCTAAATAAAAGCAACATTAATTAGGGCGCACAATAGATCTTAGATGCTCGCTGTGTTTTATGCCACTAAAAGTAAAAAAAAATAATATGAAATATAATTTTTTTATTATTTTATATTCACAAAGTTATAACATTTACAAAATGTACAATTAAATTAATAAATGCAGTATTGGTAATTTTTTGCTCAATAAAATTTCTGTAACAGAGGTCAGTAATTTGTCAAAACACTATCGAGTACAACAGAAAATCAAATAGAAAGACTTAATTTGTTATTTTCAAGGCTAATTTAAAAAATTTCTATATTGACTTCTGGAAATTTGTTTCTGAATTCTCCATGGTTTTTAAATTTTGAGATATTTTAGTCCAAATGTTTAAAAATATTGTTATCAATTGGTTTTCTATATTTTTCCCTCTTAGACATGGTGTTGCCATCAAGATACACTTTTCAATAATAGCTCATTATAAAGAGGATGACATGCTGAACGTTTCTCTTGCTTACAGTGTGTAGGTCCAATTTTTAGTTTCTGAGATATTTTAATCCAAATGCAAAAATTAGTTGACTCGAGCCAACTTTACCAGAATGAGCTTTACATAGTGAAGCGTGAAGGCTCATTCTCATTCAATACTCACAACATAAAGTACTAAGCATGCCTAAAGAAGTCTTCATTTCAAAAAATTAATTGAAATTGAACCTAGTTAGTTATCAAGTTAAAAGAGAGGTTAGGAAGCATCTACAAGATGGTTCAACATTTACAATTAAGTTTTCTTATTAAACACTTGATAAAGCAAATGAATACACTCTAAAAAATATAGAAAATTTTACTGACTGATCACTATAAGTTTTTATTTTTCTTAGATAAGTTTCTTGTTATATTATATATTTTGGTAATAGTGTGTTGTAATTATATCTTTTCAAAAATATTCACATATTTGCTTATTTCATTTGTGAATTGTTGATAGATGTTTCATTTAGTTTGTCCCGTAGGGAATAAATGTTCATAGTGAGGAACTTTTACGTGACTCATCGCAAATAGCTCTTGTGAAGCGAGCTGGTCTCGTCCTTTTCTGTTGGGGTGATGATAATAATGATACAGAGACTATCAAACACCTCAAAGACTTGGGAATCCATGCTGTTATTTATGATAAGTAAGTTTTCAATCCATTATTTTGTTATATTTAACTTCTTTCTAAACCTATTCTATTTTATTTAATATATCTCTTTCTTTTCTTAAATTCTTCCTAACTTCTAAAATTTTATAAATTAATTATCTGTAATCAGAGAAAAAATATTCATTATCATCAATTTCACAATTATTAGTATATGATAATTGATGAAGATAAATTGATAAAGGCAAGCAAATAGTCTATTTTATGCCGTTTTTGTTCTCTTGTGATTAGTATGCGGTCTAAAAAACTTAAATAAAATCATTTTACCCGTAAATTTGAATAAAATATAATAGATGAATGCTTACACTTGGAAATGTCATCCTTCCATTTCTAATTGAGATCTGGTTAGAAGACTCAAAAAATATGAGTGGTAGATCTCCATATCATAGGCTTATATCTATTATTTTCTGGAAGCTTGTGAAAATCCTGTTTTTATTATAAATTTAATAAAAACCAATACTGATGACTTTTTTCTTATTATTATTGGTTTATAATGGTACATAAATGGTTGCCTGTAGCTCCAATTGAAGGAATTGTAGTTGGCCAGGGAGAGAGAGCTGTAATATAGGTTTTTTTTTCTCCCCTTCCTTGTCTTTTAGGTTATATGGGGTTTTCTCGGACCAGGTGGTAAGTGCGATGGTTTAATACCAGAGTTAAAAGACCCCTTTGGCACAGAGACGCAAATTCCATATTATTTTATCATATAATCTTCTATCTAGGTTGCTAGGCAACGCGTGGTACTGTACACAAGCGTTAGCCCGCTCGGCCATTGCCCTCTTCCCCCTCCCCCTCTCTTCTCTCCCCTCCCAAAACAAAACCTCACTTCACCAGGATATGAACTCGTATATATTTTATTAAGTAAACTTCGGTTTATCAGGTTCCCAGGCAACCGGTGTTTTACGAAGTGTTATCCCGCCCCACTGTCTTGCACCCTAATGCTATGTAGGTTGATTAATTTATTGTGATATACATATTGAAACATAGCCTGTAAAATAAATATTATATCACAATAGTGTTGTTTTTCTTTATCTCCCTACGAACTATTCCTTCAATATTAGATTAAATTGAAGTTATATAACAAAAATTGTTTTTTCTCAATTTAATATGAAGTCACTCATATATCTGTTTCTGTCTACTCTCTGTTAAAATATCTATAAAAATATTCTGATGTATATTTATTAGTAAGTAACATTAGTGATGTTTTTTAACTCAATGCATTTTCATTGCATCCTTTTTGTTTCAGGATTGACCAAAGATGTTCCAAAGAAGTAAAAGAGAGTATCTTCAGATTGGAAGCTCGAGAATCTGAAAGAATACAGATTAGGGCTGCAGCAGAAAGAGCGTCAGTAGATGAATACTTGCACCCAACTCCAGAAAGGCAAAACTCAACCGAGGTCAGATGTTATTTTGTAATGTAGATTTTGATAAGTCTTTTCCACTTTCGTGTTTGGCTATGGATTTTCCAATATTATGGCCAAGGTCTGCAATTTAACCAAACTTATCTTAGCTCACTTGTGCTGTTGACAAGATTAGAAGAAATAACAGTTATTCAATTACCGTGATTAAAAACTGGACTTGTATCATTGTTGAGTCCAGGTTCAAGTCCGCTTATAGTATAATTATAATACCTTTAATCCTAAAAGGGATTATCTTTAACAGTGTTGCAGAATTAGTCTGGGCCTACACTAAATTTAAAGGCTATCTCTAATAATAATCTCCTATCCTAACCTGCATTTAGACTCATGGTTGTTCACGGAATATTAAGGCATTTCCATTATAGCCCAGTAATCGTCAGCAGCCGTTTTCCTGCTGTTTAAGTGCATTTTTCTTAAGAACCCTTGCAAATATGTTAAAGATTAATGAGTGATTTAGAAATGTATTTTTAGAAAAGAGGAATGTATTTTTTAGATGTTTTATCTTAAGGCGTTTTTCATTATTGTTGACCATTTAGTTACAAATGACGCTTGATTTTCAGCATTCATTTGAACGACTTGAAATAATTGACTTTACTGGTATTTTTTATTGCCAAAGCCAATTAGTTATTTGTTGGTATTTTATCATTCTCTGACTATTCAGCTTTAATAAAAGACAATTATGATGAAATTAAGCCAGCTGCTGAATCTCAGTGACCAAAAAACCAACTGAAATCAAAGGAATCAACCCGTCATGTTTGGAAGCCGTTATAGTACAGAGCGGCCACATTATTTTGTGGGGAAAATTGGCTTTTTTTTAATAAATAGTTACAAGAAACACTGCGATATGAATTTTATAGGATTGTGAGGGGGAAGTGCACGGTAGGGAGTCTGGCCTACGGACTATCCTCACCCACCAAAACTCACCTCTCCCTCTCCATCACCCCTCGTTCAAAATGTGAAAATGTTTATTTCATTGACTCATATCAGACAGGTTATTTTCTCTGTTTTACATTTTATTCTATGATTAACTCAATTCCTTTTAGCATACTATCACATCATATTTTAGAAACTCTATCACCCCATTTTTTTTTTTTTTTTTTTTTTTTTTTTTTGTCTACACTTACGTTTATTATCTTAATACATTCCACTACTTTTCGTTGTTAATTCATTTTTCATTTCTTGTTACCTTATTTTAATTATGTTTATTTCATTAGTTCCTACTTTGTTGCCGTTATTATTTATTTCTTAGTTCCCTGTTACTGTTATTATTCTACCTACTTTATTTTACTTTAAGTGTATTCTACCTATATTTTTTAGTCTATACCTTTCACCTTTTTAATTTTTATTATTCAATCTTTATACCTTATTGTTATTTGGTTTTTTCTTAGCCCTGATGAAGGTCTGAACTTTGGCCGAAACGTCGGCAAAAATAAAACTAAATATAATTATTTATTTGTACTAATTATTTTTTACTGATCACTCCAACCGCTATTCTCTTCAATTTATTATTATTGTTTGTATTCATACAATTTTCACTCCCTCTTTTTTCAGGCTAAACAAAATTTCATGATGGAAGCAGCAGCTAAAAATGAAACCATGTCTTTCCCTTCCCAAATAAGCCTATGGACAGAAGATGGTCTTGGACATGCCTCATCTTGAAATTTTTTAATATGATAACACATTTTCTATATTAGTGAATTATTTTGAATTTTTTAAAGAAAAAATTTTTGCTTTGCATTAATGTACTTGAATTTCTTCACCTTTTGGTCTCTCGAAATTGGCTCATTAAGAAAAATATATACATATAACATATATAAATATAAACTAACAAATTATTTTTAAGGTGAATTAGGACAATATTGTAATTAATGAAATCATTCTCTATCTGTGCACTTGATGTACGGTGCGAGATGTATTTATTAACTCTGTGATAAGAAAAATATTAACAAAAATGTTGCGTGTATATATTGAATGAATGGTTCTAATTCAGTGGAACTTAAATTTATTTTATCCCAGTTAAAAACTCTTTTTAATTTTCTGATGTCAGGAATGAAGACAAGTAAAAAATTCTTGTGTCAAACTTACTGCAGCCAATTTTTTTCTTTTTTTATTAAATATAACAGATAACTTTTTTTTCTCAAATCATGATTTTGTTAATTGCAGTTATTTAATCATTAGTTTACAAGTGAAACTCATAGTCAAGATTTTAAAGTGTTTTTTTCTTTATCCAATGTTCCAGCATTAATATTTGCAAAGTTTGTCATTAAATCTTACTCCTTTTCAGTGAAATACTTGAAATAAAGCTAGAATCCCTGCATTAAAAAAAAAAAAAAAACAAAGACTCACAGATTAAATTTTTTATGATCCCTAATTTTTTAATATTTTAGTATATTGCAATTATGTATTTGCCATATGTATAATTTTATTGTATAATTTTTTTCTTTTTCATGGGCTGTAATGACTAGTTAAGACATAGAATGACAGATAAATATATGCTTATTTTTGTAAAAATTCAATTATTCATATTCTACAAAATCAAGTTGGATAGCTTTTTCCTAATGTAATGCACAACTTTAATAGTTTTTAAATTGAAGAATATAATGTCACTACTTTGTAAAAATTTTCAGTGTAAACTAAGTAGTTTACATCCTTACATCTACATCCTCATCAAATGCTCGAAACTTACAGGTCTTTTAGTTTTAGTGTTAGATCAGTTTGGACGTATACTAATGCTTATATTTTTGTGATTGATTATATGCCAAAGAATAAAATGGGAATAACACGAAAAAGAGAAATGTAGTCTGGTTCACAATTTTTATTCATACATAAAAATATGTACTGTTATTATTGATTAAAAAATAAATCAGTATAATTAATTTTATTTCATCCTATTAAGATAGAAATATAAATGGATGAAAAATCCTATTTCCACATGGACTGATTTCCAATTATACATTGTTTGGGGAATCTATACTGTGGAATTCGTTTGTGGTAGGGATCATAATTTTAATCTTTTGTTGTTAGTTCTCTTGCAGAATTGAATATCTGATGAATTTATTGAGCAATACTAGAGCTTCCTACATGCACTATTTGATGCCCTTTATGTTGCCCAGTTGGACTCTAACACGGGAAAACATACGAGAACAGAGCACAACACTATCAGATTTTATATATTAGGCAATAAATTGAGAAAAACTAAAATAATGAAATTTAAACAAAACCTGGCCAATCTCTCCTGAAACTAAGATATGAGAAGTCATTTATCAGAAGTTACTCAAGTCAGAAATGGAAATATTCAGTATTCGAAGCCATAATTGCTGTGAGTTAAGGCATCACCTTAGCAACTTTGAGTCAATACAAATAAAATTAAAATGTATATAATTAGGGGGATACCACCAGTCCTTCTAATGGCAGACCAATCCCCATTTTACAAATTATACAATTGTTCATACATTGTTATACAATTGTACTCAAACACTTTACTCAAATTGTATAACTTTAATTTACATATATTCTGTTGTAGTTTAGATTGTATTATTTTTTATCCACATAAACTGAACTGAAAGAAACCACAGTTCAGAAAAAATTTTAATTTCTTTAAAAATCTATATTACACATCGCGCCTTATTGCTAATTTATATTATTATAATTATTTTTATTGCTAATCTGTAACCATAATATATATTCAACTTGTCCAGCTTCATACGTGAGAAGCAATCCGTTTCTAAATCTCTGAAGAAAAAGTACTAACTATTTAAAATATTATGTCTCTGCAACAAATCATTCGATTTTAGTAATATTTTTTTTTTTGATTTGCAGGGAATTTAGGAAGCTTTCAAATAATCAAACAAAAATCGTGTTCTTTTTGGGAAAGGATTTATATACATAAATTAAAAAGGCTTCAAGAAGACTTTATCCAAGCTGAATTACAATCGTTACAGCCGTTTAGGCGCGACACATTTTTCGGCCACCTTTCCAAAACGAAAGGCCGGAGGGTAATTAAATATATACACTTCTGAATCTGATAGAAACGTTATGTCAATATTTCAAAGCAATCGGTGAAGTTTCTGAGATAAGCGGTTTTGAACAAATGAACATATACATTTTTATTTATGTATAGATTAGGAGAATATTAGGAAACAGGAGCTTAACACATATGTAATAAAAATGAACAGCTGTATAATTAGTACTAATTTTAGAGCTAATAGGTGAGCTCCTGTAACCTCTTACTTTCATATTACTAAAATAAAATATAACTTACACCAAAAACTATTATATAAAATAGAGATATAAAAAATAATAGCCAAGAGAAAGAAGAGCGATCTGAAATGAATTTTAAGAAAAGTTTCATAATTTGGAGCCTCCACTTTCTTCGAACACTTCTATTCGTGAGTTTCTTCATTCATGTAAAAACGTATTAACTACACCAAAATAACACAAACACTATTATATGTCAACAGTTTTATTAAGTACACAATGTTCTGATTTTGCAGGGAGGGGAGGATCAAGTTATTCTTTTATTTAATAAAGCAAAATATTTAATTTGAAATGAGGCTGTATACATTTACTAACTATGAAAATAGATCTTTGAGGGAACTAGGTAAATTAATTATTCCAGCCTTCTAAGTGTTTGAATTGAAACTCAACGAAGGTCCCTTTAAATTAAAATTTATAACTGCTTGTCGCATCCTATAACTAAAACAACAAAATTAAGCTCCTAAACTAAAATAATAGTGAAAAATTTTAAAACATTTCATTACACAAAATGGATATATGCCTTGATTAACATAAACGATGACACCAATGACCATTCTGTCTCTAAGCCATTTTATGGAGATGTAGATAATAAAGCCTTCACAAGAGAAACGTTAAAATCGTTAGTAAGGTACATTGAAATTCTTGGGAGATGTTATGGTTTACAACAGAAGACAGTGTGATGAATGTCAAGTTACGAGGGAAACTAATGATTAAATAATAGGGAGGAACAAAAGTTATGTTAATTCATAAAAAAACTTAAATTTAACATTAATTATGTCATTTCATCAAATATGTTCGATTGAAAATTAATTCATACATTTATAATTACTTTTTTACTATTTAATCATATTAATAAATAAATTGACTAGTTTGAAATATAAAACTAACATTGTGCAAATGTCACGCTCCCTCTAAAGGGATAACCAAACCCCCAAAGGGTCCCGTTTTCAGTGGAGGTTAGGTAGGGTCTTACATGCAGTCACTTCTTTCTACTTTCGAACACACTCCGCCACTCTCCAGATTTTATTTATGATGCGACCATGAGATTTTGTGCCACCAATGGAAGTGGAGTGACATTTGTTAAATTAAATTCCTAATTTATAAAGGTATTGATAAGTCTTTATTTAAAAAATATATATTTGAGAATGCAGGTACAAAGTATTTAATTTCTTATTTTTACATAATATACAATATGAATGAACATAAACTTATCTTGAAAAAATATAAAGCTAGTTTACAAAGCATCCTCTATAAGAAAGTATCAACAAAAATATACTCTGTTTAGAAAAATTTTGTAACCCTTATTGCTGTAATAGGAACTAAAACCTCCAAAAACATATTAGTCAGAATCTGGATCTAAAGAATCATGTACTAAATCAGTAAATTCTCCAATATCTGATCTACTGCTAACAGATTCTAAATCAGAGTCGGGTTCTGGAACTCCAGATGATATTAAGTCGTAATCAGAATTGAATTCAATTGCTCCTGGTCCCCTGAATTTTGAGCCTATAAAAGAAAAAATAAATATAGATAATAATAATAAAATTACTGCTTTAGAAACATATCAAAAGAAACACAAATAAAATATACTACAGCAACATCAAGTATTTCGGTTAGTCATGTCACAGTTGTCCAATCTAGTAATTTTACAATCTTGCAGGCAGTTCTGATAAACAACAAATAATGAATTTAACAATTTGTTGAATATTGATATCAATAATAATAATAATGTTTTATTTATTCTGGGACGAGTCCCTTTAGAATAATATAGAAAGACAATGTGGGCTATGGAGCCTTAGAGATACATAAACAAAAATATAGAGTAATTAAATAGCCATAATAGAAAAAATTATAAGTTACTTACTAATTTAGATCAGTTAATAATGAGTAAAAATTTAAATTATTATTTTAAAAGTACGGTCCTTACCAGAGGCTTTTAATATAATACAAATAACTGACACTTATTGACAAGGAAATACAACCCTATCACTGATAAAAGCCTTATACATAAATTATTAACTAACACTGGAATCACTAATTGGAGTAACACCAACAACTGAACTGAACAGAACTATTAATTGAACTACATCTATATATACTGTAATGATTTTTATTTATTAAGTATTCACATTGTTGGAGTTAAAAATGTTGTGGAGGGGAGGACGGAACCCCCACTCTCTTTTCATCTCAGCCCAGTCTTCTTTAGGCCGTTGGGAAGGAAGCATTGTCTGTAGGTTCCAGAACGAGAGAGAACATGTTCACACAGTTGTCAAGGAAGCATAGACCTAGATGAAGACCATCCTCAAGATAAGTAACATTAGCAGATAAAAATAAGAAGCAGTATGTATGAGATCAGAGACCGAGGTAGCGTACTTAGTTCTTTGAAGGCACAGGGTTATTGGCAATCGTTATGGGTGGGCATGAGGCTTTCCTAAGAGAGAAACTAACGTGGGTGGATTTGTTTCTATTGATTTTGATTTTCCATTTTTCAAACCACTTTTCAAGATCATGGATATGGTTTTGAAGGATAATTGATGCGGCAGTAGGATTTTTGTGTGAAGAAAGAATAGCAGTGTCGTCAGCGAAGCAATAGATGGTGGTACCAGAGATATCAGAGGTGTATAAGGAATAGAGGATTGGGCTTAAGACACTACCTACCTTGTGGTATGCCAAAGTGTTGGGGGATGAAGGAAGAATCTACGGAAGTACAGAAAAATCTGTTAAGAAAGAATCATTGAATAATTAGAAGATAAGTGCGGTTTTAGTTTCTATAATAGACCCTTGTGCCAGACACTATCAAATGCTTTTTCTATGTTGAGAAAGACCGTAGCGCAGTATTCTTTTTTCTCAAAAGTAACAGAGATAGCATCTACCATCCAATGGCACTGTTGTACAGTGGAGTGATAAGAACGAAAGCCAAACTGGTGATTTCGTATCACTTAGCTACTTTCTAGGATAGGCTTTACTTTAGACGGTTCAGGAGTAGCTTTTCAAATATTTTTCCATTATTAGGAGAAGTGCTATAGGATGAAGGAGTAGTGGCAGGTTTTGAATGTTTAGGAATCATTTTAATTATGGAGCGTTTGCAAAGGAGAGAAAAACAGGTAGTGCATAAAATGGAGTTATAGATGTGTGTAAGAACGAGAACAGCTTTTCGAGGTAGGTGTTGAAGAATAAAGGGAGTGATTAAATCATAGGCAGGAGCTGTTTTGTTTGGTAGTCTGTTGATTTCTTTGAAAATTTCTTTTGGATGAAATGCCGATGGGGGTAATGGTAAGAGTAGTGGTTTTGTCAATTCATCTTCTATTGTGTCAGTCAGAGTATTGTCCTGTATTTTGATCGTCCCAAATACCTGTGCAAGATATTTAGTGAATTCATTGTTTTTTTCTTTATATGTTATTGCCCAGGTGTATACGTCGGAGAGGGTATTAAAGGTATTTTTTCTTTAGTAAACCTCTTGTTGTCCATACTAATCCATTTCTATTGTTTGTTGTGTCTATATATTATTATATAGCGTTTATAGCTGTCGCTTTTAAATGTTAATAGTTTTTCAAGTTAATCCATAGATTAAATAAAATATTTAATGTATCAATGTCAATAATTCCCAGTACACGAACTATTTAATCCTCTCAGAATCCAACAACAAATGCTACATGGAAAAGCTCTTCTTCTCCCTCAATATTTTTATAGTTACATTTTCTTCTACCCATCATACCTGTTCGTCCAACACAAGGCTGGATCTACATATCATCGATTCAGAGCAGAAACTCTTGTCCTCTTCTCAATTACCTGTTCCTTTCCTATCCTCTCATGATCTCATCCAATTAACAATACAATATCCAAACTCTCCCATTTCTTTCTAAAACCGTAACTATCTGCAATCTTGATACCTTCACTCGTCATAAAATCCTACCTGACCTTGAAACTTTTTTTTTTTGTTCTCCCCTTTCTTGCCTTTTAAGGCTACACAAGAGACTTTTCCCGTTCTGGAGAAGGGAGCGGGGGAATTATGCAGTTAAAATTCCCACTGGGTACCGGGATTTGAACTCAATATTTTTCCATCTACATTCGGTTATCAGGTTGACGGGCAACACGTGGTGCTGTGCACACACATTAGTCCACTCAGCCACTCCATTGCTCCTATCATCTATTCCCACAACCTATATCCGGCAACTCCTTGTATATTCTCTTATTCCTCGACCCCTCTAACTACGACGGTGTAGTGTACGGTGGCATCTCCATGGTACTCGAAGACAGATGGAAGTGACTTAGGAACTCTTTCTTAAGATTTTTCTTCAGTACTTTGAGGTAGCCTAATGTTTCCCACCTTTAGGATGAGTTAAAGTAGCTTTTTCCTTCTTTCCGCCAACAATATTTCCTTGGATCTTACCTATTCTAAACGATCAGCTCCCGGCAACCTTCCTACATCTAATCTCCTACAATTCAAACCTGTAGTCGAATCCCAGAAAACAAGATCTCGTGTTTCCGACCTTTATATCCCTTCCCACAGAATTAAATATTTAAACATTCCTTTATTGCCCGATCCACTGCTTTCTGGATTTCCTTGCCATCTGATATCCGCCAAGCCTTTTACTTGTCTTCATTCTAATACAACTCAACCAATTCCTTTTCACATCATCCCAAAATGATGCTGACAATCATGAAATAAATTTTATGAATCAAATTTTGGTTGCTGAAATTGTTCAGGTTTTAATTTTAAGAATCAAGTCATAGTGTTTTGTTTCCTATTTTTTCTGATTTACGTTTTTCTTTTCATTTCAATTACGTTGTTGTTTTTCACATGTTTTTACTTTCTGTTGTTTATATGTTAATATGTCACTGAAGATATTGTACATATTGTTTAATTTTTATTAATTTAGTTTTTGGCCAGATACAGTTTTTGTTTTTTGTTAATGATTGTTAAGGGATCTTGTCCCAGTTGAATAAAGTTTATTTTCTATTTATCTACATTGGATTGTGGAAAAATTGATTTTGTTTTATCCTACTAGGTGACTTTAAAGTCTCTTATCTCTTGTAATCCTTATGTAATGAAGCCATTCATTATTATGTTTCAAAGGTCATAGTCCATAGAACATCCTAAATATAAAAATAGTGTTATTTACTTACTTACTTAATCAACAGTTGTTGCCCTTTAAAAATAGAGGAGGTTCCAAAAGGCCATTTTTGTCATATTCTGCTTTTACAAAAAAGGCATAATGCAGCGCAGGCTCATCAAAAATTTTATATTGCTTGTAATGATGAGTGCTTAAATAAATAGGTGTCAGAATTGAATTGCTTGTTTTTGCTTTAGAAATTTTGATGTTAAAAATGAACCTCGTCCTGGCAGACCAATTGCTGAAAACTCGAAATTCTTCAAAAAATCGAGGTAGACAAACACATTTCATCTCACAATATTGTTACAGAACTAAACATAGATGAGAAAAATTTGGAGCCATTTATATAAAGCTGGATACCAAAAGAAGCTCGATACATAGGTTCCACATGAATTAACAGTGAAAATTTCAATGAACCAAGTTTCCATTTGTGGATCGCTGCTGCAATGAGAGGAAATTGAGCCATTTTTGAAACAAATGATTATGGATGATGGAAAGTGGATCACATACGACAATAATGTGCTAAAAAGATCATGGAAAAACCCGGAGAAGCTTCACAAACAACGTCAAAGCTCTGATTGACACCAAGAAGGTGATGCTGAGTGTTTGGTGAGATTTGAAAGTAATTATTCATCATGAGTTGCTCCAACTTCGCTAAACTATTGATTTAACTCTTATTGTAAACAACAAAAATAACCAGAACTGGTGAATAGGAAAGGGGTTGTCTTCCATCACAACACTAGACCACACACATCTTTAATGACCTGACAAAGAGAGAGCTTGGCTAGGAAATTTTGAAGCATCCACCATAGAGCACGAACATTGCCCATTTGACAGAACTCTCTTAATGGTGTAAAGTAAAGCTGGCATCAAAAGAGGACAGTGAAAATCACTTGGTTCAGTGTTTGCCCATAAATCTCAGAAATTCTTTATGGTTTTACCAGAAAAGTGGCAAAAGGTAATCGATCAAAATGGTACAAATATCATTGGTTAGTGTTTGAAATTTATATTACAAATTATTTTTGAAAACATGAAAAAAAAATTAAATTACTTTTTCCTCTACCCAATATATATATTTGGGTTTTATATTTTCTTTTTTCTGTTGCATTAAAGACCTTGTAGATCTTTTGCCGCCTGAACAAGCCTGCTCCATCTCTACCTATCTAGGGATATTTCTTTCCAGTTATCTCCATGTAACTCTATTGCATCTTTGTTGATTCAACCTATCCATCGGGTGGTCTTTTATCTTCCACTTGGTCTCTTACCTACTATTGAAGTATTCATTGATATGTACGAGGTTCCCTGAGGGATTGCTTTAGCTACATTTCCCCCCTCCCCCCATATTTACCTCCTCGCCTTCAAGCGGATTTATACCTCAAATCTTTCAATAATTCTTTCTAGGATGCTGGTAGGTGTACAGGTAAATTTTTTGGCTTATCATTGTTGTTTTATCTTCATTTACTTGTAGGCCAATTTACTCTGCTTCGAACGAGCTTCTCGAAGTCCTCTTGGATAATTGTTGAACTATTCATCATTGCCATCTAGTGTGCAAATTTTCAATGCAGGATCGATAAAAATCAATTGGTTTATAAGCAAAATATATAGAGATGGAATTTTGGATATCACTCAAATTCGCAAATCTTTTGTCACTTAAAAAGTGTTGAAACGATCCGAACAAATCGAAATCCATTGGTGCAATGTTAGGCGAGTATGGTGAATGAGGCAGAACTTCTCACCCAAATTTATTAATTTTTTCCAGGATTCATCTAAGTGCGATCTAGCATTTTCGTGTGGTGGATTAACACCTTTTCTGTTGACAATCGCTGCCCATTTTTCAATTAAAGATTAACGCGATCAAATTGTACACAGTAAAGGTCTGCATTCACAGTTTGTCCAGGTTTCAGCACTTCAAAATGAGTAATGCTGGCAATACTCCAGCAAACACCAAAAGGGCCTTTTTGGGATGTAAATCTGACTTAGTAGAACTTCGTGGCGATTCTTTTTGAGGGGGCCACTGCCTTTTGTGTTTTGGATTATCATACAGAGCCCATTTTTCATCTCCAGTGATAAAGTGATCAAAAAACTCTTCTGTATTGTGTCGTTGAAGCAATAAGTTGCTTAGGTGGTTTCCCAAACCTGAAATGTTCTTGGATATTCCATCAAGATCGGTTAAGACTGTTAGACAATTCCTCTATTGTCTGACATAGATTTCTTCAACTTTAGTCTTTAACACGTTATTGTTTACATAGTTGGTATTCCTGATCAATATGAGTAGGAAAGATCAAAATTGCCATATTTGAACTTGAAAAACCAACTTTGGCATTTGAAACGCATAATGTATTTGGATAAACATTGCAAATATTTTTGGTAGCAACTGTTGCGCTACTATCCTTGCGAAACTCATAAAACATGCAATGCCGCATATGTACTTCTTCTAGTATTTTCATCATACATATTAATTATTTCATCACAATTTTTCAAGACATTTACAAAATACCTAATTACTTTAACAATCATAATAAACAAAGTACTACATACCTTTTTTAAACATAGATTCAATTAAACTAAGGTCATCTTGTTCAATATAATCTGGATCTAACTTAATCCAAGGAAACTTGAAATCATCATAGACCAATCTGGGCCAAAATTCCCCTGGTAAAAAAAATAAATTAGAATACACATCATCATCTTGTTACGGTCTTTAATTTAGAAAAATCGTTTCCGCAACAAACTTGCTGGATGTTCAGTGGAGACGGCAGGATTCACAAAAAAAAATAATCAAGAGTCAATTAAATGAGTCTAATATGCCATGCTATTTAATTGGTTGAATTTGGAAAATAGAGAAAACCATAAAAAGAAAAAAAAAAGAAAATAAATAAATTTAATTTAAAAAAAAAGAATATTTTTTTATTTATTTTTATTTTTTTGTAAACCCTGCCGTCTCCACTGAGCATCCGACAAGTTTGTTGGGGAAACAATTTTTCTAAATTAAACACCGTAACAAAATGGCGCCCCTGAACAGGGACTTGGTATAAATAAAGTGGGTATAAAAGGAAAATTTATTAAAGTTTTTTTTTAATTTATACATTTTTTTTAATAATATTAATTTTTTTAAGAAAAATTTAAATCGGATTAAAATGAATATCGATAGGTTATTCATTAATAAATATACCGTATTGTATGTATGTATATATATGTATGTATATATATATATATGTATGTATACATATATATATATATCTATATATATATATATATATATATATATATATATAGATATTCTTGAGGAAAATTTAATTGTTAAAAACTTTCTTTGCCAAGACTTAATCGTAGAACGAAGCAGTCAAGAGTTAGCTAGTCAAATACTGTAAAAAACATGAGATAAATTTTTTTTTTTACATATTAGCGATAATTGAGGATGGATTTCTCGGAAACTAAGCGAGATAGCGAAAAATGGTAGATAATTAATCATATTGAATTTAATTTATAATAATTTAATTTTGAATGGAACTTCTTTGTCAATGCGATAGATAATTTTCCTGATAAAAACGAAAACCCGAAAAGTGATCTAGGTCCTCCTCTCTCCTCCTCTTCCCCTCTCCCCACCCACACGTGGCTCACCTCTTCACTAATCCAAACAATGTCCCAAAGTCAAAAATTGAGTCCCGCTTTTTCGGGCATGCATTGCTTGGACATGAGAGGGCTAAACCTGTGTAAAACACACGTTTCCCGGCAACCTTATAAACTCAAGTTATAGATATAATAATTACAAGTTTGCGTCCGGATGCCGGAGGAGTTATAAACTCCCCACCCAGGAAAAGCTTCGTATAGCCTCAATGGCATTAAAGGGGTGGACCCAAATAAAAAAATTAAAAAAGTGAGACATTTCAGGTTTGTACATGCTCTTATAATAGTCCGGGAGCCCCTGGCAAAAAAGGTGTTGTATTTCATACTAAGCTTTGTTCTTATAAATTGATCATATCAACAGGCCTGATGAGAAAAACTTTTTCTGTATAGTTTCAAAGTTTAATCATTAAATTATAATTGCTCTAGCCTTTGAATGGTTGAAGATAAGATAGTAAAATAATATATATTCTTAACAAAATTTAATATTAAACAATTTTCTTCCTCATGACATTTTCAAAAAATGAAAAGATTAAGAGTTGGCGAGCCAAATAATGATAAAAATGTGATGAAAAACATTTTTTTATTTAAATTAGTGAATTATGAAGACAAATAGAATATAGCGAATAAACTGATATAACCATTTCTATTGAAAATTTTGTCAGCTTTAATTTCACATATCATACATACTATTATATATATATAACACATAGTTTCACAGATAAAAGCGAAAAACCAAAAAAAAGTAAACTTTTTGAATCATAAATTCATTTTATCGACTTGAAATCTATGAGTATGGGGTAACTGACTATTATTTTAGGTCTTAAGAGTGTTAATAATATAAATTGAAAGTGTTGGTAGCTTTATTTATCTATGGTTTTATCTATGTTTATGGTTAATTTATAAGGAACACCCTTAGTATGCAATATTACACCTTTTATGTCACGATCTCCAGGACTATAAGGAGCACCACGGTTCAGACGAACCGGTGCTTGCCAGCCAATGAATTGCTACGACTGTTGCGAAAAGTATCTATCGTTCGCCAATATTAATAGTTTAAAATCAGAAGGCAACTCAACCGTTCCTGAATTATCTGTAAAATCGAAATTTTGAACAATAATAATCGACAATTGGATATATCTAAGGTAAATTTCTGGTTGCTGCTGAGTCCAAAAATGAATATAAAAAAAAAATCTTCCATAAACGACCCCCATTGGCATTATAGCCTACATTGGACTTTTCACTTCCCGAGACATTTGCCGTCTAGACCGAGGTCATGGTTTTTCAATTATATTCTTAGTATTAATATTTAATGTGTGAAATAAAAATATTAATTAATAATGATTTGGAGTTTCAATTTATTTATCTCTCGATAAATTAATGGGAGAACGTAAAAAACTATTTATTAAAATAAGATTTTTACTAAGTTGGAATAGCGATGTGGTTTTATAGTTTATAACAATATTAAAGGACTTATAATAATCAAGACTGCAGCTTACATTAAAATTTCTTCGGATAACAGTATCACGATGTATCGGCTTTACCGACAAAAACGCCATGTTCGATGATTCAGATGGTTTTTATGTCATTTTGAATGGATATAGCGATTGGAGTTACTGACTCGACTTCTTAGAGTTTTTATAAAAACTGATTGTAAATAGCGACAGTTGAACTTCTAAAACTTACAGAACCTCTAAAAATCTTCGTGTTTATAACTCACTAATCAAGAAAATATTTTATTTCAATCGTTCTCTATGTAAGAATCACATTGATAGGGCTCATTTCATTCCCACTCTTAGTGTTAAATTCATATTTCTGTTTAGTAGTTTAATAAGAATAACGAAGAGCAAAATGTTCTAGATATAAGAAAAATTCTATATATGTTGCCGAATGGAAACAGAAGGTTCAATAATATCTTAGATCAATAATTCAAAATAAATCTCAAAATATGAAAAAATCGCGAATCTAATCATTTATATCGAAAAACGACCGCCTATCTATTCACGACAAAATCGGTTCTTCTTAATTTTCCGCTATTAGACAAGGAGCTACCGACAATTTTATTTAACGGAAGAACTTAGCTTGTAACCATTTTAAAGTCTAGATAAACCTTATCTGAACACACAACTTCGGTCAGTCAATGGAAGCCGTTTCTTTCTATACGAAAATTTAAATTAACAAGGCGAAATTTGTCGCTTCATTTAACAGAGGAACTGACTGCTGAAATTTTGATATGACGTAAAGAATATGTTCCTAAAAGATAATTCACATTGACTGACGACATCAAAATCATCACACATTAGGGCAGTCGGATGGTAGTTGGTTGAAGAAAAAATTCAAATAGTCGGTTTCTCTTCGGTTTTTTATGTTTTTTTGAGATGCTGAATCTGAATTTGACGTTCCCGAACAAAATGTTCTATTGAGTTTCGAGATATATGCAAAAATATCGAAATTTCCAAATTTCTTTTATTTTTTTGGACGACTCCGAAACTGTGCATTTTATCCATAGCTTTTTGATGTAGGGCTAACGGGTGAGAAGAAAGAGAATATTGACTATTTGTATTTTTCACAAGAAAAATCTATTTTTCTCAGTTTTCCCCAAAACTCATAATCTATGCATGTATCCAAGAAATTCAATATAATCAATTTTCAAAAAAATTAAATTTCGTATGTACCTCATACAGACACGTTAGTATGTAAGAAGATTAAACAGCTGTTAAAGCTCAGAGAATAGAAGGCGTAATTCCCTTGTAGTATCTGCCGCTCTCAATCTAAATTTAACTGCTTTTTAATGCTTTATTTTGGGCTAATTTAACTATTTTAAAACAAAACTAGCATGTATAAACAAATTACATAGCTTTTATATATTATGTTGGTATGAGAGACTTCAATATGCATAACAATCATCACAATGATTTTAAGGACCAAAATGCGTTTTAAAGTCCGAGCGGTCCAATGACATTTCGCTCACTCGCATATTACGACTCTGCATAAGCACGAATTATGTGAAGCTGCCAATGTTCTCCTTCACTTAACCAATGAATAGATGTATACTTACAGATAGTAAATACTATTGTTATATGTTTCTTTTTTAAAAAGCACTTTTAACTCCATTTTGCTTACATTTTATTCATAACCCTTGTTTAATTCCAATATAACGGCCAAGGCCGTCATTGACGTTGACAAGTGGATAGATATAGGTTATATAATGATATAAATATAAACAATTATATTTATAACAGGGTCGTCTGTAACAATTATAGATTATAACAACGAAATTTACCAGGTTTTTTAAGGTCATTATAAACGACATCCATTTTATATTAATTCCAATTTAAAAAGAATATTTTGGAACTAAAAAAATTTCCTTCAACAATTTTTCCCTGACTTCTCCTGATTTTGGAAATTCCCTGACTTTTCCAGGTTTTCCAGGTTGGTCGCCATCCTGATATATAATTTTGTTTTATAAGCATGTATACAATAACAATTAAGCTATATTTCTGATAAAAAATAGATCCATACCTTTTATGAACTTTTCCATTTTTATTTCAAAGTACAGCCCCCTGGAGGCATATGTTACACTTTCTTTGTTAATCAGGCCAAATAAAATTATCTCGAACCAGTAATACTTTTCGTTAGCCAAAGCTCTGCAAAATGAATGAAATAAGGATGCATTATCAACTTACAATTAAAAGTAACATTGCTTTAGTTTTTCTTAATCATACAGACAGATCATATATCATTTTCTATATCATCAAGATAAATGTATAACTCATATTCATATGTATAACCCAATCAATGGTTTGTTCATTTTCGCTAAAATAAAATGGGTCTCTAATATTATCTATGGTTCCTACAATTTATCAATATTTTTACTTTATTTTTGTAAAGTTTTAAGAATTCAAACTTATTGCTGATTTCTAGAATAAATAGATTTCTTATTAGCGAGTTTTTAATTTCTCTAGATTAAAATTTTTGAAAAAAAAAAATACTAATAATAATTACCTAAAAATTAAGATCTGATCAGAATAGTCAAGTTGAAATTTGCTGATTTCAGCAAGATTTATTTTAATCCTAATATAGCAGTCTTGTTGTGACCAAAAAACTTCGGGATGAAATAAACCACAAGATTCAAGAAGTGGTCCTTCAACAATGTCACCTGTTTCTTCTAGATCTTCCACTGGTTTATAAGCAATCGATTTGAGAACTTTCTCTTTCCTACTTTCTTCTCTCAGTTGCTTTAAATGTTCAAGAGCCTTGTCAACATTTCTCTGAGGAAAAAAAAGGAAATGAATGTATTTAAAATATATAAAAAATAATTTAAAATTAGTTTTTAGAAACAGGTGAATCTTGGATAAATTAAGGCATGTATGAAGAAAAATCTATACAGTATGACTTTTTTTTTAAATAGACAAATTAAAAATTTAGTTTAATGATTCATAAGATGAAAAAAAAAACTGTATAATGAATCAAAGGTTAAAATAAACAACTAAAAAAAAAATGATGATTTACTGTTGAATGTAAGAAGATACTTTCAGAAGAGAATTTGGTTGGGGATTGCAGTTATTGGAAGTACACAGTAAAATGTAAATTTAATTTGATGGGTAAGAGAAACTGAGGGATAAACAAGTGATGGTTAAATGAAGTTTTACAGTACACAACATTATCTAAAATATATAAATAATAGACCATAAACTGTACCATATCACCTATGGTTTGAGACTTGCCTCAGAAAGGAAGTTTCTCGCTTGGAAGCGAAGAGTTTTCCACAGGATCTATGGTCCAATCTATGAACACGGTCAGTGGAGAATTCGCACGAATAAAGAGCTACATGAGATCTAGGTGAGGCTGAATTTGGTCTCAGTTGTGAAGAGTAACAACATGGTTGAGCCATGTGGGACTTATGCCTAGGGATTCAATTCCCAAACGCCTGCTGGAGGATCGACCAGATGGAAGATGTGAAATAGAAAGACCAAGCCTGAGATAGCTGGACAAGATGGAGGACATCCTGAAAAGGATGGGAACCTGGAAAAGTAGAATGCTTGCCCAGGATAGAGAAGAGTGGAGGAGGGTTTTAAGAGAGAACCAGGTTCTTGTAGGACTCTAACGTCAAGAATAAATAAATTGTACCAAGAAATAAACAATGGCAAACACAATTGCTTATAATTTCTAGGAAAAGTAATTCCAATGTAATTGTCAATTTTTAAAAATAAAAAGTATTTCCTTATTGGCCTAAGCAGTCCAGTTAGAATTGGCTTTATTTTTAAACCTAAAGCCCAAAATGACCATTGTGAAATGAAATGAAAATGAAAATGAAATGAAAAAATAATTTTATTCTGGGACTACTGTCCCCTAAGAATAATAACAGAGTTACAAATTTATGTATCTTTGTCTGACATAATAAAAATACCAACTAATTTACTGTTAATTGATTGTTATTTCAATTGTGCAATGTATTGAAATTAAACATTGTATAGATGCAAGTAATTTTACATGTTAGGAGAAGTTTGAATGTGAAGTAGGTGTTGGAACAGGAGTTGTTTGAAGGAATTTGTGGACGAGGATTGACGCATGGAAGTAGGAAGTGAGTTCCATAAGGAAGCAGTACGAATGACGAAGGATTTGCTGAAGGAGGAAGTTTTATGGGAGGGAATATATAAGTTTATAGGTTGAGACCTAGTATTGAGAGAGTGGATAGAGGAGCGCAGAGTAAGGAGTTCCAGGATGTAGGGAGGGTTTTTGGTTCTGAAGACTTGGAAAAGGAAAACACCAAGGAAGAATTGTCGTCGGGAAGTAGGATAAAGCCACTTCAACTCTGTGTACCAGAGTGAAACATGTGAACGCCTGGGGATCCTGAAAATGTATCTTATGAAACAATTCATGAATCTCTTTAGTCTCATTTCCAGCCTGGCAGATAACCCTCCATACACCAAACAGCCGTAGTCGAAGTGGGGGAATACAAGGGAGGTTACAAGGAGCTGTCTGGTTTTTAGAGGAATACAATCAAGGAATCTTAGGAGTTGTTTAAGGGCATTTAATTGTGTTGAGGAAACTGTCCTAGAGCTCACAGATCGGAATGGTGTGGATTCGACTCCCCATTGGATCAGTCAATAGTTATTTCACGGAGTTAAGGATGGCAACCTCTTAGTAGAATCACCTAGGGTTAGAAAAGGATCAACAGGTCCACTGGCCTGACTATTTTTCCCATCAATACCATTACCAGAATCATAAAGACATAATAATGAACTAAAAAATAATTCATAATGATGTAGAGATGGTTGACCGTTGATATAATATGAGAAGGAGTGAGTCGAGGGTGCGGTCAAATAAATAATAAATTAAAATATATTAATTTATTATTTATTTGACCGCACCCTCGACTAACTCCTTCTCATACCTAAAAAATAATTCATAGAATAAAAATATAACTGGATTGTAATCAAATATTTAATTTTTTAGCTATGTATAATTATTAATAATGTACTGACATCTTTTAAACTTTTTTGAAGTTCTGGAGGTAATAAAGCTAATAGAAAGTCAGTGTTCCCAAGATCAAAATCTCCATTAGTTAAAATAGACAATATGTCTACAGAATCACCTCCAGTAGTAGTGGCAACAGCTTTAGTTTCATTGGTTTGTGGTAGTGTGTTATTGCTATCAACGTTTTCATCTTCTTTATCTTCTTTATCAGATTCCTGATCATTATCATCATCCCACACTTCTTCCTCAACTGCATCTTCAGACCAAACTATGTTTTCTGTTAAATAATGTTTTGTCTGGACATCCCAATTGGCAAAACCTCTATACACCATCTGTTTATTGATATAAGCATCTTTCTCATCCATAGAAGGAGCAAGAATCACTTTAAAATGACGTCCTGTAGTGAAACTTGCACTTGTAGCATCACAAACCTAAAATTATAAAAACATTAAACACCAATAATTAGTTACCTCATTATTCAAATTAACCCTTTTTTTAATACAACCTTACCCTGATATCCATTTACCTTCAAACTAAAAAGTATTCAAAAGCAAGACAGAAAAATTATAAAAACTAGATATCCAAAGATAATGAACCAGGAAAACAAATGTTTGAGAGTAAGAAACTAATGAAAACTATTATAATAAAATACTAAAAGCATGGAAAATATTATAAACTTTAAATTAGTTTAGAGGCTTTTAATCATAGCATAACTAAAATTTATACACACATATAAAAAAAGATAGATCTAATGACCAGATTTTTTTTTTTTTTTTTTTTATTTCTTTATGACATTTACAACTGTATTACATAAATACATCAAGTAAATTTGAACATAATTGATATAATGACATGAATACACTTGCTGAGTAACTACCCAATGGTAGCACTCTAATGATATGACTACATTAGGAGATCACGGGGCCATCTTCTTTTCAGACGCCTCGGAGGGTTATCAGGAATTGAAGAGGAAGCAAGGTTAGAAACGAGAGGGTTGGGATGATTCTGAAGTTTATTATGGAAGGATAGGTATCTGGATTGGGCCAGATCTGAAACATAAGGAACATTAAGATCTTTATGGATAATTTTATTAGTGACAAAGTAAGGAGCATTGAGGATTTTACGAAGGATTTTGGATTGTAAGGATTGGATGCGAGAGGAATTCGATGGTTTAGTGGAGCCCCATAGCTCAACTCCGTAAGTCCAAATAGGTCTTATTATAGTCAAGTATATGAGTCTTTTGTAATTAATGGGAAGTTTAGAGCGTTTGTCTAGTAAGTGCTGAAGTAATCGGAAACGTCGAGCGGTTTCTTGTCGTTTCAGTCTAGTATGAGGATTCCAAGTTAGTCGTTTGTCCAGGTGGAGTCCTAGGTATCGGATTTGCTCAACAGGGATAAGTGGAGTATTGTTAAAGGAAACTGTAGGACAGGAAGTCGTTGGTTTACGACGAAGGGTAAAGGTAATTTGGTGGGATTTATTGGAGTTTATTTTAATTCTCCAGTTTTGACACCATTCTTCTAGATTTATGATGTGTGATTGAAGCATTTGGGATGCAATTGCTGGGTCATTGTTTACTGATAGGATACATGTGTCATCGGCATATGTGGTGATGACAGTGTTGGGATGGGTTGGGATGTCAGCTGTATAAACTGTATAGAGGATAGGACCTAGGATACTACCTTGAGGAACACCAGCGGACTGGGAAAAAAGGGATGAATAGGCGTTATTGTGATTTACTTTAAAGTATCTATCAGTAAGGTAAGAACGGATAATGAGGAAGTATGTAGGTGGTAGGAATTTTCGGAGTTTGTACAGCAGTCCCGGGTGCCAAACTCTATCAAACGCCTGTTCAACGTCGAGAAAGACTCCCGTACAGTACATTCCGCGCTCCAATGCAGAGGATACTACGTCTACCACACGATGACATTGCTGTATAGTGGAATGGGAAGTTCGGAAACCAAATTGGTGATCTGGGATTATGTGTTTAGAATTTAGGATAGGGTACAGGCGTTTTAAGATGAGTTTTTCTAGGATCTTGCCCATGATGGGTAAAAGAGAGATAGGACGGTAAGAGGATGGGTATTCTGGTGGTTTTTTGGGTTTGTGGATCATTTTAACAATAGATCGTTTCCAAGGATCAGGAAAATATGTAGAACGGAGTACAGCATTATATATGTAAGTAAGGAATAGGATGGCTTTTCGAGGAAGAAGTTTTAGGATCTGGGATGTAATTAGATCATGTCCAGGAGCTTTACGGGAAGGCAATTTTTGAATGATGTTGGATATTTCTATGGGATGAAATGCTTTGGGTGGCAGAGACATTTGGAGAGGAATATCCAGTTCTGCCTCAATACAATTGATGTGAGTCGAATTAAGGATATCGGGATGTGGGTTAAAAGTTTGAAAGAGATGTTGACCAAATAGTTGGGCTTTTTCTTCGTCGGATTTGGACCAGGTTTGGGAATCAGTAAGTAGTGGGTGATTAAAGTCTTGAAACTTAAGAAGTTTTTTGGTGGTCATCCATAATGATTTGTCAGTGGTTGAAAGTTTTTCAGTAAAATTTAGTAAATTTTGAATTTTGTATTTTCTTATTTCTGATTTCAGTTTGTTAGTCAGTTGGGTGTAATGCGATTTATCTGTTGGGTATCTAGTCCTATGCCACTTCGATCTTGCTCTGCGTTTTTCCTGTAATAAGATACGAATATGCTGTGGCAAGTTAGTATTTTGTGGGAAGTTAATCTTATTGATAAATGTGTTATTATTTATACTGTCTGTTATTGATGATGTCAGTTTTTCTATGGCACAATTAATGTCTTCTTTTGTCTTTAGCGGGATTTTGAGGTCGAGTTTGTTTTCCAAATCATCACGAAATTTGTCCCAGTTTACTCGTCCAGTGATCAGTTTAGGAAGTGATGGTTTAGGAGCAAAGTCAGAATGTAGTGAAAGCAGAACTGGACTATGGTCTGAAGAAAGGTCATCCAGGGATTTGATTATAGTTTGGGAGGAGGAAATCTGGGAGGTGATAAATATGTCCAGGATATCGGGACGTTTTTTGAGGGATGTTGGAAAATAAGTAGGATTCATGGGCGAGAGGATGGAATAATTGTTGGAAGAAGAAACTTGTGAAAGGGTATTACCACGGGAGTTGGATGATCGACAACCCCATCGTTGGTGTTTAGCATTGTAGTCTCCTCCAGCAATAAAGCGCGATCCGAGGGATTGTAATAAGGATTCAAGTAGGCTGTACGAGAGGGAATTGCCAGGAGGACAGTATACAGCTGAAAGTGTTAGATGGAAAGGACGAGTTGAGAGGATTACAGAAGTTGACTGAATGGCATCTGTTGGAATAGAAGGAATAAGTGAATGGGGTAAAGATTTGTGGATAAGGATGCAAGAACCGGCGTGGGCAGTGTTGTCTGGGTGGTCAGATCTATAGGTGATGTAGTCACGTATGTAGAAATGTGTCCGTTGGGTGAAGTGAGTTTCTGTCAGGAGAGCAATGTCAATATAATTGTCATGGAGAAATATGTCTAGTTCGTCACGGTGGTTTTGCAGTCCATTAGCGTTCCATAAGAGAATAGCTAGGGACTTCGTGTTCATCGAGGGAAGCTAAGCGGGATTTCGGAAAGGAGTCTGGTTAGAAGGGTTATGAGCGGTTTGATAGTCTGTTGAAGATCTATCAGGAATGACGATAAGATAGTGTTGATGTCGGATGGTGTTTGGCTGGGAAGTGGGTTTGGATCAGGAGGTTGTGATGAGTAGGTTATGCGATTAGGAATGTTGGGTGGGGGCTGGGCCCGTCGTGGGGTACGAGGAGGATCTAAATTCTGTTGGACTTGTGGAGGGGGGTTCATCCTGGGATTAGGAACGAATGGAGCTGGATGTGGATGCTCTGGCGGGAGTTTGACTCTTAAGGGTAAATGATGAGGAGGGATTTGCTGGCGAGGTTGAGGCTGAGGATTAGGGATTTTGGGCTTGGATTGGAAGGCCTGAGGCGCCTGACGTTGAGGCTGCTTCTTACTGATGGAAGACTGGGAGTGAGAATTTCTGAGATTCTGGTGAGGCGAGTCCTTAGCTGTAGAGATGGATGGTTGTTGTTGGATGACGAGGGAAGGTGAAGTCGGCAATGCTGGGAAAATTTCCTGATTTTCGATTTCAGGTGCCTCAGTGTAAGTTTTCTGAGCAGATCCAAGATTTTTCACCGCTGAGTTTCGTGATCTTTGTTTGTAAAGATTTTTATACACTTCACATCCTCTGTAGCTCGCAGGATGGGCTTCGCCACAAAGAGCACACGTCGCAGGCTCATCTCTTGGCTTCTGGCAAGTGTCTGAAGCGTGTAGGCCGGCACATTTAACGCATCTGACTTCGTGATAACAATAGGCCTTTGTATGGCCCAAGTTTTGACACTTAGTGCATTGTACAATTAGAGGCTTCTGTCTCGGTTCCTCAAAACGGACTATTGAGTAAACCAATCGTTGAACCTGGAATATTTCAATATTGGTTTTTGCTGGTTCTAAGTCTATAAAAAATAATGGGAGCGGATATCTTTCTCTAGGATGTAGTACAGGTGCTATGTGCCTGACGTTATGACCGATTTCTTCGAGGCCCGATTTGATAGCAGATATGGGTGTGGTTGAATGCAGTCCTCTCAGGACCACTCGATACGCCTTTTCTTGTTTTAATTGGTAACAGTGGAAGTCGTAGTTATTGGATGTTAAAAAATTGATCAGTTTTTTATAATTGTCTCTAGAATTAGTATTGATTTTGATGTCGTTCACTCTCGAGTAACATCGAAAATTTGGCTGTCCGATCAAATCTGCAATTTGTTGACCAAACGACATAAAGTTCTTAATTTTTGAAACAAATATTGGCGGCGGCTCAGGATCAGAAAAATCTTGAAGCTGCGGAGTCTTGTGAGATAAGTTTTTTTCTTGAATTGAGTTTTTGCTTTCTGATGTTTTTGGTGCAGTTGGCTCTGATTGAGTGGCATTAGATTTGCTCCTAGTTCTCGGTGGAGATTTATCTTGTTCTGGTTGCTTATTTGATTTATTTTTCTTTTTTTTTTTATTAGGTGAGTTTTGTCCCGATCCGGGAACTGAGTTTCGGAGACGCTTTTGGAGTGTACGCCTTTTCAAATATTGCGAGTCGGTCTCGCTAATTTCCGAAAAGGGTGTCTCATCTTCCGTGTCTTCACATGATGTGTTCTTATCCAGATCCATCATGATAAGTGTTAGAGAGAAAAAAAAAAATAATAAAAAAAAAAAAAATATGTATATATATAAACCTAAATATTAAAATTAAAATTTATGAGATAACTTCTTAAAAACTAAGCTATTTACAAAATTATTTACATAAATATATACAGATATAAAATAAAATATAAAATAATTCATTTCCAAAAAATAAATAATCAAAGAAAAAAATTAAATAAAAGAGTCTCTGGAAAGAAAAAAAAAAAAAAAGAAAATATAAAGAAAAAAAAAATGAAGTTAAATGTCTTGGATTCGAACTGAGAATAACACTGAAGAATGTTATTGTACACAGTGCCGAGCCTTGGCTTGAACTTATCGGAGATAAGGTAAAACCCGCAAGGGAATTACTAGCCACATGGGCTAACCAAACGAGCACTAATTTATAACTGTTTCATTGTTAATAAATAGTCACTCACCTGATCATATGTGAATATAAAAATGTAAAACAATTAATATAGTCACTGTTGAAAAAGTCTTAGAGCAGTATTTTAAATAATAAGCACATTAAATCGTATCAAGGATAGAGCGACGTGTAAGTTTAATTGCACTAGCGGCCATGACACTTGCTGAATGACCAGATGATACTAAAAAGTCATATAATTGTCTTACCTTTGCAAACATACGTAGAAGTTTATGCTCATCATTGGAACACATGCTGTCAAAAGCTTCAATTGCCTGAGGTAACCAATCAGCATCCAAGGGCGAAATACCAACCAGGCTACACTCGATAGCCTTAAAGAAAATTAAATAATAGAGTTAAAATACCAAGTAAAAAATAATAAAAATAGTGGTTAGAATTAAATCAGAACTTGAATTATACTTCAACAAAATATACAATTCAATGAAACTTAACTACAGAAAAAGATGCACTTATTCCTAAAGAAAGGATCCTTGATAACATCAAGTACTAAGTAACAATAATAACTTATCAATGAAGACTTTCCTTATCGCCTTAGAGTGCAAAGCCAATATAAATATTGTATGCTTATATTCATTCCAACTTTTGTTCATGTTTTTTTTCATTAATATACTATATATTTCAACTATATTATACCACTCAGTTGACAGAATGACTAACTCCAATTTCAACATTTTTGCGTAAATGTTGTGTACTGTAAAACTTCATTTAACCATCACTTGTTTATCCTTCAGTTTCTCTTGCATTTTAGCGATATTTCTAGTTGGAAAATTTATAATATCTCTACAGACAGTGAGTAAATTGATTCCATAGTAGATGATTGCAGTGTTTAAGTATAGAAATGTGAATAAAGGTATACATGTTTTCACTAGAGATATCGTTAAAATTAATAATCAAAAATGTTGAAATTGGGATTAGTCATTTTGTCAACTGAAAGGTCCACATACAAATGTTAGAAGGCTTTAAGTCGTACAAGTGTTAGAAGCCTTTACACATGTTTCATCAAAATCACTTGACCTGTTTTGGCATTAGCCTAAAGAAAAGCACATTTTTCTGTTACATGCCCACAGAATGCCTGATATAATGGACATCAGAAGCAGAAACTGCACAAAACGAAATTAGTCCACACTCATTATCAAGACATACAGGCTTTTCAGAGGGAAATGGAAAACCTGTTGGAAACTCTTAATCGAAAACTTGAACCCAAGAAAAATGATCATTTTTTATGACACATCACATTATTAAGCAATGAAGCTCAACTAATCCTAAATAACATGAAATGGTATAACCTCCTGAAAACTTATTATGTATGAGGTTATAAACCATAAATATAAACCAACAGAGATGACCAAAATGCAAAAAAACAATAATTTTTTATTAAATTTAGGCTGATATTTCAACATACGTATAGGTCAAGACTCAAAAATTAAAAACTTTGTAAAAAAATACAGAAAATATGCAATGGCGCTATCCAGTGGCATTTTTACCATTTGGTGGCTCACAGAACATATAAAAACAGACAACTAATAGTTCTTATAACTAACTAATAGATAATTTTTTTAATCACTATTTAGCTACAGCTAATTTAGACAACATTTCTCAATGATAATCATTATATTCCAAACTAGAATTTACAGTTTAATGGAACTTGAAATATAACCACCTGAATAAAATACATACAGTAAAAATAATTTAAACATTATGGTCTTTAAAAGTTATTTAGTTTTAAGATTCAATTTTTTTTTAAATTTAATTCATACCTGAAATGGTAGTCTTGAAATAAAACCTTTAGGTAAACGTGATACGCTGGACCATGGCACAACAAGGATATCGCCATAATCAACAAAGAATATTTCAACTTCATCAGCAGTAACATTATTTACCATTCCTCGATTCCACCTAAAATGAATACATAATTGATTGATTCTCCAACTTTTAGAACTGAATACGTCCATTTGAAACTTCTATAAAATTAAAATGAAGATTAGGAAATTTTATTGGAACATAAAAAGTTATTTTGAGAGGGTAGCCAATTTACACATTTCCTTAACACTGTCAAATGGTTAAGAATCAGATAAACAATATAAAAGCAATAGCTTTAGTGATATTAGGATGAGGAAGTTACATTATAACTTAATGTCAAATGAATCAGGATTCACTCTGTCATATTCTTTTGGATGATTTATAATTCTCGAATAAAGACAATCTCGTGCGGCACACACATCAAACAATTTTCACTTACCACCCTTTTTTCAAAAGCAATAAAAATTACAGAAAGTGCAAGATATTGATTAAAACAATTAAATACTGTATGTTTTTCACAGCTTTCTAATGTATTACATTTATGCTCTTTTTTTTATCACTAACCATTTCCTTCAACGACTATATATTTTAATTATTTATTCCATTATAGGTAATTATAAGAAATATTTTTAGTCTGACAAGAGTGCCACTGATATAGAAGGGTGCTGTATTTATTTATATTTCATTTTAGATATTTTTAATTGTTTAATCATTGGTATACACACAAATTTTAATTTTTATGTTGCTGTAATCTATGCAATTAAATATTACTGGAGATCTTATTTTATTAAGCATTTATTATGTATGGTAACATATTCTAGCCTTTCCAGCAAACTTAGGTTTCTTCGGTTCTCTATTACGATCCAATATTTCTCCTTTTAACTATCAAATTCTTTCATATTTGATATTTAACCATTTCTTATTAATTTTGCAACTTAAAATTTTAATAACTTACTTAATTTTAATTTAACTTAATTTTGCACCGATATAATGAATTCAATCAAACTTGTAAGAACTATTTTAGAGAAAATTGTAAAAATAAATAAAGTTTGTGAAATAAAGTGGCATTTCCGGTTAGCCATTTTTGACTAAAAAGTTGCTGTAACATCCCAGGCATTTACAAGCCTTAAATACACAATATCAGTTTCATAAAACCTTTCGTTATTAAGCAAGACTTACACACTTACATAGACCATTTTGTGAGACTTGGTTATTTGGACTCAGGGGACTTCAAAACATGCATTGCTGTTGAAAACTCGTTTCATAATCGCAATACTTTCACTAATTATATATTTCATACCTAAGTAAATGACTGCGAACTAATCATGGACGGAGAGAAAAATTTCTTAAAATTATGACAATTAAATCGGACGGAAATCGTGAAATATGTTAAGTGCCAGAAAACCTAATTATGTATTAAGATAATAAAAAGCATTTGTTGTTTAAATGTACAAAATACAGCAAAAAAAGAGGATACAAACAAGAGGATGAGGTATCATTACTGAAAAAGTTAAATAAAGAGAACTTTAAGAAGATCAAAACGTTTTTTAAAAAACACATTGCAGGATTTAGGAAAATAGAAAAAGAAAGAACTCGAATAGAGCATAGGAAAAAATCAGATAACTTTTATTTTGAGTTATAAATGTATTCAGAATACAAATTTGCATTATTCAGGAGAATTTGAATGCAAATAATAATACATTAAAAAAAATTAATAAGCAATATAGAATTTTTTTTTACATGCTAACTTCCTAAAAAAATGCAGCTTTTCATAATATCTTCCTCTAAAGTACCTTTAATTTTGTTTATTTGAAATAATTAAACATTTCACATTATAACCATCAATTAAAAATGTTCAAATACAAACTGTGAAAGAATTTAATAATGAACCTAAGGAGAGATAAGTTATGGTAATGTGGGATCGAGAACTGTCGAAGACACTCAAGCTTGGTTGAAAGTTTAGAATATACTTCCAAACATAACATGTAGATCATAGTGTACATGATACATCATAGTTGAGGAACATCCGGGGCTCCAATAATATTAAATACATAAACATGTATTGTTTTCATAAATGCTAGCGCTGGAATTATTTAATATTTAATTATATAGATTATGGCAACATAAAAATTAAAATTTGTATTTATATCAGTACTTCTACTAAAAATTCTGCTAAGTCAGACCAGTAGAGCTTCCTCACCAATTTCATTGGTTCCACACAAATATCTCTATGTCTACTACTACTAATACTACCTTTACTAACTCTCACCTCTCAACGAGCCATTTCTGAAATATTGGTATATTTAAGAAAATAATTTGCGCATGCGAAACCATAAGTTTTATGGAATTTAATGAAATTGATATGAGACCATCTTAGGCACCAACCCGCACAATCTCCGAAAATTTCAAGAAAATCGGATAAACAGTCGTAGGTGATATGCCCGTCACATCAATTTGACTACAGACAGACAGACACCGAACCAAATTTGATCCTTGTCTGAAAGGTAAAACACGAGTGGAAAATTTTCAATTCTGATCACAAAATTTTTTTTAACCTCTCGTACAAATACAAAGTTTCTCTATTTTCAGTAGTGAGAAAGCAATACCCACAATGAAATATATCTAAATATAGCAGTCTCCTAAACACTATCACTCTTGTCAGACTAAAAAAATGTAGTGGTACTTAATTATTTATTATAAATAAAATATACAGTCAAAGATTTTTTTTTTTTTTTTTTTCTTACCCTCCAAAATGTTTATTGAAACAATTTACATATATAGTATACAATAATACAATATATACATGTAATAAATTCCTTCCACTGCCCGAGGGCATTTTAAGGATTGGGGATAGCTAAGGGTTACATATGTGGCAGAAGGCCATGTGACTTTCATTGAACGGAGAAGGACCGTTCTGCTAATTTTTTATTATTTACAATATATACAAATTAATGAGTTTAGACCGCAGAGACCAGACCACATCCTTCGGCGAGTATGTCCACCAAAGGGAGTTTACCTTGCCACCTCCCAGGTCTGGGTGGTGGTGAGATCTCATTGAACAGTGGGTTTGCACAGGCTTTCAGCCCATCAAAAAATTTGATGTGCCTCCGGCCTATGAATTCAGGTACCGACGGGAGCTGGAGCTCCTCGCATATTGTTTGATTCTTAGCCCTTTGTAGGGTGGTGCCACGGACAATTCGCCAAAGGATAGAGTTCTGGAAGCCCTGTAAACTCGTAAGCATGGATTTATATAGGTATCGCAGGAGAGGAGCCCCGTGGAGCAGTGTAGGTCTTATAATAGCTTTATAAATTTGGAGCTTGAGTATCAGTGAGAGCTGCGGCGACGTCAGTAGGTGGTAGAGCCGGTATGACTTCTTTCGTGCCAGTTTGATCCTCTGCCTAACGTGATTGGAGAAGGTCAAGGTATCGACTGGGTTTGAGTAGTCTGTACCAACTCGTACGACGAGAGATCTTCCGCTGAGGTAGCTTCGGATCAGTCGGCATAGAGTGGTAGGAAACCTGAACTCTTCCAGACGGTGAAGTAGATGCGTGTGTGACACGCAGTCAAAGAGATGAGCGCCGTAGCTCTGTTGAGACTCATTTCATCTATTGTGTGGGCCTGAAGTTTAGCTAGGTGGTGTTCACACGCGACCCCTCTCTGGAAACCAGTCTGCTCTGGTGGTATGATGCTCTCTTTCCAGCAGTGCTTCATAAGCTGATGGTGGATTAGCCTCTCGAAAATCTTGCTGATGTGGGAGAGGAGGCTGATCGGATGATAGTGCTCAGCTGAGTTCCCGTTCTTCGCCGGCTTGAGTAACGGTACAACGATCGCTTGTTTCCATGCGGTACGGAAGTATGAGATTCGAAGACATGAGTTGAATATGTTCAGTAGAAAGGCTTTACCCTTCCTAGGGAGCATCTTCAGCAGTACGTACGGAATCTCATCCAGTCCAGATGTTTTGTTTCCTTTGGTGCGTCGTAGTGTCGACTCCAGCTGGTTGAAGGTAGAGAAGACGGGTTCTTCATTGGGACTGGGCAGTGGTCCTTCCGGTATTGGTGGTGCATTTCTCGTCCGCTCAGCATCCCTCGCTTCATAGCTTTTGGCCAGTTCAGCCTGTTCCTTAGGTGTCAGCAGCTCATTCCACGACGTCAGGTGGACAGTCCTCTTCTTGTTAACGAACGTTCGGACCAGTCTCCAGAACTGGCGGTGGTCATCATGAGTCCTACGGAGCTGGTCATGCCAGAGTGAGGTCTTCCAGTCTCGCATGAGGCTGGTTATCTGCCGGGTCATCGCATTGATAGCCGATTTCAAGCTGTAGTCACGCGTGCGCTGAAAGATGTTCCTCAGGTTGTTCCTCTGACTGATCAGGACGAGGATGTGACGTGGTGGTCTCCTGATGGCGTTGGGCTGCGGAGCGAACTTAGGGATGTTCTGGTTGGCTGAGTCCTGGTGGTGGTGATGACATCCACCGCCTCGTTTACCTCTTCTACTGTCTGGAATGGCGTTACCGCCGGTAAAGATGATTCAACGCTAGACCTGTATCCTTTCCAGTCGGCCTTGTGGAGTAAGTATTTACTCGCCAGTGGTTTGGCGGGTGTGCCCTCGATCGTGTAAAGCACAGGCCGGTGATCCAACGGTCCATACGGAAGTGCTTGGCAATCCGTAATGGTGTGCAGATCCCTGGTTAATAGCAGGTCCAGCGTTGATGTCCAATCAGGTGGGGCTGAATGCTGGAAAGTGTGTACACCTGGGTGAAAGACGGCCAACCTAGTCTTGGTGATGTACTTCCCCAGTGGATTGTCGCTACCACACAGCCAGGAAGTGTGTCGAGCATTGAAGTCCCCAAGGACTACTTGCCGACCCGTCATCTGGGCATGTTGTAGCATCAGCTTAACAGATGTCAGTCCAGCCCTGGGTCTCCTATAGACACAGGTGAATGTGAACTGACTCTTAAGTCGCACGTCAAGTGTGAGTAAGTGAGTTCCCTCGGTTGGTTCCACTGGGTTCGGGACGGATCTCGAAGGTACATCCTTTCTGACCAGGATGGCTATTCCCTCTCGAGACCCTGGTGCACACACCTCTCGGTATATAGTGTACCCCTGGAAGTATGGACGAGTCAAGGTGTGAAGCATGGTGTCTGTCAGCGCCACCACTGAAGGTCTATGCTGCTGAAGAAGGAGCTCGTTTTCAGCCTGCTTCTGGAAGAGGCCTCTGGTGTTGAAATTCATGACGAGATGATTAATCATGATGCTTCTTCGTCATAGCATCTAGCATGCGGGCAACTATATCCATCAGCTTGTCCATTCTTGTCAGCATCGTCATCACTAGAGAAGTCAGGGAGGCATCGGTACTTTTTGAAGGCTGAGGCGATTGCGTTGGTGGAGTCTGTTCCTTGAACTGGGTGGCGTGCTGGTGGTGGGGATGAGACTGGTGGTGGGGAGAGGTTCCTTCTGATTGGACCGGCGCTCCTCCGCTTGCTGTGCTGTATGCCAGGCCCTCCTGGACCCACTTACTCTGTTTGCTGGTATTCGTTTTCGTCGGTGTTCCTTTGGTGATTTCCCTAAATTTCTTCACCAACTCCTGTCTCTTCGAGCATTCTTTGGAGGAGGTGGAGTGGGCACCTTTACAGTTTTTACACCAGGGAGGTACTGTCTTCGGGATCTGTTCAAGGGTATGGACACCTCCACACCAGGGGCACGCACATGTTCGGCCACAATATTTCATAGTGTGTCCATATTCTTGACAATTTCGACACTGTGCTGGGATCCCATCTTCTTTAAAGATGCTCACACGAAATTTACACTGCGATATGTGATAAAGTTTAGCAATGTCTGTCAGCTTGACCGAGTCGTCTGTAATTATCTGGATCAGCTCGATAGGTTTTGGTGGTTCAATCGGGTTGTATCTCTTTGTGAGTCTTCAGGCGAGCCTGAATCCTGGTAATCTGGTTTTTAACTCCTCGACGGGAAAATCAATATCGAATCCGTGAAGCACATATTTTCGAGATCGCTTAGTGCCTCTGGGAGCAAAACTGTGGAATTGTACCCTATTGTCCTGGCGCAACAGTAAAGTGGCTTGAAAGTGGTCATTCTCGGAGTTAACATATAGCCAAGTTTCTTTTGATGATGAATTGATAGAGAATAATGTTATATTATTCTCGATCAGTATATTTACTGTTGCTTCTTGATTGGGACAGAAACGACCCAATGTTCTACAAAGTGTAAACAAGTAAAAAAATGTTAAACAGCAGTTTATAATATACCTATTATCATTTGGATTTTTAGCAGCACAGATCATATCATACTCAAGAGTTTCAAAGCTTGTTACTTTTAAGTCAAGTATAGCAGTCAGTTCTTTCTCTAACTCTTCCAGCCTAGGTAACAAAAAGATTACGATAACTTTATTTTATTTATTTTCTATTTATTTGTATTAATATTATAATAATATACCTATCAGAAAATTTAAAGAGCTTTAAAAAAAACAGAGATGGTGAATCGGAACTGATAACATGAACAATATTTGTATTGTCTTTATCAAGATGAGCCCATTGAATTTTTTCTACATCTTCATCTATATCACTTTTCTTGAACTCTATAATAAACAACAACAAATATTATAAATAAAATATATATTCTCTCTGAGAAATTATACTATAAATAAAAGATAAACGATCAAGAATAATTTTAAAATATAATTAGGAATAAATTTTAAATCACGTATAATTCCAATAGTCCCTCGATTAAGCAAATACTTAGTATTTGCAGATTATATTTCACAATTATAAAAATTGTTTTGTTAATGTGAAACATTTCTTTAAATCAATATTTTGTCAACATTTAAAATAAAGTAAAAAAATTAAAAACCTTGGATTAGTATAATAATAACTACCTTTTGGTATATGAGAAATGAGCCCAGCATCAAGGGCTAAATTCATCAGAGTAGAGTAATGCGTGACATTTGGTTCTGCAAGACCAGTTTCCAAAATAAACTTTTTAGGTGAAAATAGTACAACATGACACTTATTCAAATCTAGCCATTCATAACAAAGAAATGAAGTAGCTAATAGATTTTTTCCTGTTACTAATGCAACCTAAAAAGCAAAAACACATTATAGGATTAATAATTAAAGAACAAACGGACTTTAAAGGTATTTATTTTTTTTAAATTCAATAATTATTTTATTTTCTGATTGAATATATCATGTATTGGTATTAAATAGTTTTGAATTTGCAAGAGAATATACAGATGAGTCATGATCATCCAAAATGATTAGGGCTAGACCCATTTAGGATTAAAAATTTATTTAAATGAAGCTAAATTATTCTTAAAACAAACTTACATTACATAATAAAAAGTAACGACATAAATATTCTTAATTATGATTGAAAATTTAAAAAATTAAAGATTATAAATTTTAGTTGAAAAAACAAAAAACCCTGGGACAAAGTTTGGCTGAACCTATCATAATTCCATATCCAATAAAAATGAGACCATACAAAGCCAGTTATGTACAGGAATAAGCTTAATTAGAAAATATTTCTGGTTGTGGGGATGGATACAAAAAAGATATGTATGAATTGTTGAGGTATGCCGTAACTCCAACCATTTTTTGGAGATAGTGACATAAATTAGTTTTAACAAATATGTATCTCTACGACCAAAAATATAGCAGATTTTTTAAGATCAATGTTGTTCAATTGTGAAATTTTAATCACTGAGCAAAAAATACTAAAGCTGATGCTTAATTATATACTTCGTTTCTGAAAAAATAATTAATAGTTAAAACAGCTCCGAAAAAACAATTAAATACAATGACAATACACAATTAGATATGAATAATAAGATATGAACAAAATTAGTTCATAAATACAATTTGTATACACTAAAATAATTAAAAACAATAACATTTCTGCATCCCAAGTAGTCCGTGGTACAGACCCCTTTTTTTTTAATGAATTATTACATCCGCCTGAAACTTCGTAAATAGTTTCATCTCATCATAAACTACAACTATTTTATCTACGAAAACTCTTGGAATTGAGGCGTTTTTAATCTGGAGGGAGGCAAACTTTGTCTATTTAATTAGGTACTAAAAACTCTTAATACTCATTTGCTTTCTACTTGAATCGCAAGATAATTTGATCACAAAATCGAGAAAAAGGGTGCACTGCAAATATATTGGGCCGTTTGTCCTATATAACCTCGTTATTTTGAAATTTTGGGGGTATAGATCACTCAAAACGGCTCAATATTTTTGAAGGCCACCTTTTTTCTCGATTTTATGATCAAATTATCTTACGATCTAAGTAGAAAGCAAATGAGTATTTACGAGTTTTTAGTATATAATTAAATAGACAAAGTTTGTCCCCCTCCAGATTGAAAACATCCCAATTCCAAGAGTTTTGGTAAATAAAATAGTTGCAGGTTACGATGAGATTAAAACTATTTACGAAATTTCAGGCAGATGTTAATAATTCGATAATAAGGAGTCTCTACCACAGACTAAAGATTTGATAGAGATCTAGCAATCAGCATAAAAGTTAATTACTTAAAAAATTTTAAGGCTGTCAAAAAAATAAACCATATCAGTAATTGAAAATAAATATAAACTAAAATATCTCAATTTCCAAGGCTGCAATACCTATTTTTTCAATTCCATTTAATTTCAGATTATCAGAATAAAATATTCAAAAAAACTTACATTAGCTGTAAAAAATTTATTATCTCCTTCTTGAAAATTTAGATTTGAAATACTCTTTTGTATTTTAAGAGTTGAAGCGTAACTCCATGATTTATCATAATCCACAGGTTGTAAACCAAGTAAGTACAAGTCATATGCTTCTTGGGAATAAATTTGTAATTCAGAGGGAAGGTGAAGCAGTTCAGAAACCTTTAAATAAAGAAAAATAAAATAATTTAAAGAAAGTAAATTTTAACTTATCATACAGATGAATAAATTTAAACGTTAAACATTAAAAACTTGTAAGAAGAGAAGGGTGGTTAGTGTGATCAGTCAAAATAAAGTATTAAAAATAAATAATTTTATTTATTTTTACATTTGCCGAAGTTTTCTCCTGAAGTTCATGGCTGAGAAAAGAACCTGTTAACAATAGGTGTAAGAAACTTCAAATAACAAAGAATTAAAATTAAAAAAGTGAAAGTTATAGACTAAAAATTTAGGTAGAAAAACTTAATGTAAAATGAAGTAGATAGAGTGAACATTAAAGAAAAACAAAGTAGGTAGAATGTTAACAGTAACAGAGAAATAAGAAATAAATAATAATAACGGTAACAAAGCACAAACCAATGAAATAAGCATAATAAAAAATAAGGAAACATAAGAAATGAAAATGGCAATCTTAGAATTAAATGTAAAACAGAGAAAAGAAATATGAAGTTATTTAAGAAAATAATTGATATCAATAGAAAATTAAGATATTGTAAAATCTATCTTTTTTTTTATATATATATATTTTACAATATCTTAATTTTCTATTGATATCTATTATTTCCTTAAATAACTTGATATTTCTTTTCTCTGTTTTACACTTAATTCTAAGATTACGATTTTCATTTCTTATGTTACTTTATTTTTTATTATGCTTATTTCATTTGTCCGTACTTTGTTACAGTTATTATTTATTTCTTATTTCTCTGTTACTGTTATTGTTCTACCTACTTTGTTTTACTTTAATGTTCACTCAATCTACTTCATTTTACATTTATTCTACCTACATTTTTTAGTCTATACCTTTCACCTTTTTTTATTTTAATTCTTTATTATTCAATGTTTATAGTTTCTTATACCTATTGTTATCTGGATTTTTTCTGAGGCCTTATGAAGGCCTGAACTTCGGGCCGAAATGTCGGCAAATGTAAAAATAAATAAAATTATTTATTTTTACTATTTTATTTTGACTAATCACCCCAACCTTCCTTCTCTTCAATTATTCACTACAGTCAACCATCAACCCACAATTATAAAAATTTGTTTATTCTATTGATCAAATAATAATAAAAATACACTACATAATCATAAAATAATGAATAAAATCAATATTACCGTCATTTTATCCACAGATCCTTCATCAATAAAATGAATTAGAACCTCCACTGGATTGTATTTATCATCTCTAGTAATTATATCAATAACTTTAGCTCGCTTAAACATGAGATCAGGTTCTACTTCTATGGCGACTAAATCACCAATCTTTACTCTTCCGTGTGCGAATCTAAAGAAATACAACAATTATTGACAGAGCATATATTTAAATTTTTTATAAGTAAAAGAAATTAACATTTTTTTTTAATAATAAAAATGGGGAGCGGGGTAGCTCAGATGATGAGCACTGATTTCTATAGCTCAAGGTCCCAGGTTCGAATCGGGCTGATGACTAGTCATTTTTCATCAGCCGTGGGTCGACTCTGGGGCCGGGAGACCCTCCTGGGGAAAATCCAGCCTCTATAAAGTGGGTACTCCCAATTAATTAAGGGGGAAAACCTGGCGGTTGAGCGTGATATTGGCCTGTCACCTCCCTGCACAACCGTTGGTCTTGAAACAGTATATCCCCACCATTATAAAACAGCAAAAATGCATCATACTTTTAGTGTTTATCTCCCGAAACCTTAAAGAAGCAGAATGGAAGCCCATGAAATTTTAAATATCCTCAAAAAGTGACAATAAGGTTTCTCAATTCAACTCTTCATTTCTATTGAAGTTCTAATTTTTTTAAAAAAGCTGAAAAAATATTTTATTTCTAACATGTCTTGAATACTGAATATTGCAACAATCTTCAGAAAAATATCTGTCGAATATGCAGCTGTTCCTGGGATATACAAATTCTTCTTGTTAAGAATTGATTGTTATTTCATCTTAAAGTAATGTAACATGATTAAGCTTTCCCATGTAATTGTTGATTAAGTATGCATTATTATGATCTAATCATCATGGGAGTGGGGTAAGGCACAGGACCTCACAATGCACGAGCTTATGCCAATTTAATAATAGAAAAAATTACCTGTTTTCCCTGAATGAGAAATAATTAGACATTTTAAGGGCAATTATAGCATAATATGAAGGAAATTCAGTCCACTCATCATTATCACTATTTTTGATAGCCAGGATACGTACAGAATAATGTGAAGGATTGTGAGCATAAAGTAATTTCACTTTCATGTTTCCATTACTGAAAATCAATAAAAATATATAAGGGAATGAAAAATGAGAATATGTATGAAAAAATAAAATAAAACTACTACAGCACCACAAAATTAAACAAACATACACTGGAAGGTTATCGGGGGTATCTCTTGATTTAATAAAAATATGTTGTCTTTTGCATTTATCATTCCTCCAACACTTTCCAAGCATAAGCAAGTTTTCACAAAATGGAACACCAATCTTCTTTTCTTCTTTTAATACTGATATTTTCTAAACAAAAATGAATGTTAGAAGTACCAATAGAAATTGAATTCACTGACGTCACTAACATAAAATAATTTAATTTATTACTTTGACTGCTTCCAAAATTACATCCGGTATTGAGGTGTTAAGCCTTTTCAAAAAAGTAATAAGTTCAGGAAACTGCAGTTCATTTGTATCATCTACGAGTATATGAACCTGGCATTCAGGAGGAGCAGTCTGTAAGAATTTTAAATTTCATTAATAACAATGTAAAAATTAAAAAAGGAAAAAAAAATTAATTATTACAAAAATAAGCAACAAGTAAAGAATAAACTAAATCTTGTTAAGATGAAATTTATATTCATTATCAAAAATAAATTCAAAATGATTGATATTTTCAAATAAAGAGATTTGGTAAAATATATTTTAAATCAGTTTTATTTTGTTGTGGAATCCTGCTGTAGCTATCATGAATAAATAATAGATCTTAATATTTTTTTTTTTTAATTTCCAACCTCTATTACTTAAGGAAAGTGTTGCGATCGGGTTATTTCCAATGTGTGGTTTTTAAGTTTCAGAGGCCTTAGTGTAAAAAAAAAACCACTTTTTTTTTTTTATTTGCTGTTATTTAACGTCTCTTCGACTGCCATGACTAATAGCGATGACCGGTATTCTTTTTTTTTTTTTTTTTTTTTTCACTTACATATACATACCGCACCTGTTATTATTATTATTGACAATCAGCAGATGTGCTGGCGTAGTAATGAGAGACAAAATAAATAAATAAAAAGGCTTGATAGGCATGAGGAATAGCAATACCCAGCGGCATCCCTTCCATGGCTTTCATTTACTAACATTATTTAAGCAGATCCCTCATCCAGACCCTTTTTAGTCGTCTTCTGGAGTTCTCGGGCATACTAGTTGTGACCATTTCTTTTACCAGCTGGTTGGAGTGCCCGTTTAACATGTTATGAAATCGTTTGTAGTACGTTCGTATGTGTTCATTGACTGTCGGAACGTGTAGGTCGGTGTGTAAAGTGTGATTGTTTACGTACCATGGTGCTTCAGTTAATAGTCGTAGTATCTTAGACTGAAAAGTTTGAAGTTTTTTTATGTGAGTTGGTTTTGCAATTCCGTATATTTGTAGTCCGTAAGTCCAAAGTGGTTTTAAAAGATACGTGTAAATACTTAGTTTTTCTCTTGCTTTTAATTTGGAATGTCGTCTTAACGGTGAATGTAACAATTTTAGTCTTAGATTTAGATTTAATGTGATTCGTTTTTTCTTCACATGTGGACCCCATGTCATTCTCCTATCGAACGTAAGGCCTAGGTATTGTACTCTGTCTGTTTGTGGAATCGGTATGTTGTCTAAGTATACAGGAGGGCATGTTTCTGGTCTTAGAGTAAATGTGATGTGCTGTGACTTTTGATAATTTATTTGAGTTTTCCAAAGTTTACACCAATCGAGTATAATTTGTAAGTGATGTAAGTTAAGTGATGCCTCTGTAGGATTGTCGTGTCTGGTAATGATAGCAGTGTCGTCTGCGTAGGTTGCTGTAAGAGTGTGGATACTTTGAGGAATGTCGTGTGTGTATGTGATGTACAGTAGTGGGGCTAGGATTGATCCCTGAGGTACACCACCTAAAACTGATCGAATTGAGGATAGACCTTGGCCATGTCGAACGGAGAAAAATCTATCTGAGAGAAAGGAATGGAGAATTAAGTAGTAAGTATGTGGAAGTATGGTCTTAAGCTTGAAGAGAAGCCCCTGATGCCATACTTTGTCGAACGCTTGGGCGACATCCAGAAATACTCCGGTTGCATATAATTTCCACTCTAGTGTTGTAGAGATGTAGTCAGTCACCCTGTGCAATTGTTGTGTTGTTGAATGTAATTTTGGAAACCCGAATTGATGGTCAGGAATAATCTGTCTGTCTGTTAGTATATGTAATAGTCGTGGGTACAATAGTTTTTCGAATAACTTAGAACATACTGGAAGTAAACTAATCGGTCGATATGAAGAAGGGTTGTTAGTGTCTTTGTCTGGCTTTTTAATCATGGTTATGTGTGAGTATTTCCATTGTATAGGAAATTTGGTGGTCCTGAGAATGCAATTGAAGATTGTGGTAAGAAACACTAGAGCTTTCCTTGGCATTTGCTGGAGCGCCTCAGCAGTTATCAAGTCATGACCAGGGGTTTTTCTTTTGGGCAATTGTCTAATTTCTTGTGCAACTTGTGATGGTGTGAAAGGAGGTGGTGGTAGTGTGAGCTGTAATGGTATGTCTAAGTTATTATGTACAAAAATATCGTGTTCTGTATTAATTAAGTCTGTATGTGGTTTAAAAACAGTGGAAAGGTGGTTAGCAAAGAGTTAAAATCTTTCCTCGTCCGAAACAGCCCAAGAGCCATCCTCTCTTCGTAGGGGTGCTGACACCTCACGATGCTTTAAAAGATTCCTTGTATGTCTCCATAAACTTCCATCGTCCGTCGAAAGGTTGTTAATAAAATTGTCGTAGCTTGTGCTTTTGAATATGTCTTTTAAGTTCGTTGTTCAATCTGTTAAAAGTTTGTCGGTCTGAAGGAAGTCTATTAGTCTGCCTTTACGGGCTCTTCTCTTTGCTCTAATCAAGTCCCTTATGTACATAGGATAATGGGGCAAGTTCGCTACTTTTTGTGGCCTGGATGTTGATGAGGCCCATGCTACATCTTGTATGCTTTTTGTGAATTTTTCAACAGCTTCTTCTAATTCCTCATGATTTTTAATTGAGCCTGGAATGGAAAGATTGGTGTTCAAATAGTCTCTATATGCGTCCCAGTCCATGCAGCCTTTTATGAGCCTAGGTCTTTTTTGTGCTTCTGAAGGCTCGTCGAAGAGAACCATGTGCACTGAGGAGTGATCAGAACAAAGATCGGAGGTTGCATTGACGGCAAATGGTACGGTTCTTAGTCCTTTTGTAATAAAGAAATCAAGTAAGTCGGGAGTTTTGCGTCTGGAGGTGGGCCAATAAGTTGGTGAATTTGGAGTTACAGTGACTAATGAAAGTTCATGGAGAACAGAGCAGAGGTTTCTGCCTCTTAGAGTACACAACCTTGAGCCCCAGCCGTGATGCTTAGCATTATAGTCTCCACCTGCGATGAAGCATCTTCCGAGGCGTTTGAAGAACTCAGAAAACATCGTGGGTGTAAGCTTGTACCTAGGGGGACAGTAAACTGAGGCAAATGTTATAGTGTAGTGTTTAGTGTATAATGTTATTCCTGTTGATTGTATGTCGGTTGTAATGGGTAAGTCTACGGGATTGTGTTTGAGTGAATTTTTGACGAGTATAGCTGTTCCTCCATGTGCAGTTTTATCTGGGTGATCAGTTCTGTAAATTGTGTAATCCTGAATGTAAATTTTTGATCGAGATGTCAGGTGTATTTCTGTAATGAGTGCTACGTCGATCAGTTTTTCGTGCAAGTATAAGTCGAGTTCAGTACTGTGCTGTTTCAGTCCGTTGGCATTCCATAGAAGAACTGACAAGGAGCCTACAGTTAAATTATTGTGGGCCATAATTTGGGCACCAGACCTGTGTAACCTGTGACAGTTGTTGAAGAAGAATAAAAAGGGGCTGGATTAGGTTATTTAATCCATTAATTATATTAAATAATTGGGAAGAGCCATTATCTACCGGAGGTATCGGTTGGGTAATGCCTCTCCTCGTACCTGTACATGTTTTCTGGTTCTGGGGTGCTGAACTAGATGATGTTTGATTTTGTTGTTGTGGAGCTTGGTTCCCCTTGGTTGTGACCTTGCCGTATTGGAGGGAATTCATGCATGCCTGGAGGTCCCTGCACTGGCTCTGCTACTGTGGAACGCTGAAAACCATTTCTTGCATTGCGCTGAACCCTGAGATCTTTCAGCGTCTGGCAGCCTCTGTAATTAGCGGAGTGCTGACCGGCAAAGTTGGCACATTTCGCAGGGGTGTCTCTGGTTTTCAAACATGAGCTGGTTTCATGATATTCACCACACTTTACGCATCGTGGTCGATGGTTGCAACAAGTTTTAGTGTGCCCATATTGCTGGCACCGAACACACTGAGGAATATTTTTCTTTTGACGCGGTTCCTCAATTTTAATATGTGAATAATAAAGGAATTCAATACTAAAAATTTCTTTTCTAAATGTCTCTTTGGTAATGTCCACAAAGAACATAGGAAGGGGTTTTTTGAATCTAGATATGACGTTAACTACATTGTTGGCTTCGTAACCTAATTTTTTAAATTCCTCTTTAATGATATCGATTGGTGTTCCATGGTGAAGATATTTAACAACAATCCTTGGGCATTTGTCCTGTGGAAGTTGGTAAGTATGGAAGTCGGCGCCTTTATTTCGCAGGCTAGAATTTAATTTTCGATAAACGTCAGGATTTTCTGGGTACACAGTGACACCTTTCAATGTAGACTTAGTTTTAAATATATTAGGACCCGTTTCGTTTTCTAGAAATGAGATTAATGCATGGCAATTTTCAACACCGTTTATAAAAATTGGTGGAGTTTTATTGTTTTGAGGCGCTCTTCTAACTTCTTCTGTTTGTAAATTAGTAATGTTGGTTAGAACCTGAAAACTGTTCGAGGTTGGGATAGATTCTGTCGGTCGTTTTTGAGCTCTTAGCTCGCTCGAAACTATCATAGGTCTTTTACGACCAATAACCAGTTCCCAGGAGCCGTCTTCATTGTTTATATCATTGTTTTTAAAGTCCATGTTACTTACCTCAGTTTGAGATGATTTCACCATTGTTGGCGGTGAAATCCGCTCAATCTTTGTTTGGTGTCTTGTCCTTAGCAATCTTGTCTTGATAAAACACTTTTGCTACACAAAAATTAAGTATTTACACTTAATTAACACTTTTTTGGAAGACAAAACTAAATTAACCTTTCACCTTATTTAACATCAACAGCTGTTTTTCCCGGTATTCTTAAATATAATTTATTAATTTAATTTTTTTTTTTTATGTATTTCAGCATTTCATTGTTCAATTTCATTGTTTTCTTTGTATGGTACTACGTCTTTAATTTTCATTCCCATTTATTGTTTACGGTATTTTATTTGAAGTGAAATATGTGTTCTACAGTCAGATTGTTATGTCCAATTCTTAAAACATTCTTTAGATGTTAGATTTTTCCTAATCCTATAACAATGTTATTGTTGTATGTTATAACTTGAGACAGGATTTTCGTGCAGTAAAAACTCAAAATGTGCAAAGTCGTGCATTAAAAATCCAAAACATGTAAAATTGTGTAATTAACACTTAAAATGTGTAAAATCATCAATATTATTTAATTTATAAAATTAATACATCGAAATCTTATCAGATCTTGAGATAACCGAGAGATAGAAAAAAAAATAGGAATGTTACATTGAAAATGAAATTCCAGATTATAATCAACTATTATAATAACGATTATTATCAAATAATGCAGAACATTGAAGGTTTGAAGGAATAAATGAAGACAGAGATTATAGGTATCTATGTATTATATAGACAGACTAATTTTAGATATTTAACTTTTATTAAAAAATTATGAAAACTTTATTTTTTAATAGAGATGAAATTTCCAATATTATACATTCCAAAACGCTTTGGCTAAAATTTAAAGAATTTATAAAAAAAAAAAAAAAATTGAAATAGACTGTAATGTTTGAGATTTTCAAATATTAGTGTTGAAGCTGTTTTTCTATATCACTAAAAATAAATATTTTTGGGAAAAAAAAAATTGAAATCTTTGATAGGAATATTTTTTTCTTACATGTTTCACAATGAGCGTCTATTAGTGATTTCCTATGATCAGATTCGATTTTCATAAGGTGTATAGAACTTTCTTATCAAATTCTTTGTTCTCTCATTTCAAATCACGATATTTTTTATTTTTAACGAGACTAGATTTTACTTTCAGCATTATCATTTTTTTTTTTTATTTATAAGAATGAAATTTCTAAAAATCAATTTAAAGCCGAAAGAAATACTGAAAGCCAAAACAATAACTATAAATGCCTTACTAACAAAGCAGATAATTCTAGAAAAGTAGATTTTTACAATCCAATATTTTAGGCAAGTTCTATTCCAAGAATAGATCTCACTTGTGTTTACTTCATCCTATTGTAATGAATATGATTTTTGCTCCACACAGAATCATCTGCCTTTCTCATATTTTTCTATTTTGAATAATGAATTTAATTTTAACAATATAGTAAAAAAAAAATATATAGTAAATAAATGTAGTAAAATAAATATTAACACACTCATTTATACATTTGCATTTATAAATCTTCTAATTTAGCACAAAAGTGCAATTTAATGCAACAAAAATCAAAATCGAGCAATTTAAGCCAAAAACTGCAAAACATGCAATTTCGTGCATTATAAAATTTAAATATGTTAATCTACAGGTCTTGAAACAGATAGATATTCGGGTCCAGAGTTTTTATACCCAAGCGAATATAAAGTGCAATAACATGAAAATCCGGTCTCTAATTATAATCAAGGGCCAGATTTTGATGCAGTAAAAAAAAAAAAACATGAAAAATACAGTAACTGGTCTCTAAATGTACTAAACTTACAAACTACTTCATTACTAATATATCAATAATGTATTTAAATATAACGATGTGCCTACAAAAAGTTTTTGAAACAAAAAGAATTATGGAGGTATTGAATTAAAATGTTAAAATTAAATTAAAATGTTTGTTGATGGATAAAAATGTAATATGAGTCATTGTTGAAACATTAACATAATTAATAATCTGTGAAATAAATAATGTTTGAATTAGTCTGCTTTGAAAACATGTTCAGTATTAAAATTAGTTATCAGAAGCATTTGTAAATTTGCTTCTGTGGAACCTAACCTTTTATAAAATATTTTTATAATTAGAAAATGATCTTTCTACTAGAATAAATGATCAAATAAAATAGCTTAAATATATGTTATTGACATGAGATACATCGAGATCCATAATAATTAAAAAGTTAAGATCCAAAATTGGCTGCAAAGTCCGACTGCTTTAATAGCTTTTCGCCTATCGTTCACCTTTTTGTTTTTCAACGGTTATATCTGAGCTCCAATATAGCAAGCAACGGCTTTTCACCGACTGACCAAAATTGTGAGCTCAAATGAGGTTTATCTACAATTAAAAATGGTTACTAACCGTAAGTCCTTCAGTTAAATGAAACAGTGCGTAGTTCCCAGTCTACAACCAGCTATCCAGTTCAAATAGCCTGTGATGGTATTCAGCTTGGAAATCGCATCTTTTTTATTAAAAAATAACATCCACCATTTTTCAGCAGACATCCATTTTTGATGGAACATCCAACAGCGGACATGGGATTTTAGGGAACTTTTCATGGTTTGTTCTACACTCGATAAGTAACTAATTCCCACATTTACAACCAATTATGAATTTTCTTGATATCGGCCCTATTTTTAGCTTATTTTTAATGGGCTAATTGCATAAAAATCTGAGCCTTCGTTATACCAATGTTATTTTTTGAATATTTTGATATAGTTTGAAGTGCATGAATTAAATTTTTTTATGCAATATGTTATTAGTCCATATATTTTAAATCTCCAACTGCTGTCTGTCATTATCACAATTATTTCATAGGATTAAAGAAGTATCTAGCTCAATCTTCTAATATATTGAATGCATTGCATTTTAACATGATTCATTAATCAGACTTTTAGTTTTTAAATTCTTCCTGATCTCCTTCAAACCTTCTAAATTTTTAATAATTGAAGGGTTTGTAAATTGTTGAGCCCATACCAGAAGTATTAAGTTCTAACTTTATATTATTTTTGTCACACATCTTTATTTTTCATCAACCCTACTTTTTATTTCTTTTAGGAACTCAAACTTTTCTTACACACTTAATTATTTCAGCCATGTTCACAGGAGACAAAATCAAAATGAAAATTTCACTCTATGATGGAAAGAAAGAAATTCAAAGAATATGACTCCTGTGGGTTCCCAAATTGCTTCTCAATTCTTACAAATTTTGATGTGTGTCTTTTGAAACATGCATTTCTTCTTATTTAAATATTACCTGTTCTTATAAATATTACTTAAGAGACGTTTTAGAAGATAGTTACATTTAATATCAAGTTCGTGTAAGAACTATAATTATTATCTATATATACATAAAGATTAGTTTTTTTTAATTTACTGTACAGTTATTAAAAATTGTAGAAATGTGAAATGAAAAGATTTTAGTTTTAGAGAAACAAAACAACTTTTTCATAGAAAGAAAGTACATAATTTACTAAGCAATATTGAATATTTGAGAAAATTTATTAGGCAATATTGAATGATTCGGTGATAATAAATGCCTTAAATCATTTTTACCTTAGGATATTTTATGCGATCATACAAGTGTTCTTTTATGGTTGAAAATCTTTCTGAAAAACTTGACTTATTATCAGGCATGCTATAATGAATAAGCCACTGAGCATTTGTTACAGCAAGTTCAGCTAATACAAGATCAGAGCAGAGCAAAATTGGTGGAGATGTACACCTTATCCACAGGTCACCCACTTCTAAAAAAAAAAGTTTTAGTCAGATTGGTTGGTGCTACCTGTCAAAACAGTCAGGGGTACAAAAATAAATCTGGTTTGATAAATTTAAAGAATTAGCTAGTAAAATTTGTTACTTTAATATCTCAAAACATACAACTATTAGATAACTTTAAATAACGGATTTTTGTCAGATCCTGTTGCAGTTATTCAAACTTTAGCAGTATTCATTCATTTAATGTTTTAAATTTTATATTTTTTGGCACTTATATAATGTTGAAATCTCTAATGCTTTTTACTAATAAAACTTTAACAAGATGAAAACTTACTGGTATATTTTGATAATAATGATCTTTAATGATAATATTTTAATAATTTTAAAAAATAAAATAGTTTTAAGAAATAAAATTTGTTATTGAAAATATTTCATGTTTTATGTTCCTGCAAAAATATATATACAAAAGTACTCGCCAATTAACTGATTGAGACCCATTTCTTCATGTGCGACCAAGACATCAGACATAGTTAGTTCCAACAGTGGCCTCAAAGATTTAACTTCATCAGCAGATCTACATACGATAACCGTTCTGATTATTTTTGAAGTACAATCCAGTAATTCTAAAAAAAAAAAAAAGTATTTTTAATTAATTTAGTTTAATAATTAAAATTATTAAACTAATGAAAAGTAAAAAAGAACAAAGCATAAAATTATTGGTTTAATTAAATTGTTAAATAATTAAAGCAGATCAGCCTAATAAGACAAAAATCCCACCCCAATAACAGGATCTGTGTAGAAGGGAAATCATTCTCGAGAGTAGACAAAATCAAACACCTCAGCTTCCCAATAGAAATATATTGGTGTGAACAAGTGCAAACATAGTTTTCTTCTCTCTTTCAAAGATATTGAAATTCCCAAAAAATTCAAGAAATCTTAAATTAAGAGGGTACAATGCAATGATAAAACCAGTTCTCATATATGGCTGCAAGAGCTGGACCCTAACAAGCACACTAGAAAAAGGTGAAAGATATGAGAGAAAATTCCTCTGCATGATAACCAGAACGATCTAGGATCAGAATACTAACGCATGGAGGAAACACCAATAAACAGCTGCTTACAGAAACTGGTCAATCAGTAGCATATGATATGAAGACGAGAAGGTTAAGATGGGCAAGGCATGTAGCTCGGAGCATCTGGAAGTCTCTACACAACAACAAATGCCTCAATAGTAGGCAATCATTCCTCCAGACCACGTGGAAGGTCAAAAACCAGATAGATAGTACGAATCAACAAAGATGTTGTAAAACTGCATAAGGATAAATGAAAAGAAATAGCACAAGATATGCTAAGATATAAGAAAGAGAAGGCAGCAAAAACTCTACAAGGTCCATACTGTCAAAAGAAAAAAAAGTTCGATTAAATTTGCTTCCATTAGTTAATTAATTTTTCTTGGCAGAAAGAAAAATTGATGCATAAAAAATTCCAAAAATAGATGCTGAGTAAAATTAATGAAAAGGTAAAATAAAATCAACAAAATACAAAGCATTTCTCAAGAGATGACAAAAATTATCATTTGTAAGAAATCTATATAATCTAGAAAGGCTGGTCTCATTCTCAGGTTCAGATATGTATTACATCAAATTAGAAACAGAATGTTAAATATATTAACAATACTACAAATATGCATAAATATAAAATTATTCATTACCTTTTAACTTTTTTACTTTGTTATCCGGGGACAAAATGTAAGTTTTAGGTTTGATTCTTGCATATAATGCAGCTTCTAAATGTGCAGTGATGCAAAGCACAGGAGAGTCTAATCCCTTAAAAGTAATTTCTTCTAAAAGAGGAGTCCACTTTTCACCTACTAATACAACCTGTATTCCAATACCGCTGTATCTTTTTCTGATTTGTAGCATTTTATTTAAATTGCCCATGATTTCTTTGACCTACAAAAAAAAATAACAAAACAAATAAAAAGTCACTCGCAATCTCTAATCAAATATTAAAATATTAATGGTGCTAGGTCCTGTTTGTCAACTGGCTATCACCAGGGATGACAAGGCTGCACTCTCATACTACGTTTGAAAAGATTAAGATAAAAGATTCAAAATTTTACTGTCGAAATTTTAATAAATTGTTAGTAAAAATAAATAAAGTTAATCATATTGTGAACTTTATATTCCATTTATTTTTATTACTTTGTAATATAACCCACGTTTTCAAGCCCTACTTCAAACTCAGGATCCTCAAAATTATTCCTCAAAACGTTAATCATTAATAATGTAATAAAGATCTGGTGCAGTCATCACAGAACTTTCACTTACCGCTAAACTATGAAGAGGAATTATTTTCAGGAACAATTGGCTATTATAATAAGTTTTTGAAGTGCATTATGAAGGCCAACTGAACTTTGAAGAACACATTTATGATTTTGGTCAAATTGATCAATTGAAAAACTTAGTAAGACCATCAAAATAACACAAATATCGACTCTAGGCAATAAAAACATCAAAACTGCTTCAGTCTATTTCAACCACATAACTCTGAGCTCTATATATATAAAGAGAGGTTTGAATGTACATGTCATCAGTTCATTGCAAAAAGTGCTTAAGGACATCGATGGAGCTGAACTTTTAAGAACGTTTTTGTAAATTTTGACCTTATTTATTGGAAAAAAAAACAATAAAATTATTTCGACTAAATTGACACAAATAATTTTATATATCAAATGTAGTACTACAATTTTATTAAGTTTACAAAGGGAAAATTTTAGAATTTCGCTGTGGTGTAAAATTATGAAATGTCACATAATTGACTTTTTGCAATAAAGCCACAATATATTTAATCTACGAGCAAGTAGGGACAGTATTACATAGTAAAAATTAAAGGAATTAAATTTTTATCACTTTTTAGAGGTATTTTAACTCTTATTATTTTCCATTGTAAAATTTTCCACAATATAGTTATGAGCTTTTCAATACAGCATCGATAGGTCGAAAATTGTCTCAGTAATTGTAAGTAAATAATGTTGTAAATTCTCAGATTGAAAAATCATTAAATTATTCACTAATTGACATAATTATTTTTCAGAATAACCCAATGATAAAAACCTAATTATCTAAATATAATATAAGATACCAAGTTATTAAACTATAGTATATGTAGATCAGATAAGATTATAAATATAAGTTTAACTTATCTGTGAAATATTGTTATATTTCACTTGTTCTTTCACACGAGGATGTGGAAGGGGTTTTAAGGCGATAAATTCTTTCGCACAAGTTTAATAAAATAGTTTTTTAAAAAATGCTATTGCCTTAATTCAGTGGATTAAACACTTTTTTTTCAAATGTAAAAGTAACGCATGTAAGAGTTTACATTTAATTATGACTAATTGACTACATTTAATTTGATTAACGTTATATAATATTGTTTTTCATAAATTATTAATAACAATTTTTTTCATCACCCTCCATTACCGTCTACAACTTTGTACACTAGATATTCTTTTTTTCTACAATCCTCAGCTTTCCAAAGATATATTATACATATAACTTATGATTTTCTGATTATCATTAATAAGATATTTATTTATTAAAGAAGTGGAACTAAGAAAAAGTTTAAGGCTTACTTGTTGATTAATATTTACTAAGAACTATGAGAAATAATCATATTGGTGAGAAAAATAGTAGTGTAAATCTATTCCTTCAGTTTGAAAAAAAAATCCATTCCATTTCTATAAAATTCAATTGCCCTAAGTTAGCAAACCTATTCACGTTAGGGCGACAACAGTTGAATAAGCTGAGAAGGGAGAACATTTATGGTATAAGCCAACCGCACCCGATGATTTCTCCTCCTCAAAAATTTATTGCTCTCTAGACACTAGTAAAAAAAAAGAATCATTGAATCTGTAATTCCTGCAAGAGTTCGGCGAAGTCAACTGCGCCGAGGTAGAATAATGTAATATTAATTTGAATAGTAGAAAAAATATTGCAGCAGTACTTGTTGAAGTTTCAAAAATCATCGAAGACTCCAAAGGTATTAAAAATACCCTACATAAATACGGACATTTAATTTTTGAAAACTTAGAAAAATTGAAAACTATTAAGGAAAGGGCCAAAAAGCAAGACGAAAATTTTGAAAAATGATTACTTTCCTTTGAGTTTTCATAAATCTGGACGTTTATTTTAGTTTGTACTTTAAAATACTTCGGACAACATATAATTAGTGTCTATCTTTTATGAAAAAAAAATTTAAATTAAACACTTCTATGTGAGTGATAGGTTGCAAAAATTACATCTTAAAAATTAAATAAATATGTTGAGCCAAAGATTGCTGTGAGTGAAAAGAAAAATTGAGTCTTTTGAGCCATCTCAACAAAATAAAATATCATCGATTTATTGAAAAAAGTAATAAAGTGACATTTCATAACCTTAAATAATTCAGAACTTTAAAGAATATTCCCTTCCTAAAATCAGAAAATTGTGTTCTTGTAACTAACTATATTTGATATATAAAAGGGTTTATTTATATCCACACAGTGTTTCTGTATCATTAAATAATTTCACAAAAAAATATTTGGAAGTTAACCTATATTAAAAATGCACTTAGTGACTTTTCACAATAAACCAACAATATTCATCTTATCTTGTCAATTTGTGTATTTGTCTTTAGCTTTTATTCTTAATTATTGGCAATAACAATGACTTAAACATTTTGATAATTCATATTTAATCTTCAGATTCATGACAATAAGAATTATTAGGATTCTACTGTACATCACTTTCAACTTTTTGTGAATAATTTTTTGAAGGTGGATATATTTTGAATTTAGAATACTCCTCATTTAATTTTAATAGTAATACACATTTAATAAATCTAATTATTATTATTAGATTTATTTAAAAACTGATAAAACAATTAAAATTAAACAGAAAAAAAATTAAAAGAAACAAACCTCAGTACAAAATGTGCTTAACAATGAGTCAATGTCGTCAAAAACTATATGACAAACACGAAACAAATTAGTGACAGAGGTATGTTTCAAAAGTCGAAGTAAACATCTAGGAGTTGTTACCAGAATTTCACATCCGTTTGTCAAATCTTCCTAGAACAAAGAATCAATAACTATTATTGCTATAGCTTGTTAAAACTTATAATTCATTAAATACAATTAACACAACTACCTTAGGTATTTTTCAGAATATTGGTCTAAAAACCATTTATTTTAAATTTACCATTTATTTTAGTTTAAAATTAAAATTTAATTTTATCATATTATAATTTTATAAACTCTAATTTTAACACACAGTAATCTTCAAGGAGCACTATGAAATGTTTGATACTGTTAATAATAATAATAATAATAAGTGAAAAAGATTAAAACATATTAAAAAGTATTGCTTATATTATATTATAAATAAGTATTTAATATAAAATTCCTTTTTAAGAAAAATAAGATAAATGTATCAGTAATAGACTTTGTAATAATAATATAGAGTTATCAATTCATTTACAGATATTAAGCTTTAGCTTTATGGTAGGATAGGGATTTTAAGGTGATAAATTGCAGAATTATTACATAATATTAAGCTTTATATGCACAAAAGAGAGAGAAAATATGGGTAAATTTGCAATTAAAACACTTAGGAGGACATGGTGACTGAGTGGGCTAACACATGTGCACTGAAAAAGGACAGCTATATCATTCGTATATGCTAGTATTTTATGTTTTATTCTAACGTGCACCCCTCCATCTTCGCATGATGTTGCTCTTATTACTTTCTCAAGGGCTAAGTTGAGCAGCATTGGCGAGAGTCCATCTCCCTGCCTCAAACCTGTTCAAACTTCAAAGGCTTCAGATACTCCTCCTTGTATTAGTATCCTGTATTTAGGATCGTTTGAACGTGCCTTCGTCAACCTCACTAGCTTTCCGGAAACACCCAGCTCAGTTATAATCTTTCAAAGACAGTTTCTGTCCACGGAGTCATAGGACATTTGAAGTCGACAAATAAGGCGTGCACCTCCTCATCTACTTCCCATCATTTTTCAAGTTCTTGTTTTAGGATGAATACCTCGTCTATTGTAATCCTTCCTCTCCTGAATCCTGCTTGGTGGTCGCCTGTTATGTTTTCAAAATACAGATATATCCGACGACTTAGCAGAATATTAGTCATTATCTTAATATTATATTTATTTTACAAAATAATTATTTCTCAGGTTGGGTTGAGACAACAAACACACATTGCTCAATTATACAATATAAAAACATACATTAATTTTATGTAACATATTTATGAATTTCCATTCTTTTGTCTGGGACTACTCTTGGCACGCTTTCCAACTGTCACTATTTATAATTCACTCACTCTATTCTGCAGCGAATCCTCCTCTATATTGTTGTATTCAACTTCTACAATCTTCTTTTAATCTTCTATTCTTACTTATTGACACTCATTAGTTGTTAGTAACTTTTTCTTCTCTCAATCCTCTTTACTAGCCGGATGGCTACCTTCTGCCTTGATATATGGCACTTACTTCCCCTTCCATCTGTCTTTGTCCATTTTTGACAGTAGTTCTTGATGCCACTGCTTTTGTACCACTATTTAAAATCACTATGTAATAATTAAATTACAATGTATATAGATATATATTCCCTCACTGTGATTAAAATTTTTGAAAAAAATCTAGCTTTAAAAGCTAAATAAAAAGTGAAATAAGAACTAATATGAGATTTTTCATGACACTTTTGTTTTTTATGCTAAATATTAAAACAAAGGATTAGCTAATAATAATCTATACATAAAACTCACTTTTCTCTCAAGTTCTAATCCTCCACCATGAGTTGTAATTATGGTCAGCTTGGCACCACAAATAGCAGAACAAAACTGACTGATGTAGTTCACATTTTGTGCACAAGATGAAACAAATATACAGCGAGGACCATTTCCTGGTTTTAGCTAAAACATAAATACACTAATAACTTTTCTTTTACTTCATTTATGCCAATACATACATTCATAAAAAAAATACATCGCTAACTAAACAAAAACCCTAATTATGGATAAAATATTTTATTTTTTTTAAAGTTACTGTCAAAAAAATAATTATGATAACTTCTTTAACTTTAAAAACAAATATATATGGCAAAAGATGTATAAAACAGATAAGTGAAATAAAAACCGAATGAGAAATCTAATAAATAAGAGGAATGTCTTACTTTTCATTATCTATAAATAAAGGAATGGGACAGCTCACATTTCTTTTAAGATAAAAAAAAATGTGTTCAATAGTCAATACTATCAATATAGTCTGTACAGTTATTTTTTAAGAAATGAATATCTTTAGCTTAATATTGTCATTAACACATTTTCTTAAAGCTTTAAATCTTGTAATACAGACAATATAAAGGTTATAAATTTCCTAGATATGATACCACTATATTCTTTAACAGTACTTATTTTACAAAGGATTCTAAACATAGTTTAAAGCTGGAAAAATCAAATCTCAAAACAAAAAATGAAATAAATCACTAATATTGATTAGAATTTTAACAAACAATATAAAATAACTGGGAAAAATAATAAATAAGCAGAATTATAATGCATGAAACAGGAATTCTGAAAATATTTTTCATCATTTTAATAATTTGTTAAAACAATCAATCTTAGATTATAGGTAAGTTATGATACAATGAATAGAAATAATTAAAATACCGAAGAATAATATTCATTATCATGAAGAAGACTAAGAAAAGACATAACATATGCCAATGTTTTCCCAGAATTCGGAGGCCCAATCAGTACCAAATTGCGACGCTGTAATAGAACTGGTACTGCAAACATTTGGCTCCTGGAGAGCTCACGCATGTTTTTTGCATTCAAGTTCTGCAAAAAAAAAATAATAACAATTATAATAATGATCGTATATCAAAATAAAAAAAAAACAACTCATGCATGAATTCAAATCAGATAACAAGTAAAAAAAACAATTCAAGTAAACAAACAAATCAAGTAAAAAAAACAATTAAAATAAAATTTCATTGATAATAAAAAATTAATTTAACATTTTAAAAAATTCACATTGGAATGCCTTTTCATTCAACATATACAATTTAGTACTAACTGAATTTATAAAAAACCCTCATAAGTTATGTTTTTAAAAAGAACTATAAACATAACAACTCAATTAATTAATTTAATAAAAAGTAAACAAATCAATGATTAATAAAAATTATAAAATTATTATTGGTTATAAATAAATCAGATGGATTACATCAACAAACTGGAACCAAGGGTAAGGACCATTAAAATGGCATACAAAGTGATGAAATGCTACTTACAGAAAATACGTGTTGTTCTAACTTAAGATCTGACAATTTAGAAACTGGATTAGCATTAACATTGCCATGAATAAGACCACACGACATCTTCATTCTTTCAGGAATCTGTCCGACAGAATAGTCTCTAAACAAATATAAGTAAAACATAAAGATAAAATGTATTAAGTTTTTAAAATTTATTTATTGATGTTTAACTAAATAAAATAGGAGTGCTATCAATAATGGACAATAATTTCGCTGAAAATCCCCTTTGTGCCATATTTATTTTTATTTAATAAAATAAAAACGAAAAATTCCATAAAACAAATTGAGAAATAAATCATAAATTTTCATTGAATACATTAAGATAGGGCGGCGAGCAAAATAAGAAGTAAATTCAAAAATAATTATAGCTATTTCGGATTAATATCAGAGAAAATTTTTGACTAGTTAGGTGAATAGATTCACAATACAAATAAAGGTATAATATACTGTTTTGTCCTACAATTAAAAAAAAAAAAACTTCTCATATTTAAATTAGTGTGATTCAACAGACAAAAAAATTGTATAATAAAAATAATGGGAAATAAGCCATAAATATCAATTTAATGTACACATACCATTGTGCTGTTTCATTTAAAATATATAAGTTATAATTTGATAATATATAAAAGAATAATTTCAATATAAACCAAGACATTGTTCCCTATCAGCTATATTCACACACAGTTTCAAGTTTTAAAGGTTTGCTAGTTGCTCGCCACCCAATTAGGCATTTGAGGAGCCAAATACACTAAGATTAATAACTTATAAAAATGAAACAGAAGGGCATAAGGAAAAAAAAGGGTGTCATATATCTCTTTCAGAAAGATTAAAACTCCATTTATTGTAAATAAATTCTATTTTAATACCTGTATTAAATTAATATAAGTAATGTAGATTCAAAAATTTGAAGAAAAGTTCAAGTCTAAAAGAAACCTTCAAATTAACGAAAGAGAAAAAAAAAAGGGGGGATGAAAAATAAAAATTTAAAAAAAAACTATGGAGGTACGACAAGTACAGTATCAACAATTAACAAAAATTGATATTCAGTTATTTTGGGAGATCAGAAACCCTATTAAATCTTTTTTTTTTTGTTCCCCCACTCCCTCACCTTTTAGGTTATACGGAGTTTTTCCCAGGCCAAGGGAGATGGCGGGGGATTAATGCCAGAGTTAAAAGCACCGAGACCCAAACTTGTGATTATTTCATCATCTAAACTTCAGTTTATCAGGTTGTCAGGCAACATGTTTTGCATCCACATTAGCTTGCTCGGCCACCCCATCCTCCCTTTTAAATCCTTAAAGATTTATAAAATCCACGAAATAGTATAGAAATGTAATACATCTAATATCATAAAAAGCTGGTACGCCAGTGCATTACACAACTTTCACTTACCACCCTTCTTTTAGAAGAAATAGGTATTTTCAGACAAAGAGAAGAAAAAGTAAAGATCACAAATGGTACAAAACATTTGTTCAAACAATCAATTACCATATATTTTTCATAAATATCTAATGTATTATATTTATGTTGTTGTTTTTCACAAATCATTGCCTTTAACGATTGTATATTTTAATTATATATTTGATTACAACAAATTTATACAATTTTAGATACTGTATTTTTTTGGATTTTTTTTCCATTACCCAAACAGGTCAGCAAATTCCCCAATACCTGTCCTTACCCTTATTTTCTAGTTCTAAGTGAACTCCTAGCTGAACACATCTGTAAATGTCTATTTTTATTCTTCTAATTTTATTTACTTATTTATTTATTTTTTGGTTTTCTTTTCTTTCTCCACATTCCTTTATGTCTATTATTTCATATTATATCCTTTTTCCTTTTCTTTCAATCTCTCCTGAATATCTGTAGAAGTAAATTCACATTTGCATATATTATATATTACACTACAACAATTGTTACCATCTATTCACTTTAGTTTAGGATCTTGTTACTTAGCTTGCTCTGTTTATATTTGCTTGCTCTGTTTATATACCTACTGTTTATAATTTTAATAAGCTTATTGACATTGTTTATAATTGTTTGTCTAAATATTATGTAACTTCCACAATGCTCTATATCTTTTTGCATCTTGTCCGTTCTAGCCCTGAAGAAGACCTGCAAAGTCGGGTCGAAACGTTGGTTTTTAATAAAACAGTTTTGTCACTACTTAGCCTATTTATGAACGCCAACCCAGACCATCTCCTTCCTATTAAATATTCAATAAATAATTATCTGCCATCAGCCGGATTCGAACCTGGAATCTTGAGCTTTGGAAATCAGTGACCTACCACCGAGCTTCCCTGCTCCCGACATCTCATATATGGAGTTGAATTAATGTTAATGGTGATTAATTCTTCATTTTTTAACAGAAATACCACTGAGCTTCCCTGCTCCCGACATCTCATATATGGAGTTGAATTAATGTTAATGGTGATTAATTCTTCATTTTTTAACAGAAATAAACAAACAATACTCAAAGTAAAGTTGCAAGGTTAGGTTACTTTCCTGGCACTCCTAGCATTTATTTATTTATTCGTCTCTGCCTTGCCTTTTGGCTACATTAGTTTTTCTGAGATGGATTATCACAAAACTATGAGTATGCCATCCCTGTTATTAAACATACAACATTTAACACATAAAAATGTACACCTAGCAGGAAAATATGTTAACTACAATTATGACTTTGTTCAAGTAACTTAAAGCCGTCGAAAAGGATCTATTAAGCCTGTGGTGATCTCTCCTGGTGGCTGAAAACATTGAAAATGTTAAATATATTTTTTAGGAAAAAGTATTGGTCGAGAAACTTGCCTTCAGGGGTTTAAGCAGGTTACTCATTGGCCTACTAAAAGTGCTACAAGGATAAATTAACTCCCAATTTCTCTTCTCTTCTAGATATTGTATCCCTGCGTTTGATTTTGATAAAACACTGTATTCCTTTGGCTCATTGTCTTATCTCAAAAATTTTTAAAAGTTAATCTCAATCCACTTTCTACATTCGAACCCATTCATATTGAACAAGTTCCTTTTAAAATTTTGATGTGTAGAAAGATTGCAATTATTCATCATTCCCATACTTAAAACAATTACATTTATTTTTAAGGGTTAAAGAAGTACCTAGGACAATTTTTTACTTTCACTAAGTATACAATATATAGTAAGAGACAGTACTGCGAACATGAAATTTCCAAATCTGGGTTTTCAACAAAAATACTTCTTTTGAGGTCTCCAATGTCCAAATAGCCAAGTCCTCCAAAATGGTCTGTGGGTGTGTGTCTGTGAACAGCCTAGCCAAAAAACGAAAAGTCATTTGAAACTGAAATTCTGTATTTAAGGTATGTATATAACTAGGACGTTACCACAAATTTTTCATTAAAACCAGCTAACCGGAAGGGTTAATTTATATCATCGATTTTTGGCTTTCAATAAACTAGTTTTGCCACTATTTAGCCTATTCATGACCATCACCTGGACCATCTCCTTCCTTTATAATTATTTATTCTATTTCATCAGCCACGGATCGACACGGGTCAGGAGACCCTCCTGAGACAAACCAAGCCTCTATAAAGTGGATACTCTTAATTAATTAAGGGGAAAAACCTGGCTGTTTAGCGTGATATTGGTCAAATCACCTTTTTGCACAACTGTTGACCAAGAAACAATACTTTCTTACATAGTACTAAATTCTTCTTCATGGGTTGTAGTGGAACAGGTTTTTTTTGTATGGGGTGTCCCATGAATAATGGAAAATATTAAAAGACATAAACCTCAAAAGCATCAAAAAAGTCTACAAAAGCAATATAATGTCATGGTCTGCCCCTTATCACTCAATCAATTTTAAAATTTGGTTATGAGTGTACCTTGAAATTTTTACTAGAAAATAGAATATAATACAAAGCAGAGTCCCACTAAAAACGTCGTAGACTGTACTAATTATAGTGGCATTTCACTACTCTCTAGAGCATATAAGATTTTTTCTGGCATACTGTTTGAGAATCTCCAAACTTTTGCTCAAGACGTTATTGACAGATACCAGGCAGGCTTTATGAAAGGAAAATCCACAATAGATCACACCTTCACACTGAGAGTAGCACTGGAAAAATGCAGAGAGTATAAGATAAATACCTATCACATCTTCATTGATTTTTGTGCTGCGTACGCTAGTATAATGAGAAGATCTCTACAGAGAACTATTGGAAGTGGGAATTCCTGTGAAGGTCATCCGCCTAATACGCATGACCATGATGGGGGTAAAGTGTATAGTCCGTATCCAGAATATGATCTCAAAGTGTTTCTGCACCCATCAAGAACTTACACAAGGAGATTGTCTCGCATGCCTACTTTTTAATTTGGCCGTGGAATCTGTAGTAAGAAGATCTGGAATCCAAGTTGGAGGTTAAATTTTAAATAGAACTGTAATAATCCTTGGGTACGCAGATGACATAGACATAATGGGACAAAACTATGAAGCCATAAAAGATGTATTCTTGGAGCTCCAGCAGGAAGCTGAAAGACTGGGTCTTGTTATTAATGAGACAAAAAATACATGACCACAGTCCCCTATGGAGAACCATACATACATATCAGGTCATACTCCTTTGAGGGCATGGAAGAATTTATACATCCAAGAGTCACATGTATCCAGGTAGATCACAAGTGAATTTACATAATGATATTGCACAGGAAATTCAGCATCAGATTGTCTCTGCAAACAGATGCTACCATGGATTAGCGGAGTATTTCAAGAGTGGAGTAGTATCACGATTCACCAAGATCTGCCTGTATAAGACATTGGTAAGGCTCACTTACGCAGCGGAATGCTGGGCCACTACCAGGAACCAAGACATGTAAATGGAGTCTGGAGACAGCAAACTAATGCTGAATTAAGGCAGCTATAAGGGGATGCTGATGTGGTGACCTTTATAACAGTAAGTCGTCTCAGATGGACTGGTCTAGTTATACGAATGTCTGAAGATCAGATCCCAAAAAACATCCTCTTAGAACAAATCTTTGACAAACAAAGAAGAGGAAGACTAAAGCGACGAATAGGAATGACTGGAGGTTAAAGTTGTAAGAGACCTTTTCTGCACGCGGAACGTAGCGCCATACAAGAAGAAGAAGAGTGCCACTAACAATAATACAATAGAAAAATAATGGGATACACAGCACGTTTTGAAGAATAGTATGTTTCCTGAACACTTTAGTTTGGTCAAAAATTCACAAAAGTCAGATCAATTTGGTTCCATGACTTAAAATAAAACTCTTTTACATGGCTAAGTTTCTCGTCCAAAGTGAGTTCATACGAGAAACCAGTCTACAAATTTGTAAAAGGGCCTTAACTAAAAGATATTTTTTATTAACACAACAGTCAACAAATTATAACTAAATCAATTTTTTTTTAAATAATTATGACACCCAATTTTTATCCAATACTATTTCATCATAAATGGCAGTGGAATGGAAAAAAGTTTAAAGAAACATTATTTAAATACCTTAAAATTTGCTGTTCCAGATCACCTTCTAGTTTTGCTTGAGCAGAAGAATTGACCAAAGATTTATCATCTAACGGTTCATGTTCACTATCAGGTGCTAAGTTTAAAAGCTTCTCATAGTGTTCATCGTCAGATTTAACCACATTTTGTGATGTTTCTATCTTGTTATCTAAAGGAGTGAATTCTTTTGTACAATTCAAATAAGTAGGCTCTTCAATATCAAAATATCTGTCTTCATGATCACTGGTATCTTGGGAATCATTAATAATATCTTGTTCATCTTTCGATTTTTGAAGAACTTCAGAATTATTTTCTCTAGGTAAATTATTGTAACCAATTGATTTCTCAGGACTTTCAGATTTTCTTTCTCTAGACGAATCACATAAAACATCATTTGATTTTTTTAAACTTTCAAATTTGCTACATGAAGGTAAATCATTGTAATCTTTTGATTTTTGAAGACTTTCATATTTATTTACGCTAACTGAATCGTAATTACTTCTTTGTGATTCAGTAAATTTATTAAATAAGAAGCCCCTTCCCATAGATTTAATATGGCCATCATTTTTAATACTTTTCTCTTCACTTGCAGGAGTACTAGCAAGAGCAGCAGGAGTAGAGGGAGTAGAGAGGAGGAGAGGAGTAGCAGAAGGACTACTTACAATAGAGCTATTATTTTCACTGAATGAGGAATCTTTTTGGAATTCATAATTTTCTCTTATATCGCTATTGGTATTCACTTTTCTTTTAGTGTCCACTTTTGTCATATCATCATGAGTTAAAGATTTAAAAGGGCTATTTTCGTGTTCCACTTGATCTGGTTCTTGTTTTAAAGGAGAAGTTTTATTTACAGAGGAAAATGTTCTACTTCCTAAGGAGAAAGAATTTACAGGGATCTGTTCATTTTGATTTTGGTTAAAACTGTTTTCATTATAATTTTCTTTTGTAGGAAAAGAAAATGTTGCATCATGATGATAATTGTGAGCTTTTGATTTGTGGCTCTGAGAAAAGTATTTACTCTTTTTATTCCTTGGATCAGAATTTAACTTTTTATTTTTACCTTTTAATAATTGAAAACATAGTTCCTCAGACATGGTATTTTTATTAATTTCATTTGCACTATAAATTACATTTTCTGCACTATCTTTATCAAATTGGTTCAACATTAAACTTGTGTTTAGCTTTGAATCATTTTTTGACTCTACGTAGTTAACTTTCACACTTGACGATTCAGGTCTCTCAAAAAAACCACAGTCAGGAAAATCTGACTTACTAATCACATCTTGAGACTGAAATTGACTGTCTTGGATAGTTTTATTGTCATTAAAGTTTTGTAAAAGTGATTTTATTTTTCCTCGACCTCCTGATTGTCCACTCTTGTTAGGAAAAGAAGAAGAGGCACGTCCATGGCCTATTCCAGGAAATTGTTGTAAGTCCGCCATCTCATAACCTTCTCTCCTTTTGTCTAATTTATTTTCAACAGCCACAGCAGGCCTCTTTGATTTTGGTGTCTCTGTCTTCAATAAACAATCAGTGAAAGATTCTGGATTTATTAACAATCCACTTGTTAAAGCATTCAAGTATAAGGAATGTTGAGGTGTTATTTCTATGTTTCTTAAACCTACAGCAACCTGAAACAAAAATGTAAGTTCGTTAAACAATTGCCTACGACTCAAATTAATTAGCCCTAATTTAACTTTAAAACTAGAGTAACATGAGTTTACTGTAAAAGTAATCATTTAACATTTTACAGAAAGAGATGCTGCAGGGTGCTATCCTTCCTCATGCCTATAATGTCGATCCTTATTTATCACAACACATTTCCTTATTGTCAGTACCATGACAGATACATATTTGAAAAGAAAAAAAAAAAATTTTTTAACCAAGTTGAATCACTAGTAATTAAACAAATCTTCTCTTGGTGAAATCGAAGCATTGTACACATAGAATAACTATGTTTGACAGATATAGTGAAACCTCACCTGCTGGATTTTACTTCCTCAAAAGACCTAATCTGGATGTATAGAAATTTAGCTCCCTTTTTGCAATGAAAATGGACTGCTAATTTTGCCTTAGCAAGACTTATAAAATGATTTTTTTTATTATTTTATTTGTAAGCTAAATAACTAAAAACTATGTATATCATTAACTCTAATCACTTTTAATTTCAAATAAAAATCTTTATTAGGTCTAGATCCGTCACATCCATTAGAAATTTATTTTTATTATTTGTGAGTCCGAGAGCCTGTACAAAAAAATCGACATTATTTGATGAAAACTTTGAAAGCATTTTTTAAAATATTTATAACATTTATATTTTTAAAAATGAGAGTCTGATAGTCAACTAACACCGATTTTTAGCAAATTTGTCAAAAACTAGTTCACACCAAAGATGCAAGTGCATCTTGCAGTCTGGATGCAAGACACACGTGCATCGTGGGAAACGTGCATACTAGCCCCTTCCACTTCGGCCGGCCAGAAGCAATATTTTTTTGAGGATCAATCATTGAGACCAGTTGGCTTACAACGCCAACGTTTTGTCTACCCTCTCCCTTCTCAATTTTCTCTATGCTCTTGTGATTGACGTCTATCAATTGCTTTTTTATTTTCAACTATTGTTTTCTTTTTTTATCTATTGTTTAATTTTTTTTAACTAGAAGTTTTTTTTTATCAATTTCTCTGATTTACAACTATTTCTTCATATGTTTTTACCTATTTTTCTCGTTATTACCATGGAAGATTTAAAATTTTATGCTAAAATTGCAAGAAATCGTTAGTAATCGTTTTCTATTGAAATGGCGAGTGAATGTCATGAAGTGGTGTGACCTAGGGTTTCTTTTTTTTCTGGCCTCATGATGCCTGAATCGTTAATGGCTCATTTTATTCTTTACCTGCATATTAAAGACACAAAACTGTGAGGTTGGAGTTTTCCAAATATAAGGTAACATTTATTCTCTCCTCCCTCATCTCCTCCCCAAGATATGGTATTGATACTTTTAATAAACAACTCTGTACAAAATATTCCTAAGTAATGTTTTCAGTTTTGAGCTACATTCATATGTTTAAAAAATGAGTTATACTATTCATGGGAAAATATAGTTATTTACCTCAGAAATATAACTAGTCTTTCTTTCGCAGATATACACAACCGACAATTTGTATCCCGACGACTCAGTGACGGTTCCGTGAGATCCAACAACTTGTTAAAAGTCTAAATCACCATTTTATAGTAAACCTGAAACTTTACTGGATGGTTCACTACTTGCTGAGACACCATAGTAGGGCTATAATCTCCAGCATTATTCCAGTATGGATGCTCCCATAAATGATTTCTTCTTTGTCTTTGTCTTACTACACAAGCCAGAATTATAATTTCGTCACATGAAGAGTCGGATGATTGATTATTCATCTTTCAAACTCACGTAGTAAACTAACAGAGATAATGGATATAAATGGAAGATGCAAGAAGCATGTACATCCTTGGTGTGAAAGCTCTTTCATAAAGATGCAAGACGCACATGCATCCAGGAGGCATGCATTTCGCGTATTGCATCTTCAGTTTGAAAGGAGCCTAAGAGAAAAAACTCATAGAATAAAAGATGTAAAGCATCAAATTCTGCATCCACTGAGTATCAACAGTTTTAATATAGGTCAATGACTCCGCTTAAATAGGGATTCAATATTTCTTCATGAAACTCGGTTTCTTTTGATATCTCTTTTCTCAAAATCTTTTGCTGCTGAGAAGGTGGATGAGTCATATACTGTATATACTAGACTTTTAAAAAGAAAAACTCAGTAGAATAGACATCCATACTGTTGAAATATTTAAAATCACAGATATCTCCATTACCAATTTTCAGCCAACGGTATTAACTACCGATTTCGAGTGGAGTAAGTGACTTACATCTAAACTGTTGGTACTCAGTGGACGCGGAATTTGATGCTCCACAACTTTCATTCTATGAGTTTTTTTCTTTAGATGCATCTTGCATCTTCATGGTAAAAAGGGCCTTAGAGAACTCATTTTCAACCTGCAGAGCTATTTATAGTAATATGTCTAATTTTTTGATGAATATGGTAAAAATCTGAGTTCTGAGTTTTTTTACTGTGGTTATCGACTAAAAAAAAAAAAAAAAAAAAAAAAAAAAAAAAAAAAAAAAAACACTTCATTTTTGCAATGAATTTCCTGTTTCAATTTTCAAGTTATTGGCCTAATATTCTTCACATCAGCCGCCATTTTTACTGTTAGATCCGACTAGCATACTCTTATTTTTTTAAATATAAATATACAAAATAGTATTATAAGTAATAATAATGTAAGTATTTGAAAAATACTTACAAAGTTTTCATCAAATAATGTGGATTTTTTCGCATGGGCTCTCAGGCTATGAGGGAAATTTCAAGTTTAATTAATATTAAACCTAGTTTAAATCAAGCTTAACTAAGAAATAACCGTGCCCCTGGAGAAGATAATATTCCCTGAGAGATCTTTAAAAGCGGTAGAGATCTGCTGCATCAAAGGATGTACGATCTAATTTAGACTATATGGACAAATGAGAGAATGCCTACCAGTTGGTGCTCTGGATTGATCTTGCCTATCTTTAAAAAACAGGATAAGACCCAATGTCAAAATTATAGAGTAATTACGCTCCTGAATGTAGCATACCAAATCCTGTCAAAGCTGCTAGTGGAAAGGCTTAAGATCTACTATGAAAGGATTCTTACAGATTACCAGTGTGGTTTCCGTCCTAACAGAGGAACCAAGGACCAGATCTTTTTAGTGAAGCAGGTTTTAGAAAAATCCTACGAGCGCGATCTTGATGTCTACTTGCTTTTTGTGGACTGTAAACAAGCTTTTGATAGAATTAGTAGGATTTAACTTACTCTGGCTCAAAGATTTCGGCATTCCTTATAAGATGATTAATTTGATTAAAATAATAATGGCTAAAACACAAGCGAGTGTCCTCATTGGAAATCAAACCAGCCTCAGAATCACGTTCAACAGTGGGATGAGGCAGAGAGGTGCCGTATCAGCCATACTTTCCAATTTAATCCTCCATAAAGCTATGGAAAAAAATTGTTGTAAGTGGTAACCTTGCAACCAGCACTAAGAAGATTGCTGGCTCTGTCTATGATATTGAGACATTAAGCAGAAAGAGCTTTAAAAGAATTACTAATTGAAGTGGATGAAGGAAAGTTGGGCTAGAGATTAATGAAGCAAAGACCAAATACATGGTAGTATCTGTGTCTACAACCAGAAGAGGCCCACGAGATTTAGTAGTGAGTACCTATCACTTTGAAGGTGTTGGTAGATTCACCTACCATAGAGTGGAATCAAACTATGAGAACAAGGGAAGTGATGAGATCAAAAGCAGAATCATGGCTGGATGCAGAGCCTACCGTGACCTTCAGAAATTAACTAAATCAAGTCTCCTGACCAAGCAAACCAAATTAAAAATATACATGTCTCTAATAAGAGCAGTGGTGTGCTATGGAGCAGAAAGCGGGATGCTAAAAGTCTCAGACCAGTTAACCTTAAGGGTCTTTGAAAGAAAAATATTAAGACCTATTTTTGGCCCGGTATGCTCAGGGGGCATCTACAAACCAGAAAGAATAGGTAGCTAGCTGGCTTGCCTCATAGGGTATGAGGAAATAGTCAGATTTGTTAAATCAAGAAGTTTGAGTTGGCTTGGGCACATTGAAAGGTTGCCAGAGGGAAAAATTATGAGAAAGATATTGAGGAAGATTTTCGAAGTAAAAGAAGAATGGGACACCCCAGAACAAGCTGGCTGAAGGATGTGGAGCAGGACTTGGCTAAGCTTAGAGTGACTGGGTGGAAGAGGAGAGCAATGGATTGAGACGGCTGGAGACAGATTGTGAGGAAGGCCAAGATTTATATTGGACTTTAGCACCGGATAAATAAGTAAGCATTAATATTAAGCCATCCCCTTAAGGAAGCACTAGACTATAAGGAAACATATATTTAAACGTAAAAATAACATGAATCAAATACATCTTCTCGGAAAACTAACCGTGAGAGGGAAAATGAATTGCAAATGACAAAACACTAACAATGGCAACAAACATTAACTGACGATTAAAACTGAAGGAAGAACATGTAAATCAGCTTACCCTTAGTTTGATGGGCACCTCTTGCAATTTGCTGTAATAAAACTCAACAAAGATTCGGGAAACATTGTTATGCGCTGGAGAGGGAAATAGATAAACGTATAGAACAGAGTAATTAAGGTTTTCAGATTTTTTTTTTTGTGTGTTGACAACTGATCCCACTATTCCTCATAGACCTTAATAGCTCATCATCATGCCAGAGCCATTAGTAAAAAAAATTAAGTTAATAGTAGTTGAAATAGAAAACTTATTCACTATCAAAATGAACTTGTGTTATGTGGCATGTGAGGGAAATAAATTTTGATGATTCAAATTTCTATTAAGTCTAGGAACTAGATTGGTACTAGTCGGCAAACAAGAAATTTTAGACAGAAAACACAATCAAATTTGATTCAAGTTTTAATTTAGAACATGATAAATTTGTGAAATGACCCATATATTAATGTACATATGATTTATGAATGAAGTTAGGTTTATTATTTCCAATAATGAATGATTGTAATCGATAAAAAAAAATTTAAAAATTTTTTGATTTTTAAAATTTTTCACCATGTCCCCTTAATCCTTCTTCTGGTAGTAGTAAGACTGATTCCACAAACAGGTTCAGCAGTTTTGGGAATAATGTCTGAGCCTAACCTGGCTAGTTTGTCTGCCTCTTCGTTGCCTGGACTGCCCAAATGACCAGGCACCCACTTTATTGCAATTCTATTAAGCTCAGTCAGATTGTTAAGTGCTATGCTGCATTCTTTAACAACCTTTGAGTATACATAATAATTATTTAAAACATACTTCTATAAAAAGTACTTCCCTTTCAAGATGGCGGTAGAAAGACATGTGTCGTATAGATTGTAGCGCCTAAACGAATGTACTCATTTTAATAAGTATTCACATTCAAAACCCAGCACACTTCAATGAAAAGAAGCTGGGAAAAAGTTATGAGGGGTGGCTAAATTTTATTTCCGAATAACTCAAGAAATATACCCTTTTTTCTTGATGTTGTATATAGTAATTTAAAAGTTTATGAAATTTCCTAAAAAATCAAAATAATCATTGAAATCAGAAAATTTGGTGGAAGGATAGGGTGTTCTAAATATTATTATTTTCATATGGTTGGCACCATGTTAAATTAATGAATGTTAACCTGCCCAACGACTTGTTCTATTGCAAAGGTTATACCCTCTGTTTTGGTTTTTGATTTTTTTAAAGTGTTACATCAACTAAGGCAATTTGTTTTATTTTTCTTAGCAAATTACTAATAATGAAAAAAAATAAATAATTATTTTGTCTAATATTAGGAATCGCCTTTTATTTATTTTGCTTTATGTTGCAAGTAATGTTACTTTTGATGTATAATTGCTTGGAAATAATAAACCATTGTGGAAAAATTTGCAGCGTTTTTGTATTGTATTTCAATCTTTACCCAACACATTCTTTATACAAATATCAGAACAAAAGGTTAAGATGCCAATAAAAATAAGTTTCATAAACACAATGATTTTCATAATTATTCAATAGTCTAGATACATTATTTAACAATAATATTTTTAATTATGATACAACCAAAACCTCTTTAAAAATATTGATTTGTAAGAAAGAATTTATAAAAGTAGAAATTGTAACTGTATTAAAAATTAATGAACATCAAATTTGGTACAATGGATAGTCATAATTTAATTATATCAAATAACTGAAATAAATTTTCATAATCTACCTTTTTAATAAGACTATGTTCAGGAATAGATTCCTGTTGGCCATTCTTCGCACTGATATCTAAAACAGAGGAAAAATTATCATTTGAATGTACAATGAATAAGTAAAGAAAATTCCACACAAACTTTAATCATTAAAAAAGAATGAAATGCTGAAAATTTCCCTCGCTTACAGTATGGAGGTCTGATTTTATGAGATATTTTATCCAAATTCAAAAATTAGTAGACTTGAGCCGACTTTGTACGAATGAGCGTAACATAGCCAAGCATGACAGCTCTGTCTTATCTATCGATCTATCTTAATGGCTCTACAATCTTTAGCAATTCCTCGCCTCCTCAATTAGCTTCCTATTTCTCTATTATTTGCGGCGACATTCCAATTTCTGACTCCCATCGAGTGTCTCGTGTCACCTGCCACACCATCTGCCCATCTCAATTTCGGTCTGCCAGCTCTCCTCGTAGTATAATGGTTCCTCAAACACTCTTATTGGGATTTCAGACTTCTTCATCCGAGCTATGTGTCCTGCCCAACTCAACCTTCCTAATTTTATTATACTGGCCACATTAGGTTTATTTAACAATTCGTAGACCTCTCTGTTCTTCCGAATTCTCCAATCCAGTCCCTTCTATACAGAGCCAAGGATTTTCCTTTCAAAGACCAAAAGGTCTTTTTTGTCATTTTTTGTTAAGGTCGATGTTTGGCTACTGTAAGTAAGAACTGGCCGGATGAGAGCTGGAGCTAGTCAACTAAGTAGAGAGCTTCTCATGTGCTTAAGTAGGCCAAAATAGCATCGGTTTGCAGCTGCTATTTTCCACTTTATTTCAAGTGACCTCTCATTTGTTGTCGTAATTTGAGATGCAAAATAAGAGAACTGTTGGACAATCTCAAAGGTGTAAGAGCCTAGAGATATTATTCAGTTTTTGAGATTCTCTCCTTCTCCTGTATACATATATTTTATCTTATTCTCATTAATGTGGAGCCCCATCTTAGTTGCAGCTTTTTGCAATTCAAGGAAGGCACCTTCGAGAGCTGCAAAGGACCGTGCAACAATATCAATGTTGTCAGCGTAACCTAACATTTACGCCCGTATTTGTAAATATCGTGCCCTTAGTCTGAATACCAGAGTCAATTACCACTTTCTCCAATTTCAAGCCAAATTAAACAATCAGCATGCCAAAGCATCATCTGGTCTCAGTCCTTTATTGGTGGGAAACTCCAAGAAGCATTCCGAATGAGTGGGTACTCTGCACTGTACGTCCTGCATTGTCACTTTTAACAGACAAATTAGTTTAGAGAGGATGTTTATTTCTTCCATTGCTTTATACAACTTGTATCTCCTTATGGTATCGTGGGCGCTCTTGAAGTCAATAAACAGATGATGGATAGGAATTTTATACTCATGACATCTTTCTAGAATCTTCCGGAGAGTAAATATTTGATCAACAATTGATCTATCTACCCTTTCGAAAACCGGCTTGCTATTTGCCAATTTGACAATCAGCGAATGGGACTAGCCTGTTGTAGAAGATATTGAAGAGTATCTTATATGCACACTGCCACTGAAGTTACGAAATCCCTCGGTAGTTGGGGCTTTCGAATTGTTCTCCTTTCTTGTGTACAGGACATATGACCACACATTTCCATTGAAGAGGCATCCTTTCTTGTGTCCAGATGGAGAATATCAGATCATAAATGAGCTTATATAGCTCTTCGCCACCATATTTAAATAGCTCAGGTGGTAGTCTATCACCTCCTGCTGCCTTATGATTTTTCATCTGTGCAATCGCATCCGGGATCTCTTCAAGCTGAGGGAGTTAGGGAGAATTTGTCTAAGCTGAGGGAGTTAGGGAGTATTTGTCTAAGCTGAAGCAGTTAGGGAGTATTTGTCTAAGCTGAGGGAGTCAGGGAGTATTTGTCTAAGCTGAGGGAGTCAGGGAGTATTTATCTATCATCCAGCATGATGTTATTGTGACTCCCAGAATCCTGCTCTGATTCAGATGCTTCCTCATTCAATAGGTAATTAAAATGTCTAGCCCATCTTTCAAGTACTTTTTTCTTATTAGTGAGAAGTGAACTATCCTCCTTTCTGCATGATTGAAGTCTCGGCCTAAAAGGGATCCTCCACTTATTAACTTTTTTGGAAAAACATTCTATTCCTATTGTTATTTCTCAGGGTCTTCACTTCTTCAAGCTGTTTATTCTCCCATTATGTTTTTTTCTTTCTATGGAGTCTCTTCTCAACTTGTCTTTCCATCAGTCTCATTCAATATTCACAAAATAAAGTGCTAAGCATGCCTAAACAAGTTTTCACTTCAACAAGATGGTGCATAAATGAATAAAGGTTTGGCGACCTAACAAAATGAAACGAGTACTGAACAAGATATGTAATGTTATTATAATATCTCACTATTATAACTATATTGAAAAGCATGAATGCCTTAGGGATGGTAGATTGTTAATGAAATAAGTTACAGGAAGTTGTATTTACTACATTTTATATTCTGTTCATATCTGTGATTAGCTAAATATTTTTAAAACTAATTTCATACAAGGGAGAAATCTCCTTAAATGTCTGTGAAAAATATGTGCTCTAGGGGCATGGTTAACTCGCCACTTTTAGCTTCACTTTTTCTTTGAGAGAGAGAGAAGAGATTGCCAATACCCAGGTAATTATATAGCAGTATTGATATGTCAACTGCGAGTTGCAAGCTTAAACTTTTGGAGTAGTTAGCTTCTAAATAATTATACACCACTACTTCAATAAAACTCTAATTTTAAGATTTAAAAAATAATGTAATGAAAAATAAGAAAGTAGAGAATCATAATTACCATGTTCAAAATTATTAGATAGATGAGCAACTCTTTTTTCTAATAATATATCTTTAAGAAAAATATTACAGAATTTGTTATTATAATATGTTACGACTTCTATTGAGCCGTAATAAAATTTATCAATCAGATAACACTCATTCAATGTGGCATTGGTAGTGTTGCGAATTAAATCTGCCAAAATGACATAACAATCATTCCTGAAAAGTCAAAAATGACTCTTTAAAGTTTTAGCAAAGAATTTAAATAAAGTTTTAATTAAAGAAAAATACTAATAAAAATCACAGAATTATTAAAAATATATAAATACAAAACAAGCTATGAATATAAGTTAAATTTCTTCAGATATTATTGAAAGTATCAACTGAGAGATTACACATCTAATATCGAATAAAATTCAATTAACCAACACCATTATGAACCCTAGATGAGTTCAGATATCAATAGAGCAACAGTAAATTAAGGTTATGAAATAAAAAGTAGCAAGACTAATGCGATGAAGGGAAAGGTTTAAATAAAGTAAGAGTTTTACAGAAATATCTCAAATTTAATCATAGATACAGAAACATTAAAGATTTAACTAAAATAACTATTACTCAACAAAAGTGTGAAACCACACAACTGGCTAATTCCAACTTTTGTGGATAGACAAGAAATATGTAAACAAATAAACTACAGAGTGGGGAAAAAATCAACATTTAATTGCTGTACATAAAATTTGCATTAAAAAAATATCATAAAATGACCTTAAATAAAAACATTTTGGATTTGAATGGTTTCACACGTTTGCTGAAATTATTTTTTAAAATAGAGAAACAAAAGAATATATAACAACTTCAAATACTGAATTTTCAAGGCACTGCTAAATAGATTGAACATTTTGTGATGATTTATATGAATTGAAGTGTAAAGAAACAGAGAAAATAAACATTTTTTATAGGTTTCAAAACAATCTTTATGAATACGGAAAGAAAATAACTTATTACAGAAAATGATCACAAAGATCTAAATATATTACAACCATTCCTTCTCTTTCTATTCTATGGTAGAAGATTCTATAAAACAATGCTAGTTGGCCAATGATTTCATAAAGATAGAGATTATTAAAGAAACTCACAATTGATTGCTGGTAACTTCTGGAGAAGGAATTATGCCATATAATTTTATGGTATGCCTCTGAGCTTCAAGTTTAAATAAACTTTCATTTAAGTAATAGACATTACATGACTGGATAGAAATATCATCACCTATATCAATACGATTAACATAAAAAATATTTTTCTCTTCTTTGTATTTTAAATAACCTCTGTAATATTTTCCATCCGATTCCTCAACAATGACCAATGACTAGAAAAGGTTTTAAAGTCAATAAAAAACAAACTATGAATTTTATTCATTTTATTAAAATAACACAACTTACTACAAAATATTAAAATATATTCATTAAGATAATCTCTACATAAAGACCATATCTAAGCATGAATATATTCCTGACTTACATTTATCTTATCCACATTGTCTGATTTCAGAGAAACACATTCTGGAATTATTCTTTTTAACTCTACGTTTATTTCTTCTGAACTAAGACAATCTTGACACCGAACTGAATAAGTAAAAGGGTCAATCACATTTAATACCTCGATAAAACCATCTTGCAATGAATGATTAGAGATTTCAGAAGAACTAAAAGCAGGATGAAAAACAAATAAAGAGGATATTAATACTTAAATGCATTAAATACTCGTATAAAGTTTAGAAAAATAAATAAAGTTTAACACATTATATCATGCATTAAAACATTTAAACCATACATAAAAACAAACACTAAACATAATGGAAAGGATATGATGACCACAAAAAAGCTTTCTTTTAATTAAAATGAAGAAAAAAAATGTGTTAACTTGGATACAGCTATATTGATAACAGGATCTGTAGAAACCGAATGATTCTGCAATATATCACTGATTAGTACAAATGTCCTTATAGAAGGTGCAGAGGAACTGGATAAGAGAACATTCTATACCAGCCTAGCCAAGATGTACGATCAGATACCACAGTAGATACTAAGATTGTACTTGATGATTTCAATGCTTAGGTAGGCAAGGAAGAGATATACAGACACACAATCAGACAACATAGTTCGCATGAGGCAACGAATGATAATGAATTTTGAACAATAGAATTTGCTATGTTTAAAGAAATGACTATCATGACTACCATGTTGCCTCACAAAAAGATTCATTAAGAAACGGATGGATAAATGGATAAGTCCAGGGGACCAAACTAGAAAGCAGGAAGACCATTGACATGAGACACTTTTCTCACATCTCAGATGTGAATAGCTATAGGGGAGCGAGCAGACTGTTGCTCTGACCATTCCCTGGAATTGGTAAAATATAAACAACGGCTGACTCGTAGAAAGAGATTAGTGAAGGAGAAAACTTAAGTGTGTGAAATCAAAAAGTTGATGGAGGAACCCACAAAGGCATAAAGAGTTACTTCAATGACAGTTCCAGGAATGGACTGGAGGAGAGATAAATGTAGAGAAAAGGTGGGGGAGACTAAGGGAATCTATCAGGAAGGTGACATGTGAGATATTGGGAGAACAGAAAGATTAAGAAAAGAAATTCGTGTATTGATGGTGAGTGTGAGAGGGCCTTACAAGAAAGGAACGAAACTTGAATGAAGATGCTCCGCTCTAAAGGAAAATACATAGGAAATTTGAAGCATACTTTTAAAAAAGAAGAAAAACTAAAAACATTATGTGTGGTAAGAAAAGAGCACATGAAAAGGAAACTTGAAGAGATGCAACAAATGTTTCAAGCGCAAGAGAGTCAAGGTTTATGGTCACTGGAGATACCTAGTAAGCTAACAAGATTGACAAGGATTACCATAGAAGGGACAAGTTGCAAAATCAAAATCACTTATATTTAAAACTTATATTGGCACTTATATTAAAAGTGCCAAGGCGGGGGGGGGGGGGAGAGAGGAGGATGGTTGCAGGAACTAGATGTTTCTATGCCCTGCAAAATGCGATCTGATACAATAGTCTCAAATAAACAAATCTTGTAATATATAAAACGATCATTAAATGGTGTATAGCGGTGAGAAGTGGACTATGACCAAAGAAAACAGGAGAGCGCTGGTTTGGGAGAGAAGAATCCTAAGAGAAATCTTTGGAGACGTTAGAGAGCAGCATAGGTCCCTTCCTTACATTCCTCTACCTTACCTCATTAACAGTTCCATCCACTTTTTCCCTAGTCAAAAACCTAGGAGTAACCTTTGACCAGAACCTCTTCTGGAATAACCATATCTCCCAGATTACCCGAAAATCCATAACTGTCCTTAAACAACTCCTAAGATTCCCTAATTGTATTCCTCTAAAAACCAGACAGCTCCTTATATTCCCCCACTTTGACTACGGCTGTTTGGTGTGGAGGGCTATCTGCCAGGCTAGAAATGAGAATGAAGAAACTCATGAAGTGTTGCATAAGTCTTAGAATATCTCTCGACCAGTCAAGAGCTCAACTAAGTGCCTCCCACTAAACATTACTATAAACGACCATTTTAGACATATCTGTAAATTGTTCTTCACAGATACCTCATCCCGTATTATCATATTAATATTAGTGCTTCTCTGTAGTTGATATAGAGATATATAGTAAAAAAAAAAATAAAAGTGTCCGTGAAGGAAGCATTCAAACTGGAGTAGTGGGATAAGGGCAGCAGCCTAATCCTACCAGCCTTCATCCAAACAAACAGGTGTGTGTGTCTTGTTAATAGTATTGTTTTCGGCCACTCACATAGTTTTAAAGCAACAGTGACTTTTAAAAAAATCAATTTATTTCTAATATATTTATTACCATTGTTAATAGCAAATTGTGTGCGAAAACAGTAGGTCTAGAAGACAAAACTAAATTCGTTTGTGGCTCCTGCCAAAACATATTTCACGCGAAATGTGTGAAAATCGATTTTACGAACTTAGAAGGCCTAAAAGAGACCAGCAAATAATGGATATGTACCGATTGCGAGTTATCATCGGGTACGTTGCCAGCTGCTGAGACTAGTAATATACTTTAACCAGTGAGGGCGCTGACAGAGGAAGTCAGGTACAGTGGCTTAATAATACAGTGCGGTCATATGGATGAGGCGGCCATATTGGATCGGCGGGAAACTAATATTTGAATAGTCTCTCTTTGTTATTTCAATTTAAAAATTAATTATTGTTACAAACTATTAACTAGAATGGTTTAGGAGATAGAATTAAAGTTGGGCAAGTTGAATGAAACATATGAATCACTTATATCACACGAAAATAAATAATAAAATCAAAGAACAATATTTTGTTTTTTTCTATTTAACTTTTTTTAAAATATATTTCAATAAACTTTGGCATATTGGGATTTCCATTTTATTCATCTAATTCTCTCATTGGTAAATTTCACAAATATATTTATATAATTATTAAAACATTAAACAAAAACTGAGTGAAAATTAACTTTCATTGGAAAACCAGAAACTCAATTCTGTCAGCAACCATGAAACTATTTTTAATATTCTCCTTTGAAAAAAACAAAACTTTAAATAAATGTAAATTATTTAATAAATATAAATTATTTAATGTAAATTTAATAAGTATAAATTATTTAATGTAAATTTAATAAATATAAATTATTTAATGTAAATTTAATAAATATAAATTATTTAATGTAAATTTAATAAATATAAATTATTTAATGTAAATTTAATAAATATAAATTATTTAATGTAAATTTAATAAATATAAATTATTTAATGTAAATTTAATGAATATAAATTATTTAATGTGAATTTAATAAATATAATTTATTTATTTTTACTTTGTTACTTGTGACTGAACACCACAACTAGTGTTGCCCAAATGCGAGACCATGACGGGTCTTGGTCTTGCACAAGTCTCGCAACAGTCTTGCAGTAACCTTATTGGCTTATTATTATAGAGATATTACTGTAATTTTTCATATATGGGAAACCTAACTAAGCCCGAATGAAAAATTAAGAGTTAAATTCCAAAGGATATTGGTTATACCAATTCTTTACATATGGTAACTAAATTTTTCTGGTTTTAGTGACTATTTTACCTTAATTTTTATTCATGAAAAGGATTTTTTTTACCAGTCTTGGTCTTGGTCTTGCAACAGTTAGGCGGCCGTAGTCTTGGTCTTGCAAAGTGCATGACCAAGATCGATTTTGCACAACACTAACTATTATATATCCACTATTATTACAAATTTAAATAGTTCAAAATAGTCCCCGATCAATAGATTCATTTCTGATCATTGATATAAAGTATTTTTTATGAAATGGTTTACCTCTTACCATAATGTAGATATTGTATATTGCATCTAAAGTAGAAAAAAAATTGATCATTTTACTTTTAGGCCTGTTAAAGGTGGTAGGAGAGTATTTGTTTCGGAGTAGTGTAACTTAGTTTTTGTATAATTTGGAAATTTCTATTTACCATTCAATATCAATAAACCTGTTATCAATGAAATGGATTAATAATCCTAATATGATTAATTGTAATAATGTTCGTCACACCTGAATTTTTCATTAGTCGAGAATCTAAGATTTTTCTTGTTTTATTTATTTTTCATTACTTTTTTGGGAATAATATATTGTATGTTGGCTATAATATATTTTCAATTTTATCACACAGGATATACCAAGTAAAAATAACTTATAGTAAAACATAAAACTAAGGATAAAATACAATCAATTATCAATTGATTGAAGAACTATCCAATTTAACTTGAAAAAGAAAAAAGATAAAACAGAGAATATTTATTTACAAAGGAATTTAAATTTATAAATGCTCCACATATACATTTATAGATTTACTGCTAAAAACAGACAAATGAAGGAAATTGTTTTTACTAATTTAATTTATTTTAAGTCTAAATACAATAAATCTCTTAAGAATATTATCTTTAATATTGTGACAATGAATTATCTGTTCTGCATCAACAGAACTCATTTTTTTCTATGAAAAATTCTCTTAAATCACCTCTTACTAAGTTGATTTGCCTCATATAGGTTTCAAAAATGACTTAATCATTTAATTGTTTACTTTATTTTATTGATTTTCCTTTGTAATTCAGTGGTTATGAAAGAAAAAGATTGAAATTAAGTTTGATACTTGGTTATAGAAGATAATTTCTATAATTTCAGGCTACAAGCTAATACAATTTTTATTTTGGAGTCAGTGGTTTCAAGTATAAAATTGAAATTTGGTTTGCCTTTATAGTTATTGTTACTTTCAATAATAAAAATATGAGTGTAGTGGATGATCCTTAAATCATAGTTGAATTAAGTATAGTTGATGATCATTAAATGATAATCTTGACCTTAAACGATAAAAAACCAACTTGAATAAACATTAACAGTTTTAGAATTTCAATAATAAGAAAAATAATAATTTCATTTCAGAACTTTCGCAGCACAACAATCTATTTCTTAAAAATTAATCATGTTGATTATCATACCACTTATTCTTGCATAAAAGAAAACTACTTTTAGTTACTCGAAATCTCAATAAAGCTAAGCATCATCAACTATACTCATGTTTTAATGGTGAAAGTAACAATAACTATAAAGGAAAACCAAATTTCAATTTTATATTAGAAACAACTAACTTCAAGATA